AACAAGACGTACAGATCAGATTGATGTTCGATGGCTTTCTCGAGTACTTGGCGGGCAGCAAAGATCATATCGATGCAGCCCCTGCCCTTCCGAAAACCGCACTGAGACTCCGGTAGCCAGTCTTCAGCGAGTGGCTCAAGCCGGTCCTGGAGCATGCGAGCAAACAGTTTGCCCACAACATCGAGCAAGCTGATGCCACGCCAGTTATCGCAGCTATGCCGGTTACCCTTCTTGGGGATGGGGACTATCTCTGCATCACGCCAGTCAGCAGGGACCGATCCAGTTTCCCAAACCCTAACGATGAACTCATGGAGGCGACCCAACAAATGTTCACCACCACAACGAATCAGCTCTGGCAGAATGCCCGATTGACCACTGGCTGTGCCATTCTTCATACGGCGAAGTGCACGCTGGAGCTCCTCTATGCTAAGGACGTCGTCCAGATGTTCACGAACATCCAATACAGGCATGCTGTCAACAGCGTGTTGGTCAAATTGGCTCTGCGTATTTAACACCATCTCAAAGTGCCGTCCGAAACGAGCACGAACAGCATCCGCATCCTGGATCAAGTTGCCGTTCTCATCCAGCACAGCAGATGTATGCTTTGAAGTTCTGCCCTTCTCAATTTCCTGCAGCTTCCGGATGCACTTCCAGCGAGTGCGCCCATCTTTAGCCTCCTCAGCATCACGCACTACCTCTGATATCCATTTTTCCTTCGCCATCCACACAGCCTTTGCCACTGTACGTTGTGCCTGACGAAAGGCTTTCACACACACACACACACACACACACACACACACACACACACACACACACACACACACACACACACACACACACACACACACACACACACACACCTTGACCTTGATCTTGCCCATTGCGTACGCAATGATAGCGAATGTCGGAAAGTTCAAGTGAGGACACGAGCGCAGAACTTGGCATGTCGTTTCAGGTCTCCTGGTCGACGAAACGGGCGTCCACAGACACATAGAAGAGGATCAGGAGCAGGCCGTGGCGGTGGAGTGCTACTCGCAACTCGTCTCCAGCCGGGACGATCTTGGCAACTCTCAAGCCAGGTGGTCACGCCGAGGTCCGGCAGGTCAGTCGACACCACATCTCGCCACCTCTTCTTCGGGCCGTGACGAGGACGGGGGGCAGGCAGCTCGCCGAACAGCAATTGCTTCGGTGCGCGCGAGTCGTCCATCCTGCCGACGTGACCCAGCCAACGAAGCCGGTGGCGACGGATGATGCTGGTGATGTCAGGGTTAACACCGAATGTAGCCGCTAATGTGGCCGTTGAGATCCGATCATCCCACTGTTGACGACGGCCGATACCCACGATGGACCGAACACACTGATGGTGAAACTTTTTTAGCTTCTGGAGGTGGCCTGCCTTGGTGGTCCACGTCTCCGCACCATACAAGAGGGTCGTGAGGACGACAGCCTCATAGACACGCCTCTTGCTGCGAAGCGACAGGGTCTTGTTATCAAAGACAGGAGCTTTGAGGGCTCCGAACACAGCTGAGGCTTTCGCAAGGCGAGAGCGGACATCAGCACAGGCAAGACCATCCGAGGAGAGCACACTGCCAAGGTAGGTGAATTGGTCCGCCACCTCAATCGTGTCTGCTCCAACAACAACGTCACGGCGATCAGCAGACTCACCCACAGCCATACCCTTGGTCTTTCTCACACTGACTGTTAGGCCCCAGCTGCTTGCACATGTGATGAAGCTGGAAGTCATCGCTTCGAAGGCAGGCCGAGATGTTGCGTAGAGCGCAGCGTCGTCAGCAAACTGGGATTCTGTGACCGTTGATGACAGGAGCTTCCCCTTCGCCGTTCGGTCACCAACTAGCTTCCTCCTGACTTTATATCGAAAGGATATGCCAGCGTCCGGACAACTGGACCTCCAACTGGCAACGACGGCAGAGAAGTACAAATTGAAGAGCATTGGTGCGAGAGTGCAGCCCTGACGCAATCCATTCCGCACAGTTATCGGGTCAGTCAGCTTGCCATCCACCCGAACAGAAGCAGTCATGCCGTTGTGGAGTGACTGAATGATGCGGAGCATTGCAGGCGAAACACCAAGCTTCTGGAGAACCTGCCACAGCGCTGCACGCGGGATACTGTCATACGCCTTTCTCAGATCGACGAACAGGACATATGCATCTGAATCATGCTCCAACGTCTTCTCCATTAACTGCCGTGCGACGTACACCATCGACTACAGTGCCTTCGAGCCAGGATTTACGCATGATGGTCAGGATGCGACTGTGTAGGTCTTTGCCACCATGTAGGACCATGTCCGGTAGAATGCCCGACTGACCGCCAGCTTTACCCGCTTTCATGGTCCGCAGTGCAGCCTCCAGCTCAGCAACAGTGGGTGGCTGGTCCAGCTCAGGAATAACAGGGCGATCCGCCATCATCTCGACCACAGCTGCGTCAAACTCACTCTCAACGTTCAGGACACCCTGAAAGTGCTGCAGCCATCTTCCACTGACAGCCTCAGGTCCATCACTCAACGTGCCATCTTCCAAATACACAGCAGACGGCTGCATTGGATGGCGGCCTCAATGGAGCGTCTGCAACTTGCGGACTGCAGCCCAACGAACGGAACAATTGTTAGCAGCATTTTCAGCTTGGGATGCGATGTCTTCAATCCAAGTTTCCTTGGCACTCCTTACAGCCTTCTCCACCTCACGTTGTGTCTGACGAAAGTTCTTGCGTGAAGACGCGGTGTTCTTCTGCAACATGACATCTCCAGCGGAATTCTTGATATCAAGGCAGCGGAAGAAGCACAGTCTCACTCGCCTTAAACCAGTCAGGTTGCCTGCGTTGCCGTGGTCCCAGGACTTCCTCTGCTGTACTGCACATTATATCCTTCACTGCTTGCCATTGGTCAGCTGCAGTGTCTGCATCAGCAGTATCAGGGAGCTTGTCTGAAATTTGTTCAGCATAGCTCTTGCGAACAGCCGGGTCACCCAGCTTTCCGACAGCAACAGGTGCGGGTTTCGGCACAGGGCGAGGCCTGCGGCACAATGGACGATCAAGTAGAAGCCTGCTGCGAACCATGTGGTGGTCTGTCCAGCATGCTAGCAGTTGGCACCGCGCATTACGCTGACATCAAGACAAAAGCGACGGTGCGGCTGCCTCATGATGATAAAATCAATGAGATGGGTTTGCTTCGTAGCTGGGTGCATCCAGGTCCCACGCCTCGACGCAGGTTTCTGGAAATGGGTGTTCATTACAGACAGCCCGTTGGTAGCACACCACATCAGAAGCCGCTCACCAGCATCATTCCGCGCACCATGACCGTATCTCCCCAACACAGCCCTCCATTCGTCTCCCGCGTCATTGCTGCTGCCAACTCTAGCATTGAAATCACCAAGCAGCAACAGAACACACACACACACACACACACACACACACACACGCACACACACATCAACACACACACACACACACACACACACACACACACACACACACCTTTTGACCTTTGACGCCCATCGCCGGAGGCGATGATAGCAATGCTACGGCAGAAGCCATAGCAACTTGTGCTGGGATTACACCATTCAACAGCTTGCAAGGCTGAAGAATTGACCGTCACTATTCAGCCTGGTCTACACCATACAGCTATTTGGAGTGACATTTTCTGGCCAGTGAATCCCTATTTTTGGTCTTTTCCTTTTTTTTTTTTTCCCGCACACACATCACACCACATACTCCGGCATGCACTGGCTGTTGGTAACCACCCAGGAGAATGAAAGAAAAGTCAGGAAGAGTCTGAGAAAGAGAAGAAAGACGTGTGTGACCATAATCGTCGGGAATCGAACCCGCAATCTATCGATTGGAAATCGCTGCACATACCACTGCACCATATGGGACACACACACACACACACACACACACACACACACACACACACTTGTACTTGTACTTGTTGCTCACTGCCAAAACTGGTGACGTGAGTCTCCCCGGGGGAGGGGAGAGAGACTCAAAAGGAATCTTGGAAAGATGGCTCAATTGGCTATTGAACCGCCCAACGGCCGACACCCCCTGAAATCCCCAAAACTCTGGGTGGACTTGAAAATGATCCCACTTATGGGCTCACCACACCTCAGTAAGTGGGTGAGGAAAAGGTGCAGAAAAAGGATTGACGGCATCAGGGTATACGTATCCGTCCCGGGATCCGCAACTGCAGTTACCCCTGCCCCCAGTGAAGGTAATACCAAGAGTACATAACCCTATTTCTGGACATTGTACATTTCTGGACATTTCGAGTAAAATAATTTTTCGTCGCGTGTAGAGTCAAGTCAGTCAAGTGAAGTTTTTTCTTGCCGTAGTTGACAGCTGGGCTGTTGTAGTTTCTCCTCGTGTCGGTGCCTTGTTGATAGCCTTTGCTTGTGAGGCATTCCAATGAGTTTTGTGGTACTATGTAGCATGAGATTTTGAGTAAAATAAGAAGTAATGGACTTATCGTTGGTTTCCCCATGTGAACTCCTTTTCAGACGCTGTATAGTCTTGGACCTGTTGGCTGGAAGTGTGAAGAGGCCAACTGCAGTCCACCAATAGAAAAAATAACAAAAATGGTGTAGTATAGGATGCCTATTGACGCTATCATTACTTTCATGTCCAGAATTCCATACACTGAAATTTAGGCCAAAAAATTCGCCTGTCGAAAACGTCCTGCTATAAAGTCTCTGGGATCACAGCATGAGCAATTGTCACATATTTGGAAAGATGAAGGATTAGGCCATACGGTACAAAAAGATATGAAAAATGTAAAACACACAGCCAGTGGGGCTCTATTTTATTTTCATGTCCAGAAATTGCTATTTACCTCGTACTGAGCTGTCATTGCATGAGTGAGCATTGACGATGCATCGATGATTGATTGAGTGCATCTGGCCTGCGCTGCATGCTCTTCAGAGCAGCAGAGTGAGCTGAGGCATGATCATCAAGACCAGGGAGTCGTATAGACCCACTATGATTGACTCGCGGCACTTTCTCCCACTTTTCCCTCAGATATCCCCGGTGCGTGCCCTGAGTTATAAACCAACTACTCCGCGTACTTATGCCATGGGACTTTGGGAGTGCACTCCTTGGCCTGGTGAACGGACTCGTGCAGGATCGATAGGATCGTGGGAAATCGTAGCTCGAAAAGAAGAAGAAGAATGAACTACTTTTCCAAGTAATTAGTTGCATTTGATGATCGTGATTGAGGCAGAGAGTGCTGCTGATCGCGATCTAGATCCGGGTCAAGAATCACCTCCTGATCCTAAGGAAACCTCAGCTGACGTAGATCTACGTTCTCTTCGCGTGAACGCTCAGTCTGTATTGGCTTGGGCCACAGGTATGGTTTGAATTCTAATTTTCTATGTTATTATATTTTTCAATTTGTCTTGAAACTTTCAACCTTGCTACTTAGCGGCTTCTGATCTGGTGCACGTACTGCATAAAAAGTTGCGAATAATCATGAATTGGAAGAAATACTTGTGGGTTGATAGAGTGCAGTACTTGTTCAATGGTTTCTACAGAGCGTTCCGAATCCCAGCCGCTAAAGACCCACAGAAGGCAAGAAGTTTGCGTTGCAAAGCTGCTGTCCCGCCTGACTGCGGAGAAAGAAGACTCGTTTATGGTTGTTCTACAGCCGCTGCTGACGTCCATCAGCTCTGCCCTGCTCCCAGCTGCAGATAGGCCTGGATTTCAATGAGTCGTGTCCCAACTCCGGTGTGACCGATTTCCCGACGTCAAGACGAAGTGGGGTCAAGTCATGGGTGTTGCAAGGAAGCTGTCACAAGATGATCTGGTATTGAACGGTAGGTTTTGTAAAGCTGCTCTAACATTTGGATCCTATAAATTATAACATTAAATTATTATTTGTATTCACGAAGCCATGCCCAAGACGTGCGACATAGCGTGCGTTCGTGTGTATGTGTGTGCGTGCGTGTGTATATTGTGTGCGTGTGTGCGCGCTTGTGTATGTCATAAAATCCCGCCAGAGCACCCCTACCTCCGGAACCATTCGAGTAGATCCATTTGGGGAGGGGCGGATGGGCGAGTCCTGCTTGCCGCATTCAGTACTGCATGAAAAAGTACTCACCCTAAGAAAACTGTGCGTGCGTCTCGTACACCCAACAAAAGTCAAGAGCTGGGAGTCGTACAAACCCATCAAAACCCTAGGGTGTGTGCGATCTCTGGTCAAGAGGGTGGGAACTGTTGCGTACATTTCCAACCAGGTCGTAGACGCATCTGCAGTACAGTACGACCTCACATTTCACATAGTCATACGAGGATACAACTCTATTGATAGATAAGATAACGTGCTTGTAGATCTCTGCCATGCCAAAGTTGCATTCAGTAGAGGTAGTAGTCTCTGTCAAACGTGTTTGCCATTGGCTCACGGCACTTGTAGCAGCTGATCGGACGATGCAAATGGACTCCCAGTCCACATTATCTGGTTCTTGATATGCCTTCGAAAATATACCATGGCACGCACTTTCCACTGTTGTTACATAGGGCCGGACGTGTGTTGTCCTGAGCTTGCCACGATACTTTCCGATCTGTCCATCTCCTCTCTTTGTTAAGTTGAAATTATTTGAAGAGCTGATGGCTGGTAACTTGCTGGTCAGCTGGTAGGAATACGTTTGCAAGTGTTGCTGCTGATTTGTACATTAAATTGCCGGAGTGACGTGGCCTTGAGTAGTCTTCCCCAGCAATGAACTGAAGAGTAGCATGCGTATTGAATTCTCTTGTTGCCGGTTCATCGGCCCCTCTCCATGACACCGGACTAGACTGAATTACTGGCGTCCCTTCATCGGCCTGCTTTTCACCTCGAACTTCACGAGTCTTGAAATCTGGACCCAACATAATAAAAGTGGGACTCAATTGCGCAGTTCAGACGATAAATTGATGCAATAAGGGGTCATCGCAAAAGTGATTAGTCATCCCTGCAAAAAAACATCATTCATTTCATACTCGGACCTCCTCTCCACCCTCCGAAATGAATGGACGACGAAAATCGCATGCATGTACATGTGTATGCATAGCGTCAGTCGACTGAGATTTTAGCTCCCCCCCCCCCCCCCCCCCTGGAACGATCTTCGTTTCAGGGACGACCAAAAACTTGTGTGACCACTGACTTTCTTTCTCTGTTATCAAGCAGTATGCATTATTTGTAACAGTAATTACTTGTCTGTGTCATGTGGATGCATTGTCTTATTTCCTTTTTCAGGCTACAGCACAACCGAGAGAACGAAATGTACGTCGCAATCAAGCTATGTCGTTGCCATCTTCTATTTGCCATGCATTACCTGATGTGCCAGCCTGCTATGTCGGATACCGCTAACCATGCATCGACTAGGCGCCAGGCGCGAACTGATGGTGGTGGTGGTGGTGGTAAGAAGGAGAGCTCTGTGCCAGAATAACTTTGCAGTTTAGAGAGCGTGTCTGGGCAGGCGTGTATTTACCCCCATATTGCCAGGTGTGTATTTACCACCATATGAACCAACCATAAGTGCAGTTGCAGTGGAGTCTTCAACTTCATTCTCCCGAGTCAAGCTCCTTCATCTAAGAAGAAGATTGCCTGATGAATCCAGCCGGGCCGAAAGGTACGTCGCAATCAAGCTATGTTGTTGCTGTGTCATCTGCTATGCGCCATACGCTACCTGATGTACCAACCTGCTATGTCGGACACCACTCACCCTGCATCGACTAGGCGCCAGACGCGAACTGATGATGGTGGTGGTGGCGGGAAGGAGAGCTCTGTGCCAGAATAACTTTTCAGTTTAGAGAGCGTGTGTAGGCAGGTGTGTATTTACCGCCGTATGAATCAACCACAGTACAATCAGCTGACGTTATAACTTATAAGGATGATCTCGTGCAGCGATATTATTGATATTTTTTAAGTCTTTTCTAAGGACTCTCCACTGCAGCGTTTTCTTTCCACTCGGTTCTCTTCTTTTCATCGCTCAGCTTGCACTTGCAATGCTTATTATAGCAATAAAAACTGCTTTATGGCAGTTTTCTAAAAAAAGTTATTGTGTTCTAGTCCATGGACCCCGTCTAAAAAGTAAGAAATTAACGAAATGTGATAGCTGAAAATTAAAATTTCACACAAAACCTCACAATAATCACAACACTTGAAATGCTGCTTTCAACACTAAACTTGTACTCCACCAACAATTGGCAACATGCATGCATAGGAAAGAGGATCACGAGGAGAAAAGGTCTTCTACATGTAGCTTTCATTCTGTGTGTGATTATTGTGAGGTTTTGTGTGAAATTTTAATTTTCAGCTATCACATTTCGTTAATTTCTTACTTTTTAGACGGGGTCCATGGACTAGAACACAATAACTTTTTTTAGAAAACTGCCATAAAGCAGTTTTTATTGCTATAATTTCTTCTGTTTTTTTCTGTCACCAATCAATGAAATGCCCTATCAATATGTAAATGATGGCCTTCACATCATATCAATACCGTATTATACGCATTGATGAGCAAGCCTTTTCTTGCAGAAAATGGGACTAGCATGTTCTTCTGCGGGGATACATGTGAGTAGTGGTGGACTGTGGTGATACCTTTTTTATACGGAGGTCATTCTGTGCATGTTGCTGTAGCAGAATTTCATGACTCTGTCATAAAATTGTCTTGCCTTTCAGATATTTCAGATTTCCCCACCCTCGATCAGATTTATTTGAGAAATGTAACCAGGTGCGTGTCGCAGATGTTTTTGTTGATTCTGTGTTTATAATGGTTTATAATCATGGGTTATCGTGATAAGGTCATCCTGCACCATATTGCACTGAAATCGTAACCCTGTTGATGTCGATACAATTTTTGGAAGTAGTTCAATGACTTCGAACTGTTAGTCCACGATTTTCTAAAACAACACAGCAAAGGAGGAACAATAAACATGTATTAAAATGTAAACAAATACATTGCTGAGTCCGACACCTCGTTCCAACAACTACACTGATCCTGAGGATAAAAGGGGCAAGGCTATGGTTGGAGGTACTGAGAGATAAACAAGGCACTCCATAATAATAGAATCGTACACATTTTTTGGTGAGTATGAATGATATCCAGTCGAACCTCTTTAGGACGAACACCAAGGGACTGATGGTATTTATTCTGTGAGTTTGTCTTAACCTATTTTATAACCAGTGAATACAATTATTTCTCCAATAGACATACGAATAGATTTCTTCTACAGCGAAAGATTCTAAGCCACACCAACTCATTGACTCGTCTCGTATGAAACAAATGAGTCACTAGAGAGGTTTTGCAAAACGAAAATGCGTACAAACAGTCGTTCCACGTCCTGAAGTGCGAAACTTCGCACGAACTTTCGCAACTTTGGACGCGAAACTTGCAGGGAACGCGAAATGAACAGTCGTACACACTTTCGTGAGATCGGGTCATGGCGTACGTGCACTTGGCCCGCGCAAACTACGAAAACGTGCAGAACGCAAAGTTTGTGCAAAAATTCGTACACACTTTCGCAATGACTGTCGCGAAACTTCGTTCGAATTTTCGTTTTGCAGAACCTCTCTACTGAACGTTTCTTTAGCAACATGACGGCAACTGAAACAGCAACAGAGAAAGTACGATACATGTACAGCACATTCTTGCAGGTACTACAAACAGATTGCAGATCGTAATTTTTGCCTTGGCGGCACGAAACTTCATTTGGGGCAGTGCAATCTCGGCGGAACTCACAAATAATAAATCAAACATCCCAGACTCGAGTAAACAAATCTAATCATACAAGTTTACTGAACCTCTCCACAATGGAGATTTTCCCTGATATGCGAATTTATTTTGCAAACTCGGTCAATGGGTCCTTGAACCTTTCCCTCCAGATTGGGAACTGCCAACGATAGTATGCCACTGACCAGTGCCTTACTTGTAACGTACCAATGTACAATGAATATGAGTATTTCGACAACACATCTAACATGAGCCTTACCGTCAAGAAGGTGAACTCGCGTTCTTCGCACACTGTAGACAAGGGCAAACAGATAAAAATGGATCTAAATCTGAATAAAATCAGCACACGTTTCCGTAAATGAAAGGGTGAGCATAAGCAAATGAATCGAAGGAAACAGGTCAACTCAGAGATCACCTGTCATCGAGTATTCCGTAAAAGGAGGCCTCGGCAGCGGAAAAGCTAAATTTAGAAAAGAGATCCTGCCAGCTTTTCCATTATTTATTGCATTCCGCCCAAAATGAGCACATTTTTCGTAAATGAAAGAGTCAACACAAGCAAAAGAATCAAAGGTAACTGGTCAACTCACCTGTCGATATTAGGGAGGTTTAGTCCCACGTAATCCGTGGGTACTTTACGTGGGTGTACCACGTGATACTCAGTGACCCACGTACAGACGTTTTCTGATTCACGACATACCGTGTATGGAGGCTCACCCACGTTCCGCCAGAACGTGGGTGAAAATCAGAATGGAGCGCATTGTGCGAGCTGTGAGGGTGCTCAGCTGAAGAAGTTTCCGAAGCACGAAATCAAAATATTGGATGAGCTTCTTAGGCCGGGGTAGCTTCGTCTTTGACCAGGTTTTGGCCTTTAGCTTCATGCTTTTGTTTGTTCCGTGTGACTAAACACAACATTGAAACGTGGGTGCCCTTCATCCACTTTACGTGGATCACCCACGTACGCGTTTCCGTTACGTGGGAACTAAACCTCCCTATTGAGTAATATTCCGCGAAAGGAGGTCTCAGCAGCGCCGAAACGAAATAAGCCAGGCCAGGATCTAGGAGACGAAGTATCCGAAACAGCTCATACAAGAAGCAGTTCCAAAGGAGGAAGTTCCTCGCGCATGCACATCCGAACACGGACTGCATGCACTGCATGCAACACAATGTCTGCCGTGCACGTGCACAGCACGCGGCTACCAACCGTTGCAGCGTTGGTAGATCTATACCGAGCACCTTACGTAGAAACTTACGTAGCCTAAGTGAAATACCGAGCACCTTACGTAGAAACTTACGTAGCATAGCGGTGTCGTTTTTCTTGCCATGTGAACACAATAATAGAAAAGCTGACAGGATCGCTTTTCTAAATACATACTGATCAATCCCGTTCAATTTTCCGTACGTTTTTCTCAAAATCCATAGCGTGGACGAAGTAGTGATTTTCCGTACAAATATGGAAAATACGGAAGGTTGATAGCACTGTGTTGAGGCAGCTATTGTTGACTTTATTTGGAATTAATTCTGTCGTATTTGCACACATTCCTGAGTGCATTGTATTACTATTAGCATCCACTGTGTGTTATCTGTGCGAGCTTCTAACCTTGTGAACATTCACCGAAGGTTCGGTTGGTGGCGCACAAGATCTTCCGGGATGGCTCTTGTGGGCTCTCAGCCCTGCGTTCACTGCATAAAACTTGGCAGAACAGTTCAAGTTTCAATTTAGGCCATTTCCTCACTCTGTGACTCCCAATATTTCACGTGTGCAATGATTATAAGTATTGTAGATCACTGGGACAGCGCCACTTTGTTAGCCGATGTTAGTCCTGAAGAAAAATTGACTTTATTGCCCTAAATGTGAGAAGAAATTGGGACTATTTGTGAAGGAAAACTTTGGAAAATGTAATTTCGAATAACAGTCATTTCGTTTATCTGGATAGGTCCAATATTTCACAAATGTGCAATATAAGTATTGTAGATCACTGGGACAGGGCAACTAACTTGGTCTGTCAAAGTCAGTCACGAGGAAAAAAATTACTTCATTGCCCTAAAGGTGAGAACAAATGGACCGTATGCGTGTTAAAACAAAATGGCGTCACGATTTATTGAAAGTGGTATAGTTGGTGGAACGAGTGTTCAAACCCATTTGAACTTCATACTGTTCGTCTTCTTTTTGACATGCTCTCTTTCCATCGTCCTTAGCTTTTGTTTGTTGAGAGCTGTTTTGGCTTTCTCCTATACCTCTGGGGGATGCCAAGTGATGGTTTTGAGAGGCTGGTGATGGCTGTGAGCGAGAGTTTGCCGATCGGCGTCGTCCTCGCTATAGCGATGAAAATACTAGTTACTGCGCACCTGGCAGATATCACAACACGTCGGAGCGTCCAGGAGCAAAGGAATCTTGGGTTTTCACTGGAATCTAGTTCCTCCAGCATCGTGTAGCCCACCGTCGGTGAATGGCGGTCCAGAAAGGTCGAAACTGGTCTTCTGCAGCATCGCGCAGTCCTGCGAGGCACACTGAATACGCCTGTCATGTATTCTACAAATAAAAATCACGAAGTAGTGGACTTTACAGTGATGAGTCTATCCTGTATGCTGCAAAAGACGCAGGAAATGTGACTGGTGTCCGTACACTGGACGCCAATATCATCCCAGTCTTCTCCTGCAGGATCTGTTTGACATTGACATACCGGTATGCAGTGGGTCGACATTGGCCTGGTTTGGCAGCTATCTGCCTGGGTGGATGTAGCAGGTTTGCATTGGCGCGTCGTCCAGTCCGACATTTTCTTGTAACTGTGGAGTACCGGCAGGGTCTGAGAGGTTGCTCGTGCTGTGAACACATCTCTACTGCCTGTCTCGTCCTGGAAGTGCCGTCTCGCCGCTTCCTTGCTCTACAGTCACGCCGTTATTTCGCTTTGTTTCGTGGTGCAGCTCAAAACCTGCCCAAACAACTGTGAGCTCGCAGCATGGTATGGACAAATTGCACCACTCATGCTGGTTAACTAAAACCGGGATAGTCGAGTAAGCGAGTTCACTCCCTGGGCCATGGCAAGATCTGTTCAGCGCGGGCTATTCCAACCTCCAAGTGCATAGTCACCGATCGATCCATGCGATGGTGGTTGACCTACAAAGAGCCAAGGTCTACGAGTACTACTATTGGATGCTGTCTACATGCAGTCAACAAAATCAAAGTACCTCAGTATGCCCCAGAACAGGGCATGTGCATCTATAGCATGACACAACAGGGGTTCTGGCGGCACCTGTCAAACAAGCAGTAGCGACTAGTGCCAGCTACCTATTGGAGGCTAGCCGCTACAGTCTGTCACTGGAGATAATTATTATGTTCACTGTTTAGACTGAGCACAATCAATGATGCCCAATCAATCTGCCCAATGTGTGTTCTGTTCCACCTAATTATAACGTCCCATCGCATCAACCCTACTACACGCACATGTCGTCACTCTAGCACGACTTGTGTTATTATTGTTTATTTTGATTCGCACGATAAATAGAGCACAATAAACGTTAACTTGACCGAAGGTTAAAGGCGACTGCAGATAGAGGAACACATCGAGGTACAGGTACCGGCATCAATACAGTATCAGAGAGGTACGCAGAAAAAACTCTCGTAAGCCCAAGGGGAAGTGGTTGATGAGGGATGAATGCACTCTCCACGCTGTCTACACTGTTCGTGGAAATGCACACATACATACAATAATATACAACATAGCAATAGCATGCACAGAACCGAACAATTTAATGTTCACACATGCAAGCACAGACCTGAACATTAGTACCAAAAGCCGATACAGACAATATTCCCATACACACAGACGCACACACACACAATGTCCCATGTATGCGCCCGTGGCGAGAAAAGCACGCAAATCTAAAAATGCACTGGATGTGAACCCACAGATTTTCTCTAATAACAATGATAGCGGATCTGATTCTGAATGAAACACACACACACAATACAATCATTGAATGCCCATCCGCAGATGATGGCAGGTCCTGAAAGAACAGGCAGTGTTCCAGTGATGGGGAACAGAACTTCGAGTGGCGAGTGAGGTATACACACACACGTGCGTGCGCGGGCACACACCAAAGTATGAAGAAATAGAATCGACATCGTAGTATTCATTGGTTGGGGAATGGAAAGGAAAATAAAACATTGCTGTAGGTTATTGTTGTAAGGACACTGGGAGCACAACAGAAAGGTAAGCAACTTGCTTTGAAGCAAAGAAAGTTATTATTCCACGGATCTCAGAAGGAACCGTTCCAGAATGCTGCACTGGCAACAGGCGGCCTGCATGTGCGCGGCCCCTGCAGTCGGTCCAGCTGCCGGCCTTGCAGTGCTGAAAAGAATGTGCAGTACAGCATATCACATAGTATCGCAGCCTGGACAAATAGGCGCTGGGAAGTCCTAGTTATGTGCTCACCTACACCACGATGCACCAATCTTCTGAGCTACTTTGGCAACAATTTTGTCCACTTGAGACTCCCATGGGCTGAGCCAGTTGTTGAGGGCTGCATCAAGGTGGACGGCAATGACCGCTGATGGCAAGGCAATCCATGACACACAGTCACTAGGGCATCGTCAACATGGCGCTGAGGCTGGATCGATAAAATCAACCTTTAGGCTGCCGCGGGGTTGACAACGAGGCCGCTGTCTCGAAGCTAGTCAGTCAGCCTGGTCACCGCCATTGACGAACCAGTCGCCACCGCCAGCAGTGGCGGTAGGTTGTGACAAGTATGGTGCAATATTGTCAGCAAATTCAGTACTAAGGATAAGATGAGTGACAAAGGGAACGTTGTGTTTGATAATATTGAAGTGAACAGGGATGATCACAAACCCTGCGCGTACTCCACCGTGAGTTACAAGAAAATTCCGGACTGGACGACGAGCAAACACCAACCTGCTACATCCAACCAGGCAGATACTATTACGATAGCTGCCAAACCAGGTCAATGCCGACCTACTGCATAATGTCAATGTCAAACAGATCCTGCAGGAGAAGACTGGGGTGTTGGCGTCCAGTCACTGAGTGTACAGACACCAGTTACATTTCCTGCGTCTTTTGCAGCATACAGGATAGACTCATCACTGTAAAGTCCACTACTTCGTGATTTTTATTTGTAGAATACATGACAGGCGTATTCAGTGTGCCTCGCAGGACTGCGCGATGCTGCAGAAGACCAGTTTCGACCTTTCTGGACCGCCATTCACCGACGGTGGGCTACACGATGCTGGAGGAACTAGATTCCAGTGAAAACCCAAGATTCCTTTGCTCCTGGACGCTCCGACGTGTTGTGATATCTGCCAGGTGCGCAGTAACTAGTATTTTCATCGCTATAGCGAGGACGACGCCGATCGGCAAACTCTCGCTCACAGCCATCACCAGCCTCTCAAAACCATCACTTGGCATCCCCCAGAGGTATAGGAGAAAGCCAAAACAGCTCTCAACAAACAAAAGCTAAGGACGATGGAAAGGGAGCATGTCAAAAAGAAGACGAACAGTATGAAGTTCAAATGAGCCCTGTGCATGTGATGAGAAAAGGGACCAAATGGCTGTCAGCTGACAGTTGAGTACAACGCGTTTGAAAGTGGGCACTTGAAAAATCGCTGATTTTCGACTGCATTCGCTTGGATTTGGAATAACTTTAGAAGGGTTTTGTGTGATTCAATGCGGTAAAAACGAGTGCAGAGCTGCTTTGGTGGCCTTTCTGTACGTATTTCGATCGTCACCGCCCACGCATGCCAGAGAACGGTGTACGTGACATGCAGGCTACGCGTCCGCGAGCTGCCGTTGCAAAGAGAAAATCTTTGAACATCACTTCAGATGTTTCTTTCTCGTTCTGCTTAGAAATTTGTTTGCAAACATGTCGATCCCAACATTTACCGTTGATGCGAGTCTCAGGGAAGCTTTGACAGAGCTAGATAGAGAGTTTTTGGGCATCGAAGTGGAGATTGCCGAGTCAAGTGATGATTCTGACAGGGAGTTGTCGTTGGAGTTGTCAGAACTATCCTCTTCCTCTGATGAAGACGGCGATGATCGGGAAGACCACTTTTTGGACGAGTCACTCGATGTGGATGCAGTTGCAGCATCATACCTCGGCGAAGAGTCAGCGCAGGCTGCAGAACCAGCGCAGGCTGCAGAACCAGCGCTTGCTGAGGCGGCAGCTGCGGAAGAAATAACTGTGAACTGCGGGTGCAGCAAAAAGTGCTTGGACAAGTTTGATGCAGAAGATGTTCGACTGCTGCAGCTCAACATCGCAGAAATGGAGAAAGGGGAGAAGGAGCTGGTGATTTTGGGCCTTCTTGAGTCATCCAAGTACTCTACTGACACCACGACTCATGGGAAGAAGAGAAAGAAGCAATGGCATCGGTATACTTACCAAGGCGAAGAGGTTTGCGCCGGTGGATTTCGATTGCTGTACAACATCGGATCAAAGCAACTAAAAAATCTGAAAAAACATTTGGAGGAGAATGGGCTGGTGCCACGGACCCATGGCAATGTCGGCAGGAAGCCTAAACATGCTTTGTCGTACGATACTGTGTCTGCCGTTGTGCAATTTCTAAAAACTTACACTGAGCGCTTCGGCATACCACAGCCAGCACCGACTCGAGGGCGAGCTGGAGCACCGCCAACTTATCTGCCAGCGTCATCAACGGTTAAATCCATCCACAAGTGCTATGTGACCTCATTAGAGGAATCAGGCATCAGGGCTGTGGGCTACCACACATTTCGGTCCGTTTGGCTTGACTGCTTGCCAAACATTCAGATTATGACGCCGCGCACTGACGTATGCTCGCGCTGTGAGAATTTCCGCCGACGGATTCAGGAAGCACGGACGGAACCCGAGAAGAGTGCAGCATGCGATGAATTCAAACAACACCTCGACGCAACGCAAGCAGAGCGTGACTACTACCGTCAAGCGACACTACAGGCCCGGGCAGAGCTTGATGCATGTACGACTATCCAGCAGCAGCTGAGCCAGCCATGTTCACGCGATCTGCACCACCCGCACTACACGTTCGACTTTGCCCAGAACGTGGCACTGCCGCAGTCGGCACGTCAGGAGGGCCCCCTGTACTTTAAGGCACCTCGTAAGGTGCAAATATTCGGTGTGAACAATGAAGCTGTGCCTCAGCAGGTCAACTACCTGATCGACGAGTCAGACACCATCGGGCAAGACGGCAAGTCGAGTCATGGTCCGAACGCGGTGGCCTCCATGCTGCACCATTTTTTTTCATTCTATGGACTACATGAGAAAGGCTGCCTCCTGCACTGTGATAATTGCGCAGGCCAGAACAAGAATCGGACTATCGTAGCGTATTTCTGCTGGAGGGTGATTATGGGACTGCATGACCGTATTGAACTGTCCTTCATGTTGACTGGCCGGTGCCTTGTCGATGGCTGCTTTGGCCTGCTGAAGCAAAAGTTCCGGCGTAGCGACTGCTACACCATGGGGCAGCTGGTGGCAGTGGTCAATGAAAGCGCATCTTGCAACAAGGCCCAGCTGATTCCTGGATCTGGTTTGGAATGGAGAGCCTGGGATACATTTCTGGCTCAACATTTCAAGCCAGTGAAAGGAATCCGCAAGGTTCAGCACATGGTATTCGACGCAGCTAAGCCCGGTATTGTCAGTGTCAAGGCATCCCTGGAAGACACCTACAGCGATGTGGAGGTGCTCACCACGTCTAAAGACGCCCTTGTTGCCGCAGGGATGCCCCCAGTCCTTCAAGCACCAGGACTATCCGAACAACGACAGCAATACCTCTATAATCAGATCCGCCCGCATGTGCCTGACCAATTCCAGGATGAGCTCTGCCCGAAGCCAGCTGTGCATGTGTCTGCTAGTGCCGCTACTAGTGCTTCTCCGGTGGAGGAGTAATGTAACAGACTCTGCTACCTCACGGCTACTTCAAAACTTTTTTAATGCCAAATTGCTGCTGGTTGTATATTTTCTTGCTGTATTTTTAATGTCTCGGGACGTGGACTTGCTCCATCTTTGTGTGTTTGATGGTGGTGGCATGCCAGTATTACCTTGTACAGTTTTTCCTCTTGGCCCAGTCAAATGTCAGTGTCAATTGCCAGTAACTACAGGCTGTGTGCAGGCTCAAACATTCCCATACATTTCGTGTCAATAAGTCCTCAAAGTTTTGTATGATCCTGTTCTTCGTATGGCTGCAAAATATCTGAAAAGACACTTAGAAGATTGACCGTAGCTTTGTCAAAAATTGAGATAATTCAGCTCTGTTTTTTGCATCGTTTTCTGCATGAAACCAGCTTTCTTCTGATGTTTAGAGCTCGGTTTGAGTAAAAAAAGCCATTTGGTCCCTTTTCTCATCACAGGGCTCAAATGGGTTTGAACACTCGTTCCACCAACTATACCACTTTCAATAAATCGTGACGCCATTTTGTTTTAACATGAATATCGCGGATTGGGACTATTTGTGAAGGAAAACTTTGGAAAATGTAATTTCGAATATAAGTCATTTCGTTTATCTGGATAGGTCCAATATTTCACAGATGTGCAATATAAGTATTGTAGATCACTGGGACAGGGCAACTTGGTCGGTCGAAGTTAGTCACGAGGAAAAAAATTACTTCATTGCCCTAAAGGTGAGAACAAATTGGGACTATTTGTGAAGGAAAACTTTGGAAAATGTAATTTCGAATATAAGTCATTTCGTTTATCTGGATAGGTCCAATATTTCACAGATGTGCAATATAAGTATTGTAGATCACTGGGACAGGGCAACTTGGTCGGTCGAAGTTAGTCACGAGGAAAAAAATTACTTCATTGCCCTAAAGGTGAGAAAATATTGAGGCAATTTGTAAAGAAAGGATTACCTCATCTTAGGTGGTCAAAGTGCCTCAGAGTTCGAGTGGCAGTGCAAAGCCAGTGAGTAAGCCAGTGAACAAGACCCTTTATTAGTGAACTCCTCAGCGATGGCCACAGATGGCTGTATTTCGGCGATGGAGATCGAAAGTCTGACCAGAATTGTTCAGCGAAAGGACGAAGACGACGCTAGCGCTATGTACGGATTTCCCGGGCGCTATGACCTATGTACGGACGTGTCCCACACCGAGCAGGTCGTAATATTTTGAATCGTTGAGTCGATCATGGTTGTGCACAAGTGATCATGGTGATGCGCGTGTCGCCTCCCGGGTCCCTGATCAAGACTACAGACTACAGTCTGTACAGAGTTCATGAACTCTTGGCATGATGCATTATGATGTCAGTTTTCAACTTTTGAACATGAACTTGTGGCAAAACAGATGTCGACGCAAATTTTGTTACCATCCATCTGTTTTTCAGCTACATTGTACTACGAGTAGATCTACTGCCTATCCAGGTGGTATCTTCCTTGCTCTTTCCACTTAATCTCTTTTGAGGCTTCCATGGATGGTGCATGCTGGGAGCAAGCGCAGTATTACAAGTCTAATGAGTGAGTATCCAAATCTGCCTGCATTGCACCGGTACACGTGAGCTGACACCTTCAATAATTTGCTCATGACATGGCCTTTCGCAAGACGTAACGTATTGAGAAGAATATTGCCATTTCCTGCATCACAAATCCACTTTGTTTGAGCATATTTCTTGTGCAACTAGAGGCGCTCCGATATTTGGAGAGATAGAAATGCACTCTGCTGCTGCTGTTGGAGAGATGTAAGGACGTGTGGCTGAAAGGGAAATGGCTGATTCGCTGTGCGCAACTTATGAGGTCGTATACCGTCCTGCTGATGAAGAAATTCATATCAAGGGCGATGTGTGGATCCTGGGCCGACATTATAATTTGCCACAAGGTATGGTGCACTAGCTGGCACCGCGTGTCAGTGACTGCTGGTGCTGCTTCTGTCGTGCTCATTTTCATTGATATTGCTATTGTGGTTGCTTGAAAGGTGTTGACATGATTCAAGTTGTTGCCAATGTTATCATTCTCAATCTAGATAGGGCAAACCTTACTGACATACATACCCACAATATGACAGTTTGAAATAAGGCAAAGAATCTGTGCAAAGACATTGATTTGTGGTGACTAAAATTTGGAGCGTTCAGAAACAAGAAAACTCTGGCGTGGAGCACTTCTTGTGGAGCTGGCTTGGCCAATCAAAAAGGCTTGATAACGTGCTAGTGCATCAGTACTTCAAGAAGTAGTTGATTGGTAACTGTCCACACTCCTTTCCTTCTTTCAGAACAAGGCGTGTTGTCCAAGAATTGGCCGGTCCATGACGCATTAACGAGCATACTACCCACTCCTATCGCATGTAGTGATGATAATCGTTTTTAGTGATCAAATCCCACTTTTTCTAACACCAACGTTATAGCAGATCTCTACCCTGGCTGTTTTCATTACTAAGTCTTCTTGTAAATTCGGAACGACGCTTCACGCATCAGTGCATCTGAGTGTTGGCCAGTGTTGCCACAATACAAGTTGCTAAGTCTTCTTGGCTTGCTAAAATCGTAAGATGTGCTAGACATACGAGTACGGTATTAAATAATCCAATACTATAGTAGAGTACTAGCACCAGATTATATTAGATAATCCAATACTAGTACAGCACCAGTGTTAGATAAACCTTGTTATAGTCCACACGTGGTAAGGTCACTGTTTGCGAACACGCTGTCCTCCACCTTGTTTCATGCTGTCAAACCAACAACATACGAGTATGTACAACAAAGCACTACTCCTAATGATGTGAGTGTTGTCACTGTTGGCGTACGCAGCACTGTTTAAAACCCAGATGGAGATGTCCACATCATGTTCAAGTTTTCCTGAACATGCATACCCCGCTACCATATTTCCTGAATACTGTAAAACCGGGAATTTTCGGTGGTGTAATATTTTCGGTATTTCCCAAAAACAACGGTTCAACATCGCGAAAATTTCGGTAATTCAGTTTTCCAGATCCAAAAATGCATTTTGCACACTGTGTGGCATGGTACTCTTGAATTTTAGGTCCCGTTTTACTTTAGGTAAAAATTACCTTTACCAACTTCCTCATAAGAATATCACCGTAGTTGCAACCACAATTTCATACGTAGTCATGTAAAAATTGCAACTCCTTTATATAAAACGAACATGCAAAACCCGTGGGATAAGCAGTGCTGTGCTGAAGCCCAGCGTCTGAACCGCCACCCCACTGCCCCGTGTATTATTCCAGTGTGCTGGGATCTTGTGCGTCTATAGTGCTACGTGTACACGCATGTCGTATGTATGTCTGTGTTACCTACCCCCTTGCACGTATCAGTGTGTCATCTTGCACGTATTCTCCGTGTGTGAGCGCTTAGTATGCGGCCTCAAAGTGTGCAAAGTCATGCCAGTGTCTAGTAGTATCTACAACAACTTGGAGTAGTGTTGCAGCACTGATAGGATACTATCAGAACTGATATCAGTTTTTGATTGATGTGCCGGTTGCTGGTCAGTTTATGATACAAGTTGAAAACAAAAACAAACTTGAGACTGTACTCAACCTGAGAAGTTGCGTTATATATAACTCTTCGCTTCTCCAACTCCAAAGGTTACATTATGTTAAATAGAGGTCGTCCAAGGTTACCATTTTTTTTTTTCAAAACGAAATGTTTTTGGTTGGGTTGGGTTTTAGGAGTTTCGTTTTGGAAAATAGTATTCCATGCACATGGAGAATTGCCGGGTACTATCGAATATTGAAATCAATATTTTGTTGACATTCATTTTTACCTGCAAAAGGGTGGGTGGATGGGTGGGGGTTGAGAAATACTAAAACTTTTCGTTTAGAAAACAAACGATCGGTAACCCCTAACGGCCACGTTAACTTAACAGTATGGATTTTTTTGGTACCGATGGTAGTTATCACTGCTGTTGTCTTTGTCATGTGTGCTCATGCAGAGCCTAGCTGCTGTTCATTCCTCAGCACGTACATATAGTACTTGTATTACTTCTTACCCTGTAGTTTGGTGAATTGCTTGTGTGCTCTTTGCTGGCTTCTGTTTCAGATAAGCAAGCACTGGAAAGTCATGTTGAATCCCTGATTTGGTGTACTTACCGCAAGAATTTTAGGGCTATCGGTACGCTATGTGTGATGCCGATATTGACAGTGGGAGAGAGGGAGAGAGAGAGAGAGAGAGAGAGAGAGAGAGAGTGAGGGGGGGGGGGGCGTATGTTCTCGCATGCATATGTCAGTGAAGGTGTGTGTGTGTGTGAGAGAGAGAGAGAGAGAGAGAGAGAGAGAGAGAGAGAGAGAGAGAGAGAGAGAGAGAGAGAGAGAGAGAGAGAGAGAGAGAGAGAGATAGAGTGCGTGTGTGTGTATGTGTGCCCGCGCGTGTGTGCAGCATGCGTGGCTCTGCACTATGGAACCAACTGCTGTTGAGTGGTGACTACTACTTCAACCAATGCAGCAACAGGACACACATACGCGCATGCACACACACACATACGCGCATGCACACACGTACACACAAACATACATACACACGTACTTCAGAAGTACATACATACACACACACACACGCACACACACACACACACACACACAGTGACACATGCACACAGACATAGGCACACAGACATACGGTCATGATCCTAGCAATGTGTACATGTATGCGATTGTCATGTTGAAGTAGTTTAGAGTATTTGTGCTGTCTCCCTGCTGCCCTCACTGATTGGATACATTGTGTAGGTGGGACCGGCTATACCTCTGACTCAGGATGGGGTTGCACAATGCGCTGTGGACAAATGGTCTTGGCTGAATCTTTGACGCGGCTCCATCTTGGCAAAGGTATGTGTGTGTGTTCTGTATACGTGTGTCAAACCTGTACGTCTGTGCATGTGTGCTGCCTGCTGTGTCACACAACACGGTGCGCCCGATGAACATGTCACGTGTGTTCATGCATGCGTGGGTATTTGTGTGCGTGTTGTTGTATACTTTATTTATAGTGCGCGATGGATTTTCTTTTTCATATCCAGTGGTTGCATATTGTCAAGACGTAGATACCAGTCCTCTTATACGTGTAGCTATTTGCAACTTAGGTCTATCACCTCTGTGTCCATGTGATGTGTGTGGGTGTTGCTTAGGTTTATCGCCTCTGTGTTCATGTGATGTGTTCAGATTGGAAATGGACGCCAGGCACAAGAGACCGCCGCTACCACAGTGTATGGAGTTGGATATTCTGTGTAGTGTGTGTGGTCTGTGTAGTGTGTGTAGTGCTATTGTGCATGTTCTGCCTAACCTTTGTTCTGCTTAACCTTTGTTCTGCTTAACCTTTGTTCTGCCTCTGCTTGCTGCATGTGGTAGTACTGCTGTATTCTGATAGTACTGTCTCTAGGTCTTGTTCTCTGTGATCGTTTTCCTTTTGACAACGTTAGCCTTCCAATCCCTGCTGGGTCCAGCATGGCTGTGTATTAATGTAACAAGCTTGAAACCTTTACTGTTTAGTGTACGAGTATACAATACATGCTATAACGTAGATTGTAGGCATCCGTTGTTATTGTTGCTACATTGTTATTACAGCTCTTACGTTGCTTCTTGGACAAGCCAGACTCCATCTACGCCCTTCAACAAATAGGTAAGCGCAGAGTGTCGCTTACACTACTATGCCTGCTTCAGAGTACGTTTTTTCTCAGACCGGATCAAGTGTAGTTTTTGTACTTTTTACCGCCTTAGCTCCTGTTAGCATGTATCTGCATGCTGTCCCTTCACTCCAGATTAGCCAGCCTTTGCATGTGCGCCGCACAGAGATGGACAAGCAATAATGCGGATGCATTGTAATGCCTATGGGAGATGCTACATACAATACACGAAGTGAAGGGATTCTAATTTCTAGGATATTTGCACACTAGAATTTACTCACCTATTACAGTGTGTGTTTTTGGTCGGTGTTCATATCTCATTACTGGTGTCGATGTTTTACACTGCCATCATCCATGTGTGTGTGTGTGTGTGTGTGCGTGTGTGTGTGTGTGTGTGCGCGCGCGCGCTTGTGTGTGTGTGTACATGTGCGTGTTTGTGCTTGTGTACATGTGTGTGTGTGTGTGTGTGTGTGCTGTATGTGTGCATGTGTGTTTGTTTGCATGCTTGCACTTGTGTCTGTATGTGTGTCTGCGTGTGTACACATGCCTGCACCACGCATGTTCATGCTTGTGCACATGTGCTGAATTTTAGCCCAGTTTGGTGTTGACTTTCATCGTCGTATCGGTGAATGGTTTGGACCGAACAATATGTGCCAAGTGATCAAGTGAGTGAACACTGTTCTGGGTTCTTCTTTGGTTCGTCTGGTTTGTAATAATTTGTTTCTTTTTTTTCTTTCCCCACTTCCCAGGTCTGTAGATTTGTACATAGCCTAGCCACCCTGCCAAAAGATGGAGGGTATTATATTGAAGACCCATGCGTATACGCTAGCAGCTGTCTTTACACACGCAGCCGTGTGTGTGTGTACATGTACTTCATATGCCGTAATAATGATATGCCGGGATAATTTGTTTCCTCTTCTGTTAGGAAACTGACCCGCTACGACGGCTGGAGTAACTTGGTAGTGCACATTGCCATGGACATGACCCTCATAGAATCTGAAATCTGTGAGTTCTGATACTTGTGTCTAGTGTATGCATGTCTTGTTGGTGTTTGGTGTTATGTTTTACTTATTGGTGACTTTCTGGTGTTGTCTTTCCCTAGAGTAGCAGGGGGTGGCCGGTAGCAAGCAGTTCTTGCAGATCTTTATTTTATTTTTTTATTATTTATATACAAGTGCGCATGCCATGGGCTCCAATCTGGTTAGAATTGAGGAGCAAAAGGGTGCTGAGACCTACACTTGTAGTGTGCTCGGCCGACCTGAGGTGTCGGCTTCATAGTGAACTAGGTACACCGATATCATGAAAACCTGTATTGCTGGTGCTTGCTGTCCCCATGCAGATGCATTGTGCGAAGGCAAAGACACGGCAACGGGCAAGCGCAGGTCCTTTCAGGACGGCAAGGGCGAGAGCATAGCCACGGAATCGCCCCAGGCGGCCACTGCCGATGGCGGTGCGTCGGCGAGGAACGAGTTCAAGCCACTGCTGCTCTTCATTCCGCTGCGCCTCGGTCTTGACACATTTGAGAAGAAGTACTCCGAGTCAGTGAAGGTATGTTGTTCTCAAAACATGTCTGCCAGACACTGTAGTTTCCAGTAAGTAAATAATGCTAACGTCTACATGTACATGTAGCTAGCAGACTGGAGGCACACAATGTTACCTTCGGGAGGCTCCTGTGCACCTGTACATGTACAAGTAGTCCTTATGCACAGTCCAGGAAAGCCATCATGGGTAAACGCTGACATCGATAGAGACCACTGCCTTTTGATTGTCAGCAACATACTTTGTCGTTTTCGGCTAAATTATTCAGAATGCCGAGACTATCCTGTAAATTGGGACCATATTCCGTGGTTACTTTGCATCGGGAGCGCACTTTGCTTGTCAGCAGTGTCTTTTAAAAGCAAAATTTTAAAGTTTATTTCATTCATGTAGTGTTGATCTTCACAGTCGATTCAAGTAGCCAAATTGTGGGTTGTGATGGTGGTCTGTTTGTCTGTCTAATCTTTGACAGGCCTGCTTCAAAGTGCCGCAGTCAGTTGGCATCATTGGTGGCCGGCCACGCAACGCCTACTGGTTCTATGGAGTCCAAGGTGGAGAGGGTAAGTAATGGATATACATTGATCTGCTGTGTACTTGCCCTAGTCTTGCACTCTGTACTTGTCCTAGTCTCGCACTCGGTACTTGTCGTAGTCTTGCACTCTCGGTACTTGTACTCTCGGTACTTGTACTCTCGGTACTTGTACTCTCGGTACTTGTCGTAGTCTTGCACTCTGTACTTGTCCTAGTCTTGCACTCTGTACTCGTCCTAGTCTAGCACTCTGCATGTGTCCTAGTCTAGCACTCTGCATGTGTCCTAGTCTTGCACTCTGCATGTGTCCTAGTCTTGCACTCTGCATATGTCCTGGTCTTGTACTCTGGATGTGTCCTGGTCTTGCACTCTGCATGTGTCCTGGTCTTGCACTCTGCATGTGTCCTGGTCTTGTACTCTGCATGTGTCCTGGTCTTGTACTCTGCATGTGTCCTAGTCTTGCACTCTGCATGTGTCCTGTTCTTGTACTCTGCATGTGTCCTGGTCTTGCACTCTGCATGTGTCCTGGTCTTGCACTCTGCATGTGTCCTAGTCGTGCACTCTGCATGTGTCCTAGTCTTGTACTCTGCATGTGTCCTGGTCTTGCACTCTGCATGTGTCCTAGTCTTGTACTCTGTACTTGCCATGTACAGTATACATGTATTGTGTTGCACGCACTGCTAAAAAGTAAAAACACCTTTTTTTTTGCTTCAAGCCACTGAATCTTGTGTTTTCGAAGAGAGACGTTTCATGAAGTTTTGATGAGCCCTCAATATCATCAGCATGTTGTATTACTATTTTTATCCTTGATGTTTGGCACAGCTGTGTAGCCAGCTGTTGACTTGCCTTTGTCCCGTGTGCGTTCATGCGTTCATGCGTGTGTGCACATGTGTGTGCATGTGTGTGTGTGTGTGCACATGTGTGTGTGTGTGTGTGTGTGTGTGTGTGTGTGTGTGTGTGTGTGTGTGTGTGTGTGTGTGTGTGTAACTGTGTAACTGTGTAACTGTGGTTACCACCAGCCAGTGCATGCCGGAGTATGTGGTGTGATGTGTGTGCGGGGGAAAAAGAAAAGAAAAAAAGACCAAAAATAGGGATTCACTGGCCAGAAAAAGTCACTTCAAATAGCTGTATGGTGTAGACCAGGCTGAATAGTGACGGTCAATTCTTCAGCCTTGCAAGCTGTTGAATGGTGCAATCCCAGCACAAGTTGCTATGGCTTCTGCCGTAGCATTGCTATCATCGCCTCCGGCGATGGGCGTCAAAGGTCAAAGGTGTGTGTGTGCGTGTGTGCACTTGTGCATATCTGCTTTGCTTCCGTGTATCCTTGCACGTGCATGGCTCGGTGCATGCACGTCTATGTACTTGTTCACATAATTATCTGTTGTTTTTTCCTGCATCTAGGTGGAAAGCTCTTCTATCTTGATCCACACACTATCCAGGTTACCGTTGAGCCCGTCAATGACCAAGTACCAGATGAAGTTAGTAGTACTTGTACCCGTACATGCACGTCTACAGCCAAAGCTTCTGAAAAATAATACGATAGGAAATATGATTGGTACAGCTTGGTTGATAGGACCTGCCTTGATCCAGCTGGTTCTGATTTGCCACATTGGCAAAATGATGTTGCCTAGAATTTCCACTTACGTGTCAACATTTGGTATTTAACGTAGAACTTTTTTTCAGTTCCTGGCTGCAGTGATTTGTGTGTGTGTGTGTGTGTGTGTGTGTGTGTGTGTGCGTATGTGTGTACATGTGTGTATGTGTGTGTGTGTGTGTGTGTGTGCGTGGGTGCGTGCGCATGTGTGTGTGTGGGTGTATGTATGTGTGTGTGTGGGTGTGTGCGTATGTGTGTGGGTGTGTGTGTGTGCGTATGTGCATGTGTGTGTGTGCATATGTGCGTGTGTGTGTGTGTGGGTGTGGGTGTGTGTGTGCTCTCTTGGCCGTCCTATTCCGATGTACTCCGTGTTGTGTAGACCAGGTGTGCATTGGGGGTCGATTCACATGGCTTCGCCAGTTGTGTGGATTAGACAGTTATCTGGCGCTTGTCTTGATCTGTTTCAATCAGAATCAGATCCGCTACCGTTGCTATAAAGAGAAAATCTGTGGGTGCACATCCAGTGCATTTGCAGATTTGCGTGCTTCTCTTGCGGCGGGTGTATATGTTCCGGCCCGTCCGTCGATTCTGCCCATCCTAGGATGGGCATTAGCTATTTGCCCATCTTAGGATGGGGAAATCCTTGGACGGGACGGAACATATATGGTACATGGTGTGTGTGTGTGTGTGTGTGTGTGTGTGTGTGTGTGTGTGTGTGTGTGTGTGTGTGTGTGTGTGTGTGTGTGTGTTGCATTGGCACAACCTGTGGTACTACGCGTTGTACCTTCAATCAAGAATGGAAGCCAAATTACGTTTTTTCCAAAGTTGTGTGCAGAGTTGCACACCTTGGTCTATGATTGTGCCCTTGATGGTACTGTGTTGAACATGATATCTACCGGAAATGGGGATAGGTACATGTACGGGGCAGCCGTGTATGCTTGCTGCTGTAACGCCCATGTGCGAGGATAGAGGATGTCCAACATTGCTTTAGGCATGAGTTCGGGGCAGCACCAACAAATACTGTGGTGTCGATGTTGTAAGGCATTTTTTCTTTGGCATTCTACAGGCAATGTACATGACTGTAGAGATGTGGGATAGTCAACAACCTTGAGCGCCGTCCTATTCTCCTATTCTAGTGTTGAGGTGAAGCACAGTGTGTAGAAGTTGATTAAGTGTCTAAGCTGCAAGTGCAGATACATGTAACTGTGTTATATTGCTCTGCCTCTTTGCCTATGACTGCACCTCGCAGACATTCCACGACACCGGTCCTCTCCACCTTATGAGTATGTATGAACTGGAACCATCTATGGCTGTGGTAAGCTACTAGTGCAGAGTTCCAACACACACACACGCACACTGCACTGCCGGCTTCTGCAGCTTGGTGTCTTGTACTGAACCCCCAATGTGGCTTGTGAGACTCCCCCCCAATGTGGACCAGGAAACTATGTTGTGCTGTGTTGCCACACCTGCCGACATGTCAATAGCCTACTGATTTTGGAGGCATGTCACGACCTGCCGACAATTGACCTTCTCCTGCCAACAGCCATGCATGTCCAATCCAGAGTTTCGTTTACTGGTCATCATGATTGTTTCCATAGCTCTGCTAAGGTGCTAAGCGAAATCATTATTCTGTCTCGGGGAAAAAAATCGGTCTAAGCGGGGTCCCGGATGATGCATTTTTTGGCTAAAATGATGTGGCAACACTGGTTGTGTTTATTGAATGTGTGCATTGTGATGGCCGCTACAACGGGTATATTATTGCTGGCTTGTCTCTTCCCCGTGTGTTTTGTTAGGGCTTCCTGTGCACGAGTAGAGAGGAGCTGGCAGATCTCTTCATCCAACTCAGAGAAGTAAGTGTGATGTGTACCGACATCAGTAGTGCACTAATATCAGCCTCCGCGTGTGTTGTTTGGCAAGTTGTTATGAAAGGATAGCATGCTTTTGATTATTCCAGTAGCTTTATGCGTGTGCGTGCGCGTGCGCGTGTGTGTGCATGTACGTGTGTGTGTGTGCATGTACGTGTGTGTGTGTGTGTGTGTTTACTTGCGTGCTCTCAGAACATACTTGGCTCTGGTCCCGGTCTGTTTGAGATCTTTGCCACACGCCCCAAGAACATGCCTGCCTTGCCTGATATGCCGGATGTTCCTAGTGCGGATGAAGAAGGTTGGTTGTTGCCTGTGCACTACTCCCCTGTGTACTGCTCTCTTGTGTGTGAACCATGGTGCAGCTATCTGTATGGCGTGGGTGCCCCATGTATTCATGTATTTCCGATTCTATTGCTTTCAGGTGTGTACGTTGATGTCAGCCCTGTTTTCACCTCCGCCGGAAACTGACCCTATTGCAGCTGGGTGCAGTGACCAGAAACAATGAATTCATTCTGGCTGGCTCATCATGAAGTTCCGTTGCACACTGATATGTTTGTGCTTGTCAAGACCATGACTGAGAAACAGAGGGCACCTGGCTCCGGCCTGCCTGGAAGTGGAAGGATCTTATTTTCCTACTATCCTACCATCCACAGTCAAGAGGGAATTTGTAGCTTGTAACCTGGCCCTATGGGGGTAACATGGATGCGACAAATGTGGTTTAGCACTGGTGCCAGTGGCTGTGGAAATTATCTCCTCGTGGCATCGCAGTTACTACTAGGGTATACCCCGCACTGTCGCGTGTAAAGGCCAGGCATATTCCTATGCAAGCCGATGGCAGGGCTGGGCTTTTATTCAAATCAGGCTACGTATACCGTAATGTCGCGTGACTCGCGTATAAAAGCAGGTGCTTACACCCGTATGAGCCGGGGTTCAAACCATGATTCTATTCAAGTTATGCTTCTATTCAAAACAAGCTTCTACGTCAACATCATCAGTCTACACTGTACAGTGCACATTGTCATGCATGTAGTGTGCACATACATGTACTTGCACGTATATGTATGCTTCTATTCAAATCACGCTTCTGTGTCACGGCGCTCTTCAAAAAACCGGCTTCTATTCGAGTCATGCTTCTATATGGGTCATGCTTTTATACGCGACACTACAGTATTCAAAGTTTCAAAATGGATACTTCAATGTATGTCCGGACACACTAAAACCAGGCCTGTGTGCTGACGATGCATCTTGAAAATCACGCTTGTATGCAAAGCAGGCTTTTGTATGAGACATGCCTTGAGACAGTACGGTAATCGGATGTGCTAGTGATCTGGTCTGAGCTAATGCATGGGTCGGATAGATCCGATGCCAATGAGAATAGGCGAATGGCGTTATTGTTATTTTTTATTGCCGAGCTTAGCCAAAGGCATCTGACCTTGAATAGTGAATACAATTGCCACCAGTAGTCACTGCAACGCCTGGCTTTTCCAGGCCACGTGTTGCCAAGAGACCAAAGCTACAAGAGTGATGTATAAAAGCTGCATGGCATGTACTGTGGACGAAGATATCACGGTGTCTGACAACGTTTGGCTTCAGTATCATGTACTCTTGGTCCGGAGACAATCCGGCTTAAGTGCAAAGCCAAAAGATTGAATTATATGTCACATGGGGTTGGCCATAGCGACAGAACTGGCTAGGCTAGCCATATCACCGCATAGCTGCTGCTCCTCTGCTTGTGTTCTTGTGACTGCTGCTCCTCTGCTTGTGTTCTGATGACTGTTGCTGACAGACCTGGACAGCTTTCAAGACCTTGTGGCGACAGACTCTAGTTCTCCTCATGTCGATAACACGAGTGCTGAGGATGACTTTGAAGTGATTGAGCTGCCGCTTGCATGACAGGCAAGCGGCACACTGCACACACACTTGGAGTATAACATGAGGTGAGCGAGGAATGCTATGTGTGCCATTGCTCTAACCATGCTTTTCTCGTCAGTTACATCACACCATCCGCTGATTTCAAGCTTAGGTTTTCTGTATAATTATATTGTTGCGGCAGTGCTGCAATCCACCTGTACATATCCGTAGATGCTGGGACTGAACAGTATCCAACGTCGTCGACGCACATATTTTTAGCTCCAGGTGCTGGGATACCTTGAGCGGTGATTTCTTGACAGAAACTAGCTGCTGACCGTTGTAGTTGGATTTGTTCCACTTTCTGTTGCTATTTTTATCTTTTGCTTTACCTCCGTTGCTGCTTTTGATAGTGATTTCTTTATTCTTCCACACCTAGTACCTGATTTCTTTATTCTTGCGCTATTTTCCTACATTCTCTTTTTTTAATTGTAATTCTCTAGCCGCTTCATTGGAGCGATGCTTTTCCAACACTGCTGGTAGTTGTTAGTTGCAGTTGAAGGCTCACTGCTGGCTGGTTTGTCTAGTTTTTTTAGACGGTGGTTACAGGTCCACCTTGATTTGAACATGCGCTGGCCATGTTGCCCCCCCCCCCCCCCCCCCCCCGTGTGTGATATCTTCAGGTCTTAGGTTGCGTGCGTATGTTTTTCAGCACGGCACATCTTTCATACTTCAGCAGCAGCTTGGCAGTTTGTGATTTTAGGAGCCATGATGTGAATAGTCATCAACGTATTCTAACACCACAATGCATACTCCGGCATTATTTATATTCTTCTTATTCACCCCTCCACTCCGTTCATGCAATCAACGCCAATCGTTGCTAATTGCTCTGCCGTGCTCTACCTTGCTTGCACACTCAAACACACACCGAAGGTTAAAGATCAGCCCTGACGAAGAAGCCCAAAATATTACAGAGAGTACAAACCCTTTTAAAAATAAAAACGTCATTTCTACGGCAGAAATTTAGCAATGTAAAAAAACTGGGAATGACGAGTAGTAGGAGTTTGTAAAGAGAATATTCTCGCCCTGGACAAGGTTATCCGGGTACGACGGCATGTACTGGAAGCTACCAACCGTTAAAACAAGAACCGTACAATATAGCTCATCTATATACCTGTAGACAGTATTCACATAAGATATGTGATATTAACTCTACAGAAGAAAAGAGGAGAACATCGACGGGTCAAAGAAATGCACTATTATTGTTATGCATGCCATGAGGCACCTAACGGGCACGAGCAAAGCCAAGACGCTGGTTGGCCATGTCGAACTCGGTGTAGTACGTACGCAGGAAAGGATCACCAAGAATCCACTGGGGAGAGCCGGGACCAGATGTCATGCCTGCGAAGCCAGCAAGACACTGCGACTGGATCTGAAAGTAAAAAAAAGAGAGAGAGAGAGCACACCGAAAACCAGGCATGTCAGCAGTGATAACCCTGTAGTCATGTGTAGGGAAGATGGTTCTGGTCCTCCTTCAATCGGACAAGAACAAGTACATGTCCAAGCGTGCATGGGGGGGGGGGGGGGGTTAGAGAGTCAATAGAGACCCCATGCAAGCCATGAGGGAGGTTTCGCTCTACGGAATTACGTATGAAAATAACGTAGGAACTGCACGTAATTTTCGTACGTAAAAATGAGCGTTGCTGGGTTTCGCTCTTACGTGATTTCTCCACGACTGCTTAACGCACTCTCCACATACAGGCATGCACCCGGCTCAGAACACATTGTTTTCTGGTTGGCATATCAGGGATATTGGGCGGAGCAGCTGGCGTGCATGAGAAAGACAGGTCGGCCTGCTCTGCGCAGGAGCTGTGACCCGGTGCACACATAGTGTGTGTGAGAGAGAGACAGACAGGTCGGCCTGCTCTGCGCAGGAGCTGTGACCTGGAGCACACAGAGTGTGAACGAGAGACGGTCGGCCTGCCGTGGGCAGGAGCTGCGACCGGTAGTGATTGAAATGAGCCAGCTGCGGAGATAGACTGCCCTCACCCGATATAAGTATATTGACAAGAGTTGTACTGACACTGTTATTGAGGAAATTATGGTGACAGTGACGGAGAGATAGTGATCCCCAGTCGAATGGGGTTGGGAGGGAAGGGGAAATTGACACTGACGGACAAACCAGTGAACAGTCAAGTCGTCAGAAAGCAAAAGTGACAAAGGAGTCTCTCTTTTCTCCTTCTCTCTCTCTAAAGCAAGATTTGGAATGCATGCGTGGGAGAGTGGCGCGCGCTGCGCATGCGCATGTATAGCAATGACATCATAATCAGATGCATGATCATCAGACCAAGTATGAGTGGTAGATGTTCCACGTTCGTTAACAGGGCTTAGCGCACACGCTAAACCACCATTAACGCACTCTCCACATACAGGCATGCACCCGGCTCAGAACACATTGTTTTCTGGTTGGCATATCAGGGATATTGGGCGGAGCAGCTGGCGTGCATGAGAAAGACAGGTCGGCCTGCTCTGCGCAGGAGCTGTGACCCGGTGCACACATAGTGTGTGTGAGAGAGAGACAGACAGGTCGGCCTGCTCTGCGCAGGAGCTGTGACCTGGAGCACACAGAGTGTGAACGAGAGACGGTCGGCCTGCCGTGGGCAGGAGCTGCGACCGGTAGTGATTGAAATGAGCCAGCTGCGGAGATAGACTGCCCGTTCCCAATATCCCCAATATGGCATGAGAGTAATAATGAAATACGACTGGTGTATTGTGCTGTACTGACAGCAGCAATGTAAAGCTAAAGCTAAGCAGTTCAGGCATGATGTGGTCACTAACCCGCAGCTACCATTGATGACTTTGAACTGCAGCTAATTGACGTGACACTCGCAGGGTGTCAGCTGTAGCAGCCCGGATGTAGCGGTGGACCGCATCACTGCGCCATCTACCCATGATACGGATGATGTGTTCGGGGACACCTGCCATGGCCGCTGATGTTGCGGCGCCAATCCGGAAAGAGTGACTGGCATATGCACTCGGGTCCGTGACCCCACAGAGTGGCAGCAGGTTGCGCAGTTCAGAGGACACTGCATTTCTTGTAAGCGGCTGGCCATTAGCATAAGTGAACAGATGGTCGCCGCCGGGGCGAAACGCCAGGTAGTTTGCCATGGCCTGCACTGGGCAGATCAGTGCGTCCGTGCTGGCTCCAACCAATACTGTGTGGCCCGTGCTGTCGGGGTCCGTCTTAGATGAGCGCACGTTTACCGATAACGACCGCTGGTCAGTACTGATCGTCACATCACATCGCCTCAGGCCAGCAGTCAGTTCTCCACAACGGAAGAACCCATGAAACGCCAAGGAAAAAGCTGCCCTCAGCATGGCCTTGTCGTGAGGGTGCCGCATGCGTGGAACGGCAACATGCCGGCAGATCTCCCTGAGAAGTGGAGTGGTTATCGGCAGACGATGACGCTGTGTCGATGACGACCTGTCGATGCCCCGCAGGACCCTAGCGAGGAGAGTTGTTGGGCCCGACGGGTAAGCAAAGCCAAGTTCCACATGAAGGTTGCGGATTGCCGACATGTAGACACGGACAGATCGAGGCTGAAGAGTCCTGAACAACTCGGCAGCAAAATAGCACAAAGTAAAGTCGTCGCCCGGCAATGGGTTGCAGGCATGCACTTGGCAAAACTGGAAGTAGCGGGTCTCGGCGGTAGAATACGTCCGGCGGGAGGATGGTGCTATTGCCAGTGCTGCTAGCTGTAGCACGGAGTCTGTCAACGGAGAGTTGGCAAGACTGGCTGATCTGGCTCGGCTGCTGCTTCCGGGGCCTGGTGCCTGAATACCTGCAGCAAATTGCGAGACAATGCATCGGCGACAGTGTTAGTGACACCAGGAATGTGGACAGCTGACACCAAGAAGTCATGCTCAATACACAGCAGATACAATGCCCGGATAAGTGTCATGACTGGCGGTGAACGGCAGGTACCGGAGCGTATACAGTCCACCACGGCCTTGTTGTCACACTGAAACTGAATGCGTCGCCTGCTCCACTCCGAACCCCAGGTCGCGCAGGCAACTATGATAGCATACATTTCTTTGAACTCAATGTTCTCGTTCTCGTTCTGGGCTGTCCACTCTCCTCTCAGCCACCGGCCGTTGTAGAAGGCACCATAACCGTGAGTGCCGCTGGCATCAGTCTGTAGTTGCATGTCGGGGGCTGGCGTCCACTCATCCACCAGGAAGAATGACTTCCCATTCCATATGGTCAGGGCCTCTGCCCACCACAACAGGTCTGCCATTGCCGATGCCGAAATGCGTAGCCATTGGTGCAATGGTGTTGATCGAGTTGCTCTGTCCAGGTCGTACAGGCGTCTCAGGAATGTGCGACCAGCTGGTACAGCTCTGGACGCGAACGAGAGTTTGCCCAATACGGAGGCGAGGTCGCGTTTCTGAACCCGGCCGGATTGGACGAGGGCCGACACGGTGGTAGATAGCTTAGTCAGCTTTGAGGGTGGAAGGCGGATCTCCAGAGCCATTGTGTCCAGCTCTAAGCCCAGGAAGGTGAGAACCGTAGAGGGGCCGTCAACCTTCTCAGGTGCAACTGGGACCTGTAAATGTGCAAACAGGTCGAGCAGTAGTGACTTCTGGTGCTGGGCAAGAGGAAGACTGGGAGGCGATACATTCAGGAAGTCATCCAGATAATGAATGAGATGGGGAAGGCGGCATGTGTCCTCCAGAACCCAATGAAGGGCAGATGCAAACTTGTCAAATATGTACGGAGCTGACCGAAGGCCGAACGGGAGGACTTTTTCGAAATAGTAACGACCATCCCAAGAGATACCCAACAAGTGCCAGTCAGAGGGGGCAACAGGGCATAATCGGAAGGCGTTTCGAATGTCCACTTTGGTCAGGTAGCAACCACGGCCGAACTTCATGATATAGGAGATAGCCGAATCGACAGTGTCATACTCCAAGCTGAATGACTCCCGGGAAATACCATCATTGACACTGCGGCCAGTGGGGGAGGATAGGTCATGGATGAGGCGAAATTTGCCATTGGATTTTGGGATCAGGCCCAAACCCGAGGTTTGAAACAGCTGATATGGCGGCTCAGCAAACGGACCAGCTGTTTCCCCAGCATCGCAACAAGACTGTAGGTACAGGGTGACAAATTGTTTATTGCAGAGACTAGACGGATGATTGACAGATTGAATGCATGATGCCAGAGGAGTGGTGTGACCAATCGAGAAGCCGTTAAACATGCCAGCACATACATAATCACGAAACAGGGCATCAGGGTGAGCAGCTAGCAGTGCAGTTAGCCGAGGCACGTTGACTGGAGTGACGACGTCACTGGGAAGACTGAGAGGCCGCTCGGGTGCAAGTCTTCTTTGGGTGTTTGCCGCGGCATGACAGACAGACATGGGCCCGTATGCAGGACGGGTATGTGCAGGCGCCGTTGTTGTAATTCCGGCAGATCTGGCGGCCATCGTGACGAGGAGCTGGGCTGGTGGCTGACTGGCTCCCGCCTGCGTGCTGCGCAAGAGGGAGCCCTCCACGAAAGGGGCAATGCGGGGCTGGAGATGGGTGCACGAGAGAACAACGCGAGCAGATAGGGCGCCCGCGGCTCGTGAAGCAGGACTGCCAGAGGTTAGGGTCCAGTTGCCGCCAGGAATACAGGTGCGGCATGGCAGCAAGACCAGCACGGAAACGACGGTCATAGGTCAGCCACGCGTCGGTCAGATAATTGTTGTTGGCCTCGATGATGTTGGCTTGGTACGCCAGCAAATCTGGAGCTTGGTCCGGCGACGCATCGACCAGGACTCTGGTGAACGGCAATGGGCAAATTGACACTGACGGACAAACCAGTGAACAGTCAAGTCGTCAGAAAGCAAAAGTGACAAAGGAGTCTCTCTTTTCTCCTTCTCTCTCTCTAAAGCAAGATTTGGAATGCATGCGTGGGAGAGTGGCGCGCGCTGCGCATGCGCATGTATAGCAATGACATCATAATCAGATGCATGATCATCAGACTAAGTATGAGTGGTAGATGTTCCACGTTCGTTAACAGGGCTTAGCGCACACGCTAAACCACCATAAACAATAAACATGCCTTGTTGCTTTGGAGACGTGTTGGCTGCATGCGCCCACTGCATGCACCACGAACCGAAACCGCATTTTAAATTTTATTTTGCACGTGGTGTACGGTGTACACACACAGTACACCACGTGCAAACCTTGTGTTTCGCGCGGCTTGAACGTTGCCATGGATAAATCCGGAAAATGCAAAAAATATTTCAAAAAGTCTTACGGAGGACCCAACGACTGGTTTAATATATATGTAGGAATTGCTTTCATACGGAAATCCGTAGACAGATTTACGTATGAAAGTTGCCCTCGCTCCCCGGCGCGTACGACACACGGATTTTTATACGTAATTACGTAGAGCGAAACCTACCTAATGTCACCGTACACCATCTCTCTGAAACGGAGCGAGGACTTCTGCACTGGTGATCCTAGCACATTGTATTCATTGGCACTTTTGTCTGACCTAAAAAATGACCAGTTACTGGTGTGTGATCGATCGTGGATGGAAATTATTTGGCGACAGTGAGCATTGAGTATGTTCAGCATGCCGGGACCTCACTTCTATGGATTTTGCTTTATCATCAAGTATCTTATCTGCATGTGCACAGAAGTACAGTGGTGACTGGTTTGGGTTGGCCAAAACATGGCCTTGTTCAGGATATAATAATTATGAAAAGTGCACATGCTACCAATGAGAAAGAATACAACGGATTTCCGGCTCTCACCTTGATGATATACTGGTTGGGAGAGAGGGTGTGTTTGACACCAGCAATAGTAAAGACCAGTGCTGGCATGCTAGGTATGCTGTCGCAGCTCACCATGTAGACCTGCACAGCAATGACAACACAAACATGGCCAAACACGCACGCACACACACTATTGATAAAGGATCATTCCTTCTCAAGACCAGAGCTAGGTGTTAAAAATAGACTGCAAGATAATATGAACCAGCAGCAAAGACACGAAATAGAAAGGGGATTTCCCTGGCCCTAGCTGACCTGTGCAGAACCAGCAGAGCACATGCAGCTTTCTTTTGAGCAAGAGTAGATCGATCATCAAGGGTGTGCAACTCCTATCTCGAGTTGCAATGGTTTACCTCACGACGACATTTTTTTTCATTGTGTCATTTTTGGTGAAGCATGATCCCTCTCTCTCTCTCTCACGGCTGTTTGCGCACGGACATCTAACAATATGGAGTCGTTCAGTGCGATTTACGTAAAGCGGTGCAAACCTCATGAATACGATGGGAGTTTGCGTTTTGGGATGAAACTCATGTCACTCTCCGTGTGGTTCCACGATTTCGCAAGTCAAACCAGGATTTAATATTTGAAAGCGCTCGAGCGAGATACTGAATATCCAGACAATTTGAGAGAGAAGGAAGGTAAAAGGAACTCCTGCCATGGTCAACCAGCATGCTGACCTTTTCGAACCTCTCCAAGCTATCCCTGGTAGTCTGGATATTGACGCACGCACTGATTTTCAGCTTCTCCTCGTCGGGATCACGGGTGCAACTTTCAAATTTGCCGATATGCACTCGAACAAACGCACAATTGGATCTACATCACAATTTTGGATCTACATCACAATTTTGGGGCTACTGTGTGCTTGCTGCCTTTTTCAGCAATACCCCACATGTCTACTTGGCAGTTTCCACCAGGCCTCGGCCTCCTGGACTCAACAGCGACTCCAGCGCCATGCCATCTGTCCCCTGAATCGCATGAAAAGGTAGCTCAGCATCGCACGCACGGGACCTGAAGTTTGTGCACGGGACGTGATAAAACTTGGTGAAGATAGCCAGAAGATAGTCCTCTACCTGGGAAAACTAGACTGGGAAAACTTCTGAAAGGGCTTCTTGAGGCAGGCATGTCAACGATGAATCAAAGAACGAGCGAGAAAGAAGGCTTGACTTGTGCAACGCGGAACAAACTGTTCCTGCGAGGAAGTTGGCCATGTGAGGTACCAACGGAAAGCTAGTTTCAAGAGGAACACGGAATACCTGTTTTCCGGGTAAACCTGGCCTGGTAGCTTTCTATATCGAGCGAAAACCACAGCGAAATCGGCTGCTGAGAATTTGAAAATTCAAATTTCCTTGCCGATCCAGCCCAATCGAGACTTTTGGCTGCCATCTTGTTAAATGTCCAAATTTCGCGGAAAAAAACAGCCATGCTCTCCCCTCACTTGCAAGTAGATACAGTGTTAGTTCATCAGTTTCATGACGCATAGACCTATGGCCTTTTGTTCTGCTTCGACTACCCTCCTGTGATGCTCAAATTCTTTACAATTTTCATTCAGGCTATTCATGGTGGCATCGGCGAGGCAAAAGGCCGCCGAAGATTAGTCATTAAACAATTCCGCCGTGGGTTGCGGGATCGAGTTACACACTCTTCATTATCCACTCTTGTTTTGAGGAAGATGGTGGTCCCAGGGCAGATTGAAAATACACCAGCCCCTGTAGATCACGTACCCCTTGGGCTGGATAGGCATTGATGGCCTGCAAGATGGCAGAAACGTCTTGCTGGGGTCCGACGATCATGGACGTGCCAGTGTCGGCAATGGCAGTGCAGCCACCTTGGCAAATTGGAGTACTTCCAAATGAGCCCCTGAAGCAGAAACACAACAAGGGACACATGGATGGATGGCATGGAAGATTTAGGGGGCGTTCGTTTATGATCTACAGGTTTGGGTAGAAACAACTTCTTTCGGTAGAAGTGTTCGTTTTTTCTATGCAAAAGGGTTGATTCTACTTTCCTCTACTGGCTCTACCAGGAAAAGTTGGTAGAAGCCAGTAGAAGTGGGTCGAGGTACGGGATTTCCAGCAAGATAAAGGAGTTTTACACAACTCCATACAGAAGAGAAACATTTCACGTACATATCGTGAAAAACTACTAAATCCGGCAGAACAGCGTTCGTGCACTTACCTCTACCATCTACCTCTATCGGTAGAGTGACTCTACTCTACCACGCAGGTAGCTAAAAACGAACACAGCCTTAAAATAGTCTACAAGTTCGAAGAAATCCTGTGAACTCCAAATCAATGAAATGCATGCAGCATGCTTGACCAAGCACAAGCCACAAAACACCCGCTGAAGGATAATGCAAGTTCTAGAAGCTCACTCCTGGCACAGAGGCCGAAGAAACTACTGTCTAAAAGTAACATACAAATCAGGTTCATTCCTGCAATAGTACAAGCCGATGCAATGACTAGGCCTCCATTCAAACCATATAGAACGCCTTGCCTTTCATGACTGCATGTATTATAGTATGTTAAAATGAACCTTGCTTGATAGTTTACCAGGTTACCATGGTTACTGAGGTATGGACTATGATGATGACAGCGCATGACAAAGCGGAGGACACACTGCATGGACACCAGTGTTCCGGTCTCTCCGGTTACGGTTAGGAACACATGTACTGGTTTTCATGCAGTGTGTTCTTCGCTTTGTGATGTGCTGTCATCATTGTCACACCTGCATGATGTAGGATACTGCATACTCTTTCATATGGGCCAACTGTAAGTTCCAGCTTTTTCACGAAAAGAAACAAATTCATTCACGAGTGGTTGAGTGGGTTGAGGTGAGCTTCGTTTTGAAAACGCTTTTAAAGCCGACAAACCAAAAACTCTTAGTTACAATTTATTTTTGTGTCAGGGGCAGATGGGATGGGTTGGGATAAAGCCATTAATTTCGTTTCGTGAAAATCCTTGCTAGTAGAGAGGTTAAGTTTCACGTAAAATTCTTACGTCCGTGAACTTTTACGTCAAAAAGTGAAAAACTCACGTAACATTGGACGTGTTTTACGTGAGTTGACTGTCCCGCACGTAAGTTCATGACGTGGGTTTTTGGACGTTTCGCTTGATTATCCCGACCGAATTTGTGTGAGTTTCCGGAGTTTTATCGAATTTTATCGAGTTTGTTGTAAGATTTGATATTTGTGCGAACTAAACCCGAATCCTGCCAGGCAAAATTTCACGTCACGCCGCACGTGTAACTTAACCTCTAAAAATTACACGTAACGTGAGATTTGCACCGCGTTTTGAAAAAGGGCAAAAAACGTGTGACTCAACCTCTCTAGTGCCCAATGATCCCCAGTTTTGCACAAAATTTGCGCTTGTATGGTAGATTACAGAGCAGCAGCAGAAGTGCGAGGCTAGCACTGCACTGACCACACTTACCCTGCCATGTTGAACAACCACCAGGACTCGCTGATCAGGTTAACATAGTTGAATGTACCAGTGTAGTGAGCAGGGTCGGTGCCACCGAGCAGCAGTTCACCACCAGATGTACTGTCACCATCGCTGTAAACAAGAGAGGTGAACGCCAGCAGAACCAGGATGAGAAATTCACTTAGTGCTATGTCACTCCCTAAACAGTAACAGAATCATGTGGTATATTATTAAAGGGTCTCCTAGTCTTGCAGCATTTGGTCAATGCTTAAAAAAAATCAATCAATCCAATGTGACCAGCCAGCAAGTAACAGCACACTTGATTAAAATCAATACAGAATATCCTTACTTGGCCAAGTAGAATGCAAAAGAGCCATTCTGGACGGCACCGGAATTGATGAGATTTCTGAAGAAGGGGGTGACATGATCGGCAGAGATCATCTTGAAAGCCAAGCCCAGGAGACCGTCAGCTTGGCTGTGGGCGAACATATCACTCACAAAGTAGGTTGTCTCTCCAAAGACCTGGCCTTGGACAGTATAGCCTGAGACCTATCGGCATATGACAAAAGCGAGCGCACAACAAATTTTAGGATTCACCCACAGTTGTGGCACATGAAATCCAACACTTGCCACAAGTGTCACAGCACCATGAATGGACTTCAATGATGTAATGGGCTGCACAGGATTTGTATGACAAAACTATGTGGTCGGTAGGTCACAGGCTAGCTACACATATTCGCAATATAGCGCCCAGTGCAGATTCACAGTTGAGAGCACTCTTGAAACGTGCGAGGAGTACCGAGTGCACCCGAGTGCTACACATGGTGTCATGTGCAAGGTGTATGTAACACGCGTACTACTTCAAAAAGAAGCATGTATGCAGGCCTACAGGGGTAGCAAACTGTATGGTACAGTCCCGCAGGTGTCAGATTTCACATGCCACCACATAACATTGGTCCAAGAAGCCGACAAACTGTACGTCGATGCCATTATTGTCATCATCTTTCCAACTGCCCACTGACTGCAGACTGACACTTTGGGCCACTTGACACGGGGTGCAGTGAAGCTGGGCACAAATCTGTGGACACCCAAACCTAGGGCATCATCTGCAAAGACGAGACTGAAGAGATAGAACTATGGCACAGCTGTCCTACACACTCATACGTGACTTCTGAATACCAGCAGCAGACTGCACACTGCACAGATGAACACCATTAACGTGTCCAATCAGAATGATGTGAAATGATTGAAGAATTTAAAAAGAAAAAGAAAAGTGATATACGAGGCAGAGAGCCAAGCCTACCTCCACATTGTCCTTGCTGAGGAAACCCTTCAGCGAACCTGATCCGTAATTGATGTGAAACGGACGGCCATCGGGCTGGTAAGTGGAAGATTTGCTGCTATCGTATCGGGTATGCTCGGCTGTAAGCATAGCAGCACATTGACAAAACCAATGAGTACAGAAGCACATCAACTACACACGACTGGTAATAAAATTATAGAAGGCTTTGCTTGACCAATCGAGAAGATCAGAAAGCAACCGTGTGCTGGTGATTATTTCCAATACGATTATTTCTCAAAAAAAACCCGAGCAAGTACTCGAAAATTCATTATAATTGTTTCACCCCTAATTTCACCATGGCTTATCATTCTTGTTCATTCCTTTGACGTGCTATGGTTTTCAAAAATGGAGTGGACTTTGACAAAATGCATGAGGAGAACGAGCTTCGAATCTTCTTTTAGATTCGGAAACGAATAGCAACTGAACCTTCGAAACTGGTTGGTTGCCTTGCTGAAGTTGCTGTACATGATTTGTCAGCAATCAACCCAGGACGAGAGCGCAGCCAATTGACATCCATGAATTTGATCCTAGAGTACACTGTCCGGTAAAAGTGCAGTGCTGCTCAATAAAATCCAGTCGCGTCACTCAAGTAAGCGCTGGGCGTTGCGCAGCCCTAGACCTACGAACACGGGGCTGCGAAATGGTGCAAGGCGAAAAAAACTTGAGTCACGTGAATGGATTTCATTGAGCAGGACTGTACAATGGGACCAGCACTGGCCAGTGAATTAGTCTCAAGCACAGCATCACAGTTTCACCTACAACTAGGCAAACGAATGCACAGCTCGGGTGCGACACCCTGCGCTACACAGTATACTGGATATCAAGTCCGTACTTCACTGTGCCAATGCCGCAGTGGCTACACCTTACTGAGCACACGTTTCTGCGAGCATGTCCACAGTCTACTTACTGCAACTCTTCTGACTCATGTCACACTTGCTAGATGGCACCCACAGGTTGGATGAGCCGGTATCGAAAATGACGTTGTAGGTCACCTTGGGATTGCCAATGCTGATTGGTCCATAGTAGCTCAGCTAAGATAGAGTGAGTGGGACAGTAGGAGAGAGAGAGAGAGAGAGAGAGAGAGAGAGAGAGAGAGAGAGAGAGAGAGAGAGAGAGAGAGAGAGAGAGAGAGAGAGAGAGAGAGAGAGAGAGAGAGAGAGAGAGAGGGAGGGAGGGAGGGAGGGAGGCAGAGAAAGAGAGGATAAGGGATGTACTTGTGAATACTGTATAAGCAGAAAATTTCGTCGGTCAATAATTTCGTCCAACTCCAAAGAAAGGGAGTTCGTCCGGTTGTAAATTTCGTCCATGGATCATAAGAGTGTATTGAAAAGCTGGACAAATCGATATTAGTCCGGCATTTAATTTAGTCCAAAAGCTCCTTGGACGAAAAAGACGAAATTAAATTCCAGACGAATATTTCTGCTTGTACAGTATGTAAGGATCTCCTGACAAACATTGAATGTTCCGTCAACTGTTCAATTGACACGATGCTTCCTCAGCATGGCATGAATCCAGAAATTCCGACAAAGCTACCTCTTTTAGCATTGACATGACAAACTTGTTTTGTACCATACGAAGATCACGGGAACTACTCAGAGGAGATGCAGTTGCTGAATGATAGGGTTGAACTAGAGACTACCTAATACTATTTCGTACACAAGTTGAAGATACTGGTGCAAGTTGTATACACTCAGCAACTTACATGATTACGTTATAAACTAACACAAGGGAATGGTGTAGAATGGAGGTAACGTTACGAACTCTGCCAGTCACAACTAACACAAGCGCCAATTCAATCACAAGGATCAGTTTCTTTCTCCTTGTGATTGAATTCACACTTTCTTCTGCAAAGTGCAAGGAACCATGTGTGATGCATAGATAGCCAGACCCAGTAGAGGTTATGCGATTACCTGATTACACCATCAGTTGAGATGTTTTGGCGAAGTCGCGGCACAGCGCGATGCACTAGCGACTGACATGTACATAGCGTCCATAAGCGGTTTCGCTGACTCACGCTGTATACATAGCGCCATAAGCGGTTCCGCTGACTCACCACCATGACATCATTCGCATACAATTACATCATGGCTCGAGGAGCATTACATCATAAAGATGACGTCAACTTGAAACTCTGTCATGACATAATCGTTGACGGGAGAGGCACAGGAGTCAGGACAGGGGGGGGGGGGGGTGCATTACTACAAGTGCGCTCTTAATCTTGAGAGCTGAGGATACTCTTGATGGTAGATCTACACAGACAAAGCGTAGGTCTACACGGTAGATCTAGATCTACGCAGGGTGAGAGTAGAAGTAGAAGACTCGTACGGAGACAAAGTGTACTTCAAGCACTTACATCCATAACGTTTCGGAGGAGTTCGCTGGTGTGCGAGCCATTCCCTGCCAGATATTCCCGATAGAGGTGGGAAACCGCGCGAGGCTCACTTCTTTTCAAAGGTATACTGCAGCAGGATATGAAAATGGAAAGGAAATTCGATCAGTTGTGGACAAGCACGTCAGAGAACGCGGACTGGTTTGTTACCGAACTAGCTTGGCATAAGTGCCAGTGGCCACAAGAGCCAACAAAATGAAGAACGCCTTCATCTTCACAGCAGAAGTTGCGAGGCCCAAAGCGAGCGACTGCAAAAAAACACTTCGCTCCCTACACTTTGTAGGAGGCAACTAACAATGTGGAAACCACGAAGAAACAAGCGTGATAAACACCCACAAGCGACACAAGCTTGCAAGTATTTCAAAGAAGATTTTTGTGCATGCGCACACGTACACGTACGTACGCGTGGGTTGTGCCATGACGTCAGTCCTGACGTGACGGAGTTGACTTTTAAACATGGCATGCCATAGTTACCGGGTTACAGGATCGAATGGTCCAATCAGAAAGCTTCCACGTGTCAAGCCGTACGTCGCTCAAGTGACTTCATGACATCATCATTATCATGTGAGCATTGAATCAGCTCAGGGAGTCGTATTGTACTACTCCCTGCATTGGCATCGAGACTCGAGAGAGCTTATAGACTTGTAGTATGTGACCAAGAGTACATAACCCCCCGCCCGGGGTTATGTACTCTTGATGTGACTTTATATTAAATTTTATGCCGCTTCAACTAACTTTCAAAATGATACAGTCATAATTATCATGTAACCGTAAAGAGTAGTCTAGTCTACACAACCAGGACTAGACTGGCAGGAGTGCACAATAATAACCCAGTGGAGGTTTAATTAATATCATGGACACACTCTTGATGTAATCAAGAGTATGTGCGAAACAGACTCTATGCATATTCCATGATGATGGTGTAGCAGCTCGCACATCTAGACTATAACCTGTGGTGTGGTGACTACAATCAATACAGTCATGTACATGTACATGTATGTGCCAGAGAACACATCTGTGGTGTGGTGGCTACATGTACTGGTACTAGTACAATGTATATGTGCCAGCAGAGAACACATCTGTAGTGTGGTGACCATGTACCACCGCGGGCAGCCTCATAGCTGCCATGTCGCTTTTTTTTAACCATGTACATATACCAAAAAGCACATCTGCAAGTACATGTATACAGTATAGTTACACTTTTCTTATCCGGGTGCCCGTATTTCAGAATCGTCCGAAACTATACACTATAATACACTACATGATTGCACATGGTATTAGATAAGCCGCCCTGTTGTGTTGAAAACATGTTGTTGGTTGACAGCATGTTATTACTTCTTGAAGTATTACTATTGCCACAGCTGCAAAGGTAGGAGCAACAGTACGTGGTGCCGTAAATTGAAAGCAAAATACTGCGATATCAACTATCAAGAAATCACACAGGAGTCTACAGTGTACTCCCAAGAGATTGATGCTGTTTCCTCAAAAATAAGAAAGGAGCTGTGAGATATCATGACACACTCAAGGGTACGGGCGCGTTGTTCTTGAAGTGGTATAAAATTTGATGCGAAAAAGGGAAAACATGCAAAACGGCGCGATCCTATACTTCTGAAGGTAAAGAAAATAGGGAGCTGTACAACAAAAGATAGAAATGAGAATCGAATCCAGGTGCACACATCACAAGCTGTCGACTTGTATTTGGAAGGTGTGTGTACGAAGCACGATGCCAGCTAGGACCTAGGACCACAGTCACCTCAGCACTAGGTGCTGGCTTGCTTTGAGCATTGCATTGTCTCATGCATGGAGTCGCAAAAGTCCTCAACAATGCACTCAAGATAGAGAAAAACCGAAAATACAATGTCGCCATTTTTCATCCACGGATAATACTTCAAAGCAACATAATAATTTTAAAACACAACCGTTGACAATCTCAAAATTGTGAAAAACAGGGAAATTGTATCTATGAATTCATTTTAAATAATAGTCGATGTGTGTCACCGAGCTTGGGCAAAGCCAATTCGCCTATTCTCCATGTCAAACTGTGTATAGTATGCACGCAGGAATACATCGCCTAGCGTCCAGTCGTAATTTGAAGTGAACGCACCCTTGAATCCGGAGAAGCATACAGTGTCAAAGACCTGAAGCCAGAGGAATTCGAACACCAGGAAATACATCATGGATATACAGTAACATCAAACTCTTAGGGTCCAGTAGGAATTTTCTACAGACCCAATGGCAGCATTTTCACACATGATACTCTGCTGGGAAACAAACAAAAAGACACTTCATGTCCACAAGCGGGTAGAAGAGGTTCAAGCATACATGTACCTTGACGTCAGGAGCGATGTACAGTACAACTGCCATTTGCGGGCAGGTTGGGACCGAGTACTGCCCACATCTAGGAACATACATACTTACTGAATGCAAATATACATGTTTTATGCCAAAGAATAGTTTTTGGGTCCTTTTTTCGTTGCCAATTTTTGTGACTCTAGATGGGTTAGAAAGGTGCCCGGTAGACAGACGTCCGGATCTGGGGAGTTTTACTGTAAAAGACAAATTCCGCTCATTCTCTAAAATGCTACTGTAAGGCCAAGTTTAAAAAAAAGATTGTTGATCGTCAGAATTTTCCGAAAAATCGGGGCGGACGGGAGGGTTTTATTTTTATTTTATAACTTTTTTTATATCTGCATCGACCGGACATCTTGAAATCTTAGCATGTATTACATCTATGGGGTTATGGGTGTACTACCATTAATGCATTGTTGGTTGTGAATGCTACCAGTCTGCCCGGGCACACTCCAAACACTTTGACGCGGTACGCGGTGGCTGCGCAGTTTCCATGAATGCAGGCGTAGATATCAGGTGGTACACTGTACAGCCTACAGTGCCATGTATTGTAGTTGCCAGATTTCACACAAGTACTTCACTGGAATCACACTGCACTGCGTGATGTCGCTACGGTAAAAGCACATTGAAGCTGTACATGAGAGCTCGCGTACGCGCGTACTGCTAAAAAAAGTTCGCGTTTCGCTAAACACACGAGTTTTCTACCGTTGATCACAAAAATAAAAAATAAAATAAATCCCGGGACGGACTGAAAAATCGGGGCGGGCGCTGAGGATCAACAATCAATTATTTTTACTTGGCCTAACACTCCTGCTCACAGACTTCACCACCACTGTAGTACTGTAAAACGGCTAATCTTAGCAACGGCGAAATTTTAGCAACTTAAGCGAAAGGAGTGCTTTCACTAAAGTTTTGCCCAACCAATCGAAATTTTGCATGTACAGTACACACGGCTGTCGAGAAGCGGCAACTTAGAAAGATGGCGTCGGTTCGAGATGGCATGGTAACCGCGCACGTGCCGTGGTTCGTGACTTGCTCATGTATGCACGCAAATGCAAGTCACAAACTCACAAAGATCGTCTTTGCATTTAGAGAAAATATCTTCGACTCTCTTTGGAGGTTGGCGAAGTTTGCCTAATATTTACTTGATTGCGATGCCGGTATGTCCTCTCAATAATTAGAACAAAGAGAGCTGATGATCGCTTCATTGCTGAGCAGAAGTAACAATCAACTCTCCTCATGTCCTCAGTGCCAAAGGCAGACGACTGCAATTCCACAACGCTCATTTCACGATGATGGACACAATTATCGTGTACTAGTAGTACACACTTGGACCATTTGGTCATCTCCATTCTAGCCGCTAGTCCGTCCAGCAAGCAGATATTGACTATTACGATAAGTACAACTGCGTGAAGGAGGGCTCGCCCAGCAAATTCAATTCAAGACGAGACTCCAGTCAAGAATTAGGGTCTTTACTCGAGAACTTCACAAATACAGGTCAAGGCACCCCACAAAACTGATAGATGGCACGAACGAAAGACAAATAGGCTAGACAAAGTGATTGAAAACAGCAGATCTACCAAATAAGACAGCTACATGTGCCTAAACAACGATTCCCATACAGTAGAGAGTAGTATCAGGCAGAATGAAAGCCTTGGAAGTGCACAAATACAGCCACGACCGCCACAAAAATTGGACGACCGCCACAAAAAAATTCTCATTGCTCTACCTCCTTGAAGGGTGAAAGTTACCAGTTATCCTATAGCGATGTCAGTTTATGCCTGTTGGAACCCTCCACAGCCCGCACGAAATACCTTTCAAATAATTCCAGGATGCAATTGCAGCTCCAGACAGGAGGAAGAAGAACACCGTGAAAAATAACGGCAACGATGCCCAAACTCTCGGGAAACGGCTGAAGTCTTCCTGAAGATGTTAACATTGAATAGCCATCGATTACCAGCGTGGTTTGGTGACTTTAGAACTGTTTTGAGACTTAGAACGAAGCGATATCTCAAATTTGATGGAATTGTTACCTGTCAAATGCGTGGGCGAGCAGGCCAGCTGACTGGTTATGCATGAACATGCATGAGCATGCATTGATTTTTCATGGTTCACGTGCAGAAAACTAAGTTGCCGCGGTCCAAGTGCAGCTAACAGCCGTGTACAGCACTAGTCATCCTTCATTTTAAACTCTGAAACTTGGATTGCTAAAATATTTCATCGTGAATTGGTCCAGATTCAGAAAAAGCTTTTAAAAAAACTACCCGCTTTAAATTAGCCATTCTGCAGTATGATGTGAAGTGCACTTCACGACCACTGGATATGACAAAGCTTACCTGCCAGATATATTGCTGGGGAGCGAGGATGAATTTCTTGCCGGCTATGTTGAAGACCACATCTGGCAAGGTTGAAAGCGTGCTGCAGTTCACCCTCCACTGCATGGCAAAAGACACCATAGCAGCACCAATGAGAAAGGAAAGGCCAAGAACATACCACAGCTGGCGTCAACACATCAAAGGATCCAACTAGATGTGACAAATGTGTGCCCCATGCCCCACACCCCATACTATCTCAGAACAGTCATACTGTACAGTGCTAGTACACACTTTACTGTCTTTAGATGCACTAGTAGGCCCTAAATCGCAGGTGCACCCTATGCTCCGAATAGGAAATGGCATGTACTTCGAAAAGTAGTGCAATGCATCAAACTCTTACGAAGCTGGCCACCTTTGACCTGGCGCAAGCCATACGTGCGCATCTCTTACACTACACTGCACCAGTGACTATTCTACCATCATTACCCTAGCTGATGTCCCAGAAGTGAACTCGTGAACTGCAACAGCAATAATGATATCAGGTCATATATTCAGCATAGATATGGTAATTTGCACACTGCAATATACACCCGCAAAGTGCCCCCTCCCTATATATGGTCGGAAAATATGGCGTCCATGCCTTGGCATGCTTTCATGTTGCGCTGCATTCCCATGATCCATTGACCTACAGGGTACCTACAAGTGCCATTGCATGCACCCTGTGCATCGCGTTCGGGAGTTACTAGTATGCAGCAAGTCTTCCTCCAGTAGCCAAATTGAAAGATGCATGAATGTGTGTACGTGCTTGTGCTGTTCACTGTTCCACAGCTTGTGAACTCAGCAAGAACACTGATTCACGTCAGCGGAAACGTGAAACAAGAATAGAATTACCACTCAGGGTATACGCACTTACCATATTATGTATCCTCTTATCAAGATAGGCACCGATACGTTTGTTGATTTGTTCAACTTCACTCATTGGTCCTTCGATAAATGTAGTGCCAGTGTCTGCAATTGCAGAGCAGCCATTCTGACATGCATGTACATCCTGAACTGAAACACTGCAAACAAAAAAGGAGAGAGAAGAATACTGCAAAGTACTGTTGATCTGCCCGCTGTTGGTTTTCTCCCTGTGAAGTGACTTCAAAGTATACGTCAAAATACGGCATTGAGCCGACATATGCACTGCTATACACCATAAGTGCCAGTGCATTGCACGCCAAGGCACTACTTTCCAGGTAAATATGTCTATGCTTCGGTCATTGTAGCTGCCATCAGGAAAGAAATAGACACGCGAAAGGAGAGGTTAGATGGAAGAGCTCTGGACCAATGGGATTCACTGCATCAACGCTAAAATGACAAACAGCGACACAATTAACAGAGCAGGGCGGAAAATTAGCACGGTGTGCAAGAATTGGAAAAAGCTCAAGCCCGTGCTAACACCGGCTGGTGAGATTTGACAGCAGCAGCATTAGTTGATTCAGCGCTAGAATCCGGGCAGCAAGAAACAGCAGCTATGATGTAGCATTTCATATGATGCCAAAAGTTACCAGCTCTGGTAAGAACAGTATTGCTTTTCCAGCAGTAAGGTAAGGTGGACAGTGTGTGTTTCCTCTCTCCTAGGAGGACACATCTAGCTGAGGAGAGAGAGAGAGAGAGAGAGAGAGAGAGAGAGAGAGAGAGAGAGAGAGAGAGAGAGAGAGGGGCAAATCAGCACTAGAGGTGAAGGGCAGTAGAGAAAGCTATGCCAGAGCCTCATGACCCAGCATCCACCTACCGATGTTATCCTAGGGCTTGAGCACTTCCAATTCTCACACGCTGTGTGATTTTTCTGCCCTGCCCTGTTAAATTTGTTACCGTTTGGCATTTCAGATTTGATAGAGTGAATCCCATTGGCCAAGAGCTCTTCCTTATAACCCATCCTATCCCATGTACACTTCTTTCCGAGCGATGGTTATGATGACCGAAACATTGACATGTTTACCTGCAAAGTACCTTTGTCAATGTGTGAAATGCAGTCGTGGAGTGCAAGCCAGTATTGCTGGCAGCCATAGTATGCTACTTCCTGCATTGCAAAAAACTTCAAGCGCAGGCCATGCCTGGCAGAAATTGCTAATTCCACCGTGCATCATTCTAGAGCGAGTAGTGCAGGTGGATGTGCGTCATGAACTGGCTGTGATGGAGCACCCCCTCCCCCCTCCCCTCACCGCATGCACTCAACAGTAACGAACACAGACAGCCTCACATCCTATCGACCTACCCGCTCATGTTAAACATCCACCACCTGTCACCGATGGCAGGGACATAGTGGAAATCTCCGGTGTAGTGATTAGGGTCCGTTCCACCAAGGACAAGTTCACTGGCGGCTGAGCTGCTATCGTCACTGCGAGGGAGGCAAACACAAGCAAAACACCAGTACAGTTGGTTTCAAAGTCGATCATGTCAGTACGCAGATTCAAAGTGTGAGTGTTCACATGATGTGGCTGCAGTGCATCCATACCAGAAGATAATTTTAAAAGGTAAGAGAGTTGTGCCTTAGTGCAAAGCTTTGCAGTATTTCTGACAGAGCATTCTGACTTTGAACTCTAAGCGTACACACACACACACACACACACACACACACACACACACACATGCGCACACAAACACAAACATACAGAGGTGTGGAGGTTATGCGATTGCATCATTAGCTGAGATGCTTTTGCAGGGTCATGACACAGCAAGATGCACTAGCTCAAGTCAAGCCATGGGAACCACTGATTCACCATAAGCGGTTTCGCTGACTCACCATCATGACATCATTCGCATAACCTCTACACCCTCCCAGGCTCCCACTACGAAAAGGCACATTGCCAAATAGGGACTTACTCATTGAGGTAGAAAGCAAACGAACCATTCTTGATAGCTCCTGATTTCATCAAATTCATGAAGAAAGGAGTGACATTGTCGTCAGCGAGTTGCTGAAAAGCCATGCCCAAGAACCCGTCAGATTTGTAAGTTTTTATTGCATCGCCTGGGAAGAAGGTGATTTCTCCAAAGAGTTGTCCTTCGACGGTATAGCCAGCCACCTGCCAACACAGACATAGCAGATGTGTATATGCCTGTGGTGACAGCCTAGGTATTGTTCAGTGTGGCCACATATCTGGCCTGCGGCTGAGCCATTTTATCCTCCAAGTCATATAAGGCTAGACAATAGACATGAAAATTTCACAGTAAAAAATAACACCCAGGCAGCCAAGTCGAGCAGTCAATGCTGGAGAACCAAAGCGTGTGAAGTGCAACACACTGTTGAGTGTTGAGCCAGTAGTTGCTGGTCTGAATTATGCATAGCCTGTAAAAGCATAATACTACAGGCAGCACCATGACTACCAGCAACGCTGCACAATTCAAAAAATAGGCTCATTCCTCGAGTTGGCAATCCGTCTATGCTACAGTGATGAGCTCTCTCGACTCCAACACCAATGCCAGACCTGCAAATTGTATTTCACTAAGGGTCCCAGTGACCAGCACGCCAAGCCAGCTTACCTCGACATTGTCCTGGCCAAGGAATCCTTTTACAGCACCTTTCCCGTAGAAAACTTGGAAGCTGCTGCCATTCTTATGGTATGTAGTTGACTTAGCGCCGTCAAAATGAGCTTTGTTGACTGGGAAGGAGAACAAGACATGAGACATTGACATGAATGGTGTCATAATGTCAATGCTGTTTTCACTACCGGTATAGCAATGTATAATGTCAGTCTTCATCAGTACAGTGTTTAGTCCAACTAATCTTGGATGACTGGGCAATCTTCAGCTGTCTGTCTGTCTGTCTTCCTGCCTGTAAGTATACTACCTCCGACAAGCGAAACTTGGCGCGTTTTTTTACTTCAAATTGCTCGAAATAACACAATCAAACTAATGATTGACCCCACCAAAATACAACTTTGTATTGCTCAACAAGGACATTAGAGACATCAGTTAGGCTGAATCACTCTCCTCTGATTCAGAGATCGCAGTTTCTGCTGGAGAGGAATTGTCCCCGTTTTGAGACGAAAGTGCGACAAGAGCGGATTCAGTTGCAGCAAGTACCGTGGCTTTATTGTGATCGCCCTGGAAATCTCGATGTCCCTCCTGTGTGCTGTGCTTGAGCCACAATGTCGAGGGTAGTCATCTCCGCCGCCAGTATCCAGGTTGAGGTGGTAAGAACTGTGCAACACCTCCACCTCCGCCTGGACTCCAACTCTTTTTGCCGGGTATTCTCGCCAGCAGTCCAAAATAATTGTCTGCAGCAATTCCTGGCGATTTCCTTTAGCCAACAGAGACTCATCGCTCTGGAGGCTATTGAAAGACGCCAGTATTGTTTGGCATGGGCATATGGACTCTGTGCTGGCTGAGTGATCAAGTGGAGAGAGAGAGAGTGTGAGAGAGAGAGAGTGTGAGAGAGAGAGAGAGAGAACTCCTTGGTTTTGCATTGAAACACGAAAGCACGACGATTCTCCTTCACAGAATGACGCGCGCACTGTTTTGCTGGTACAAGAGAGACTGGCCTGCCTCTGACAAGTCTGAGTCATGTGCCACGCACCAGCTCGTCGCTTGGCTTCCTCCGCCCGGTAGAGCTACAAGTAGGTCGTTGAACAAACCTCACAGCCTTGTAAAGTTGTGGTACCAACACAAAAAATTTAAAAAAACGCGCCAAGTTTCGCTTGTCGGAGGTAGTATAATTATTATTAGGGCTGAAACGATTATACCAATTACTCGGTAATCGATCGATAGTTCCTTATCAATCAAGTAATCGTTACGTTATAGATTACTCGTTAGGGACTTTGAGTCGAAAAAGTACTGAAAACCCTCGTTTTTGTTAAGTTTGAATCAGTTTCCACTGTGAGTATGCAGTTGCCAGGGGCTTGGTGCACATTCTGAGGTTAAATTGACTTTATAACTACTATGTTTCTGAGCTACCCTGTCACTAATGCAAATTTGTGGTATTATAATGGCTTAGATTTCGGAAACAGAGCAATGTTTGCACAAAATTCTGACACTATCTGCTAAGGATTATAATCGATAAATCGATCGTTAAGCTCAAGAGTAATCGATAGGTGAAAATCCACGATCGTTTCAGCCCTAATTATTATGTATCTTTGTCTGTATGTATGCATTTTTGTCTGTCTGTTAGTCTGTTTGTATGTCTTGGCTCTCTTTTCTCTCTTCATGAATTGCTAACATGTGCGAAGAGGAAGACTATAGGTAGGTGTAGCCCTGTCTGTACCTAAGACAGCCAATACTGCACCTGCCCATGTAGCCTGGGATGTACCCAAGACAACACACCCTGCACATGCACATGACCTGCCCTAGTGGCAGGAGTACACAGCACTACAGCTTACCACAGCTTTTCTGTGTCGGATCACACTGGGACGATGGCAGCCACAGGTTGGACGAGCCAGTGTCGAAAAGGACAGTGAAGTTCTGCTTTGGTTCGCCAACGCTTATTGACCCATAGTATTGCGCCTGAGGCCCGGGAGACAGAAAAGAGATACGGGACATGAAGAAGAATGACCATATAGCTGTGTTCATGAAACACTCAAGGGCAGGGACAAGATTCCCAAACTCAGGTACTGAGTGACTAGCTTCGTATAGTACTGTCATGGACAAGAAAATCCAGTCGGAGGTCAAGCGGCCCCAGGACGCTGGCCATGCAGCCCTGAGTATGCATACACTAGTAGCTGTGAACGACATCACCTCACAGCAGGCGTCTGGCGCGTTCAGCTCGACGCTTCATCGCATGCAACGAGTTATGTTCTGCACGCACTGAGGGTGCCGGCCCCGGTCATTCGACATGATTTCCATGTCCACGACAGTAGTACCTGTCTTCCCTGCTAGCCATACAGATTGCCGGTAGATATACAGTGTGCGCGGTTGGCTTATTGAAGTGTCTGATAATCTAAACCAACAAAAAAACGTCTTCTGCCACTTCCTATAAAGCATCAGTGGTCTAGCGCGGTGTGTCATGACATTTGGCAAAAGGTGTTCCATTGGAGTTACATGCACATGTACGTGTACAGCAGTTAGGCAAGTGATGTCATGGTGATGAACTAGCGGATCCGCGGACCCGCTTATGATAAGTTATGGGCGCAAAGTACTAGTACAGCTCAGGGTGAGTCGGCGGATTCGCTTATGCCGTTATGGGAGCTAAGTATAGAGCATGATCATAATTATATGAGTCAACGGTTTCGCTTGAGTTAGTGCTTCACCGTGCCACAGCTTTGCCAAAGCTCTCAACTGATGATGCACAACCCTCTGTAGCCTACATGTACAGGAGTAGTAGCAATACGAACAGCATTGCCCTTGCAGAGTTTGAACTGGAGCCGTAATATCCATCATTTACACGCCATCCTTACGTCAATGTAATTCACCAGATCCTCTCCGTGGTTGGGTTCAGAATCCTCGATTCCAAGAAGCTTCGGGTGGAAGTCATCGAGCTGGTGAGGCTGACTCCTTTTCAAAGGAACTCTGCAGTGAAGGGGTTCATGAAAAGAGCAGATGTTGGAAAACTGGTCCAATGCCATAACGAAAACGTGGATGAATATTCACCGAATTAGGTTCGCACTGGCGCCAGCTGCCACGAGGAGTACAGTAAGGAGAAACGACTCCATCTTCATACAGTGCAACTGAAAGTAAAACGAACTGAAATGTACCACAAGGGCAGGAACCCGAACTCTGCACCAAACCAGGAACAGTGACAACCAGGCAGGGAGCACTCCCTGGTAACATACAACTCTGTTGACAAGACTGAAACAACAACATTTACCAGTACGTGCTTCGCGAATTCGCGCGGTTTCCGCGCATCGTGATAAATGCAAAAATACATGCAATGATTGCACTCATGCTCAAGCGTCGACGCGTCATTCTATGCTCATTACCGGATTAATTACGTCACAGTGATTACTATAGCTACATTGTAATAATATAGTACCGGGCCGTACTGCCAAGAGTACAGTCATGAACATGGTATATACAGAAGCCTTGCTTGGTAGTTAACATGTTTTTCGATTTTACACAAGGCGAGGACGCGTAGTGCTCCTGACTACAACCATAAACCGGTTGGCAGAGTCGCCAACCGGTTTATGGTTGTAGTCAGGAGCACTACGCGTCCTCGCCTTGTAACATGCTGTCAAAATCGAAAAAGTCATGAACATGCATGTTTCATCCCTTGCAATTGAAGTTGTATGTACATACATGTACATGTACTGTATCAAGAGTTCATAACCCCCAGAGGGGTTATGAACTCTTGCTTGTATCTTTGGCGTTCTTCCTTCTTTCCACGTCGTATTGTTTGAACAAACCCGCTGAAGGAGACCTAAACATGCATATCACATGACTGTATCAGCACAAGAGTACTGATTCTGATTCGGCTATCACCCACGCCCTCGTAGAGCGTATCTTGCTTCAGGATGCATCCCTCGACGGCATCCCGCACAGCACCAGAAAAGCAAAGGCAGATGCTTCATCCCAGGCCCACCGTGCATGCATGAACCATGCCAAATCCATCAACTTGCTTGAGGATAGCTAGCTGCCCTCCTGCCATGCTTCCGGCGGGTGCTGGAACTGGCTTCAGAGAAGGGAGCCTCTAGACTAGTTGGTTTACTTGCCGCCCGCTCCGTCGCTGCGGTTTTGCCTTCAACAAGCAAGCTTTCCGCGACTCACTTCATTTGCGCTATGGTTGGATCCCATCTGCACTGCCCTCAACCTGTGCATGCGGTGCTTCCTTCACACCTGAACACGCTTTGTCCTACCCCGGCCATTGGTGGCTACCCCTCCATGCGCCACAATGACCTCCGACCGTGATCTAACCTACATACAGTGCATCCCTCCTGGCAGACGTGGCCAATGATGTGAGCACCGAACCTTCGCTGCAACCAATCACCGGTGACACCCTGCGTCTCCACACAACAATCTCAGCCGACAGTGCTCGCCTGGATGTGGAAGCATCCGGCATATGGGGTGGGCATTTCGAGAAGACGTTCCTAGGCATCCGCGTCTTTAACCCGCATGCACGGTCCAACCGCCAGCAGTCACTTCCAGCAACATACCGAAAACACAAAGCTGAGAAGAGGCGCTCATATGAGGAGCGAATCCGTGAAGTTGAGCACGCGTCATTTTTGCCGGTAGGATTCGGGAAAGCGGCTTCTGCGCTCTACAACGGAGTTGCCTGTTGCCACTTCGCTGTCTACTGCCAGTACTGGCAGCGACATCTGCTCTTCCTCACGAGACCGGCGCGGCGCAGAACTGAGCTGAGGCTGAACTGCTCCCAGACTCCAAAGAACGGTTGCAGAGGCGGTTCCACCAACACCGACACATGAGTGAGCGCCAGGGAGTCGTAGCGAAACCAGTCTGGGTACGCTCCCCTGGTCAGCACCTAGCCAGGACTTGTGGGATGAGGTCCGCCACAGATTTCGGTGTGTCGCAACGGCTGGAAACCACCGATTCGTCATGAGAAAGCAGGCGAATCATCAAAACGGCTGTTGCCTCATATCAGACACAGGATCGGAATGGCAATCGAGCAAGGACCCAGCCGTACTCCAAACACAGCACATCTCTACAAACCTCGAGAGCCGAAAGCAAAGGGAAGATAGAGTACGGGAGGTCAGCCGAAGAAACAGAGCTATATGTACCACGTTCAGAAACGAGACAAGATGGACTGCATGTACCGGCAACACGTTCAGGTTTCACCATCCACGAACCTCTGCTCATGCGGCAGTCGTGGTGCTGAGGCAATTAATTGCGACAACGAACCGATGTTGGAATCGATCTATGGAGCGTAAGGAGTTGCCACTCCCACTGTCCCTGGGGAGAGAGAGAGAGAGAGAGAGAGAGAGAGAGAGAGAGAGAGAGAGAGAGAGAGAGAGAGAGAGAGAGAGAGAGAGAGAGAGAGAGAGAGAGAGAGAGAGAGAGAGAGAGAGAGAGAGAGAGAGAGAGAGAGAGAGAGAGAGAGAGAGAGAGAGAGAGAGAGAGAGGGGAGAGGGAGAGAAGGAGGGAGAGAAGGAGGGAGAGAAGGAGGGAGGGAGAAAGGGAGAGAGAGAGAGAGAGAGAGGCGGGGGGTTCTTTCCCAGGATTTTTGGCAACAACATGAAACCACGGGTACATGTACTCTCGAGGAGCGTTGGCAGATATCCTGCTGGCAATACCAGAGCCTCTAAAACTGAAAAGCACAGCTCTTCCGGATCCTGGGCTACTGCTTTGCAGTCTCTTACATAGTTGCCAACCCAGCCAAAGCAAATCCCTTAGTCACACACCCAGTTTCCCCTTAATATTCTCTCATTTCCCTTATTTTCCTGGTTTTCGCCAGTTTCGGTCATTTTCTCTTTTTTTGGGCAATTTTCGATTTTGTTTGCGTATTTTCCGCAATTTTTGGCAATTTTTATCTTTCTTTTTATTCATTTCTAACCCATTGCTCATTGGGGGACCAAAACCTGACTTTCTTTATCGTCAGATCGCCGCTACATGTGTGATTCTGTGAAATGCAGGGCCGCATGTGCCCTTGTCACACCACAAAACAACTGGCCTTTTTTTATGAACACTGATGGTTCAGTGCCAATACCGATAGTCTTTCGATCAAAGTCAAAAAGCCCGGGTATGCCGGTAGTGACCGTAGTTTCCCGGTATAATTCCTTTTCTTCTTTGCTTCTTTCCTTCCATATTCGCCTAGTTGTTACTGCAGTTTCCTTTCTGTTAATGTGCGAAATTAAATAAGGGCAAACAATCGGTTGTTGGGTAATGTCGGACTTGGACGTTTCCTCCCCACTCCAGGTCACAAACGGCAAAGTAGCGCCGGGATGGTCGAGAATCTGATCACCATGATCAAGCTCTGCTGAAGCGTATGGACATTCAAGTGTCGATAGAGCATGTTGAGAGACCGCAGTGGAGATGCGGCTGGTTACCAACTGCCCACTTGCTCCGTGACCTAGTACCTCTGTTTACCGAGCTAGCTAGCTCGTGCTATGATTACAATGTACATGACGATGGTGTAGTCATTACACGTAGACGTCATGCTATGGCACATGGCCCGTGACATGGGGACCATGGAACAGGGCGGGGCATCACGAGGCTGCCGTCGGAATGTGTGTGAGCTCGGGGAGTCATGTTATACAGTTTATACATGCCCCATAATCATGATAATAATGGCTTGGTTTTAAATAGTTATCCGACCCTTGGCTATGAGTATGACCAATGCAACTACCTTGCATGCAGGGAGTCGTCCAAAACACCACTGCGACGCTGGACCATACTGCATAATGACTGACCGTCTGTGGTCGGAGTATGGAGCTGCGTCTCTACCACACCGGCACTTAGACCTGGCTTGCAATAAATCCAATAATGGTACAAATACACCCCGCTGTCATAGTTTGGGATACGTATTGAAACTCTTCGACAAGAAGGAAAGCTCAGTTAGTTCCTTGCCTTTTACTTTTAAAGTTTTAGGCTTTCCCATTAATTTTCATGTGCTGTCAGCTGGCTTTAGTTTATTATTATTTATTATTATTATTAGGCCAAACTAAAGAAGGTGTGTGGTTCGACTAACATGGACATTTTTTTTACGGGCGGGCGGGCGGATTTTTTTCTTTTAATATATATTTTTAGTACATGTAAATACACTGTATACGCGTATCGAGTAGACTCTACTACCAGCACAAGGCAGCAGTCGTACCACTCACTGCACTGCACTGCAGTACAACTACAACAGTACAAGTCAAGTCCAAAAGGAGCCGCCTAGCGCCTGCGTCCGCAGACTCACGCCGCACAGCACGTAGACGTGGACGTGTTCAGTCCACGTAGATCTACGTCAGTCACACGACAGCCCGCCGAAAAAAAGTTACGGTCGGGCTGAAATTGTACGGTCGGTCGGGTGAGTCGAACCACACACCTTCTTTAGTTTGGCCTTATTACTTTGTTTTACATCGGAAGCTCAACAGTGCAGTGCAGCTGCACAAATATGAAGAGGCCGATGGGACCAAAACAAAATATAAAAAAATAAATAAATAAACAATGTATAATTTTTTTTTTTTTTTTTTTTTTTTCTACAAAATCCACATATCTCCAGACACTGGGGTGAATGATGGAGTGTGGTGGTGGGGCCCATTAAGCTCCGCCGACCAGAGGTCTCGGCTTCATAGCTCCATGGACGCACCAAAGGGATCCAGTATTGGGTAGGGAGGATTAAATTGAAAAAGAAAACAGAAGAAAGAAAATGGAAAGATTGTATTGCTCAGTGAGCAAAAGAATAAGTTGAGTATTGATGTGAACGCTGTTAGACTTTTAAATTCAAGAGGAGACTGTCCGTGAGGAGAGATTACATGTATGTCCAAGCAGGCTAGGACAATGTACCCTCTTACTCGCGTATGCTATGAGTGGCCCAGTGCCAGTTCGTTCTGAGGAGATGGTGATAAGCTGCTGTCTTGAACTTTTGGATGTTCTTTGGGTGAAATGGGTGGGGAATGATAGAGGTAGGCAGCTGGTTCCAAATTGGGATGACGGAGTGGGGAAAGGCTCGGCTCACATTGTTCCTGGAATTGGCAGGAAGAACATTCTGTAACTGATGGGGATGCGCGGTGGACAGTCGTACAGCCTGGCGGGTGAGGCGTGTGGTCCTGGGTTGGTGTGTCGGGGGTGGAGCCATTCTCGAGAGAAGAGCGGGAGAATTATCGCAAAGGGCTTTATACAGGAGGCAGAGGGCAGCGATGGTGCGGCGAATTATTAGTCCATCGGCCAAATCTCAGAAAGGGCCTCTTTCGGCGAAGGTGATGCACTGAAGCTCCAACTAAACGCCCTTTGGCACACTAGCTCATGAGACCCCATAGAATACGAATCCGTTTGTTGGACGTTGCCAATCCAGTCCAGGATAGTCGAACTGGGTCGAATACCTTCTTCCGATTTTCGTAATTTCGTCCACCATTACATCTTTCTCATCGACTTTTTTTCGCTTGGCGAATGTTCTTGAGCCGCTGAGCAGAATCTACGCACGCTCGAACACTTGAAATGCCTGCATGTTGACGGTTCGCAAGATTCTAGCGAGCTTGGTGGAAATCTATTATTTATTTTGACATTTTTGGGGGAATCTGAATTAGAACGGTAGAAGCTCATTCGGAGAAGACGGCGTGTCGCCGCTGTCGGATTGTCGCTACTGTGTTTCAGACGTATTTGCTTGACCGTGCTATTGAGGATGGACAGAAGATGAAGTGACGGCTTTCTTGAACACGGACGTTTTGTCTACATTGTAGCTGAAACATCTCATCTGGCGTCTAGAACGCAATTATTATGAGTTGTGAGTGCCAGCTGAGCTGAACACAAGCTGGACACCATTCGTCAGCTGGGAATTTGCATCGAAGCTCTTGATAGCCACGATAAGCATAATTATACAGAGGTAACCTTGTTTGACTCAATACGCATGCAGGTGATACCACTAGTGGCACTACAATGTAAATGGTGCAAAATTGATGCAACAGCGAATATGTACTTCGTACAATCACGAACAATTGTAAGGCAAGTGTTCATGCCTGTCATAGAAGAATTTCAGCCCGGAAGTCTTGTTGTCATGGTCATAAATAATACAGGACTTGAGTTGGCTCTGGACATAAACACACTTGTGGTGAATACGGTCATTATTGCGAGAAAAATATTTAGCCATTGTATGTTAACACCTGATGCCGCACTACAAGCAATATTTCATGTACATGTATGTGAGACTCAATTGCATCCACAAGGCCGTAGATGCATGTAAGCACACAATGCTGTACAGTATAAGTAGTAGTCGACATGTGGTGCCTTCCTGCTGCACATGCGGCAAGTTGGCAACGACACATGACTTATCTGCACCGCACAGCGTGAGCTTAGAAAGGAATATTGCACACATAGTGCTATTTGTGTTCCGATATCATTAAGCCGGTATACATGTACTAGTATCCTTATACAAGTACCTGGTGACTCGATAGGCGATGCCGACTGTACTAATCTTATCCATATTACCCGATAGGCTATAGCACACTGCGTCAGATCACTATGCAACAAAACAAGAGCTTTGGAGCGAATATACACTGAAGCAAAGTAGGTTTCAACGGTACAGCACTTGTCACGATGAGGGGAGTTACGAGGATGGTTAGGCCGTGACACATAGATGATGATTGTTAATGATTCATGCACGGTGGAAAATAACCACCAATGGCGATGATATTGCTTTCACAACAATGACATCAGTAGGAGCAGTGACACAACTTTACTGCTCCAAGTAGGATTTACAAGCGAGTGAAGGGAGAGCAGACTGGTCTAATAGCAGACCGGGTCTAAGCAAGGAAGTAATCGGCATCAGAGGTGAGCTTGCACATCAGAAAACAGATGATGATCACCAAACACAGAGAAGTTGGCTATGTGTATGTTTGTGTCACTGTGTGTGCATGTGTGTTTGTGTGTATGCGCGCACATCTGTGTGTGAGAGAGAGGCAGACGGACAGATAGCATATGGTGGGAGGGATCAAGGTCTGACCTCAGAGTTAAATGCTGACGGTGTGGAATAGCAACAGTGCGAAATCGGGCAGGGTGGTTAATGGCCCACACTGGAGCCGAGTAGGAGCGCCAGTGGTTGAGGGCTAGCACAGGAGTAGCAGCAGCTCCAGCCTAGGAAGATCAGCTTCTGGATGAAAATCTCCCGGACACAGTAGGTACCAAGCTTCACTAGCAGATTGCCGGCAGGGGTGCACGGCGAGCACCCGTACATCCCTCAAGCCACCAGAGCCGCAGTACTTGGACACGATCCAGGTGCTTACCCACCAACAATGCTGAGAAGGCACTGGAGCCATACAGGAACTTATGATCAAGCATGACCACAGACTTGAAATACAGGGTCCGGCGTTGAATACTGAAACAGCGACGTCTCCTCCACAGAACACCACTCAGCCCCACCATTGCATTATTTTCGCTTTTTCATGATTTTTACAATTGTGTTAGAGCACACAGCACTCGATGCAACATTTACCAGTGACTAAATAACTCCGCGTCTCCGACCATAACTGCAGCGTTCCCGTGAGCCTGTTGGATTTCCGTCAGCCTGTTGAGATTATCTTCATCTCGTCACATGTGAGCCTGTGTGTTTCATCCGTATCGTGGCACAATTACACAGACACGATTTCCAACTCAGGCCGGTTCCGTTGCTCGAAGGGTTGGCGGTAAGAATTGCTACGCCGTCTGTGGCTGCATGGGAACTTGGCGAGTCGTCGTCTTTCTCCATAAATCCTGATCGTCACGCGAACAACAGCCACTATTGCCTAAAAACTACGACACAACAGTATCAAGCTCGCCCCAGCAGAAGGACACGAATGACGAGCGCTAAGACGGAGAAAGAGAGACAGGGTTAGCGAGAGCTGACTAGTGCAGGTACGCTGTCATCTCCTGAGGTGGTGGGCGAAGCAGCGAAGTGAAACGAAGGAAGATAGAACTTATTTGGAGGCATACGGAGGCACCAAAACCTATTGCCTGTCACATACTAAGTGCCATTTAGGGTTGACAGCTGTCAGCTGACAGCCTCAAAAATTTGAAAATCTGCTCAAAAAACTCTCGATCAGAACTCTGCGCACTCTCAAATGGAGCGCACAGTAAAAAACTCGGCGACGAAGAACGCTTCGTATCGACGCCCTGGACTGAATTCGGCACGTCCAACAAACGGAATAGTGTTCTCTGATATATTCTCTACGTGCTGGGTATGGTCGCGTTTAGTTGGAAGCTCAGTGCATCACCACTTTCGATTTTGAGACTTGGCCGATGGACTATATGAGGCTAGGAAGCCAGCATTGCGGATGTATTGCCTTGATGGCTCGCTCCTGCACCCAGTCCAGCCGATTCAAGTGGGAAGAAGCTGCCCCCATCCAGACGATTGGGCAGTACTCCATAACCGGCCGGACAAAGGCTTTGTAGGCTCGAAGCCGGGCAGGAATAGTCAGCAAGTGAAATGCCTTGCGCAAGGCTCCAAGTCTCTGCGTTGCTCGGACTACAACAGTTCGGATATGCTGGCTGAATTTTAGCTGATGGTCAAAATACATCAGTGTACATCATCAGTGTAATCTGCGACAGGTGCGCTCGGCCAACGCGGATTCGAGCTCAAAGTGCGTGCGGCGGCTAAAAAATCTTTCAACGCGAGGCCCGAGGTCGATCGAGTGTGATCGTGTTGCTCATAACCGCGTTTTTATGTGCAAGATTCCGACGGATGGTCACCTGGTCACCTCCTGTGACTTCTTTCCCTATCTCATCTACCTACAGACTACAGATCAGTACAGGACTAGCGTTGCTCTGGCCCTGGGCTGCTTGTTTCATGTTTGCAACGGCGTTCTTGCTGAACAATTGTTCTTTTATCAATAGGCGTGACTGTCGTAATATCGCTGTGTGACTGTCTCTCCATCCTCCCTATTTCTCATGTCGCAGCGAGCGTGAAGGTGGCGCAGGGAGAGCGGCAATAATGACCAGCTCGCGGATTACGGACCTGCTCGTCGAGCTGGCGGCGTTCAGGGACCAAGCCAGCCTCGTCCGACAAGTGTTTGATGATACAACAAGCGTCTTCGAGCGTTTGGAGACCTTCCCACATCGGCGCGCTATCCAGGAGCGGGCTGCGCTGGACTTGCTAGAAGAGGCAGCCATACGTCGCGTCTTTGAGAAACAGCCAGGCCTTGTTGTGCTGGGCAGAGCCTACTTGCGCTCGGTTGCACTCAATCTGATCGTTGGCGAGCGGGTGATGCCCGATGCACCGTCAACAAGTGTGCGCTGGCGCGGCGTGAACGTTGTTTACGGCAGGAGGCGTTCGACACGCAAATTGTATCGAGATGATGACGACATTGATGCTGAATTTGAGATGCCTGATGTGGACTTTGGGCATGACATGAGTCCTGACAATAGTAGTAGCAGCGGGTCGGATATTGGCAAGGATGGTACGAGGGGTGCTACAGCCGCAGGCACAGGAAAGATATCCGCTGCCAGTAAAAAGCCCGACCTTGGCCCGCTTCTGTCTCACACTAACTTGGAATATAAAGCGAACGAAGGGGTTGGCGTCTACGTTGAGGTGAACCTGCCTTCTCCAGTCCTGGAACACGGTGTGCGTGTTGTCTCCTGTGCATCGCATCAACCCAGCAAAGCCAACCTGGCCATTGATCAAGCATCCAAAGGCATACTGCCGTTCTTCGTGTTCGCGCTGGATCTGAATCGGCCCATCTCGGACGAGGTGCGATATGTATGCATGCATTCACCATTCAGGCCTTACACACTATTAGCGTAGAAAATGAGCGGGCGATCTTCTGTGCACACCTGTATGCATGTCGGCCCGGTAACATGATAGGTCCCTATAGTGGGCCTACTGCCTGTAGTGTGTCTGCTGCTTGTAGAGTGTCTGTTCCCTGTAGTGTGTATGTTCCCTGTAGTGAGTTTATTGGCAGTAGTGGGTCTGCTGCCCGTAGTGGGTCTGGTCTCTGTAGTGGGTCTGTTGCCTGTAGTGGGTCTGCTGCCTGTAGTGGGTCTGATCCCTGTAGTGCGCCTGCTGCCTGTCGTGTGTCTGTTCCTTGTAGTGAGTCTGTTTCCTGTAGTGGATTTGCTGCCTGTAGTGGGTCTGGTCCCTGTAGTGTGGCTGCTGCCTGTCGTGTGTCTATTCACTGTAGTGGGTTTGTTGTCTGTCGTGGGTGTGTTCCCTGAAGTTGGTTTGCTGCCTGTAGTGGGTCTGGTCCCTGTAGTGTGTCTGCTGCCTGTCGTGTGTATATTCCCTGTAGTGGGTTTGCTGCCTGTGGTGTGTCTGTTCTCTGTAGTAGGTTTGCTGCCTGTAGTGGGTCTGTTCCCTGTAGTGAGCCTACTACCTGTAGTGAGGCTGTTCCCTGTAGTGGGTCTTCTGCTTATATTGGACATGCTCCCTATAGTGGGTATATTCCCCTGTAGCAGGATGTGTTTCCAACTACTTCAGCATAAGATCTAGTTGTTCGGTGCATCATCGGATCCGGCTGATTATGTTTCTTCAGGGTTAGAACAGGAGTCAATGTTGCATGACTGTGTGCATGTTTGCGAATGGCATCAGTCTACATTATGGTGCCGGGTAGCCGACTGAAGAGAATGATGATGTCATACTCATTATGATTACACATGTAGCGTAATTCTGAGCTACGAAACGCTCTGTGAAATACAGGCACCCTTCGGTCCCGAGGCGTCCGGATAACAGACGTTCTACTTACTGTTGTTTGAGTAAGGTGTCCCGCACTAATGGCTTTACCAAGAGTACTAGTAACAACCTCTATCCACTGCTGCGATGGCAGAACTTTACATCATGTGACATCGTTTGAAAGGCGAACAGTGCCAGACCAGAGAGTTGAGCCAAAGCAGGGTTGTATCTATCGTGCACAAGGTGCAAATAATGTGTACAGATTTGTCGCGGGGTGTGAAGTTCTACTGTGGCAGACCCCACAGCTGGAGTTGCACACTCTTGGACTTGGGGGTTCTGTGCTGTTGGCAATACCAATATGCACACTGCCACTTGCCACTGGGTGCACTTGTCTGCATACCTACATGTTTGTTGTAATAAAGTTAGTGTGGTAATATCATGACCCTGCTTTGTTGGTGTGGTAATATCATGATCCTGCTTTGTTGGTGTGGTAATATCATGATCCTGCTTTGTTAGTGTGGTAATATCATGACCCTGCTTTGTTAGTGTGGTAATATCATGATCCTGCTTGGTTAGTGTGGTAATATCATGACCCTGCTTTGTTAGTGTGGTAATATCATGATCCTGCTTTGTTAGTGTGGTAATATCATGACCCTGCTTTGTTAGTGTGGTAATATCATGACCCTGCTTTGTTAGTGTGGTAATATCATGATCCTGCTTTGTTCTGTGGTGATGTGTAGGAGGAAGAGCAGCTGCAATACCTGCGCTTTGCCTACCCGGAGAGCCCGGTGCTGTTTGTCGGATGCAACGAAAGTACGACCACCTCGCCACACGCTCGCCGCAAGAGCAACACTAGTCAAAGCGGAGAAGAGCCTGGTGGCGGAGCGGCGGCGGCTTCAGCAGTACCTGTCGGGGCTACGGTGCACGAGCAGGCTCTGATGAGATACGGCTTCTTCGGCGGCAGTCCTGGCGATCGCCTGTCCTGGACAAGCACGCCCCTGCCCAATGTGCCTGACCTGGAGCCAGACTCAAGTAAGCTTGCCTTACATGCACTCTCAGGCTAATGCAATCACCATACATGGCACAGTGAGTAATATGTGATCACCTGCATGTAGCTTACATGCAAAGAAGCCATGTGGTTGTCGCGCAGTTTGCTCATTACTGTGTTCTACCTATGACGTAGGCACACAAGTGCTAGTCATAAACATAGCTACATGTGTAACAGACTGGATGATTTGAATCACTGCACAGACTTCTTATACAGCGACATGACGTTAGTTGTTCATGTCTGCTTTCCTGCTCCTCTCTTTTGATGTATTTGTCACAGAGATTCAGAATATCACCGACGTGTCCTTTCAGCCTTGCCATCGCTTTCTGGAAGATGTCGGAGAGCTGCCGGAGATATATCCGAACTTCCTGGCCAGCAACCTGAATCAGTGGGTGCTGTGCGCGGCCTCGCTGATGCGTCGCTCTCATCTCAGCTGCCTGACGTCCTTTATCCACCTGGCCATGGAGATGTCGAGAGATGTGTTGCTGACACCGCGGCGCATTCTCTATGTCAAGCGCAAGGAACATGAGCTCTTTGCGGCAATGATGGATCTGGCCACGCTCAAACAAGCTGAGCTTCGCAAATCTGTAGAGCTCATCCTAAGCACCCTGACGCCAATCGTTAGTGAGGAAGCAGCCATCTTCCAGTTCCAGAAGCTGTCTCTGCCCGAAGACTTGGTGGTCAAGGACAGCAAGACATTGCGGCGGTGTGCCGAGCAGATAAAGGGCTTCGTCTTTGAGCGACTGACGACGAACATTGCTAGCCAGATGTCTGGATCTGTACACATGATGAAGGAGAGCCTGCTGGGCACGCTGCAGCGCTGTGTGAACGCATTGGAGGAGAAAGTTCTCGATGAGGACGGCATGTCCGTCAATGATCTGTAAGTACTGGCATGTTAACACTGAGAAGGTTGGGATGGGGATGACATGGACATGCATGTCATGGTAGAACCTAGTGGTGCAATGAAACATTAGGTATGGGCTTGGCTAAGACATGCATGTATTGTATACTTGATTAATACTCGCGGTTCACGTCAAAGTTGTCTGCCCTTGTGCAAAGCTCGCTATGTGGATCTCAGTTAGGGCACTCTTACTTTGATTCTTGCGATCGGTTTGGCCAGTGACTCTGAGCTCTGCTAACGAGACCTTATAAGGTCGAAGCAGCTAGCTGTCCGGAGATCGAGGGCTTGACTATTATGTATTTCAAGTACACGTTTTGTCGCACCAATATGTCCTCCCTACTGCATGTAAGAGCGCATACAAAAGGGTACTGCTATGGCAGACTCCAGCAAAACGTGCTTCGGAACGGGGCCGGCATACCGTTTTTGGTGGTCCTTCACAGGGACAGCCTCTTGTAGCACACACTTTTCTTTAGCACACACTTTTCATTGCTTCTGGAGTACAACCACAGTACTGGTACATACTTTTCAGAGCACAACCGGCATGACGTCATCGGTGTCCCACCTGTGAATGTGATTGTAGGTCGATATCAGTTAACAACAATGGAGATGTTCCATCTCCAGCAGCTCCAGATCACCTGCCCGGCCCCACCAATGCTACCACTATTGCGCTGCAGGAACTGCTCAGCTCCTGCTATCACCTGGAGTTCTCCGAACGTGTGACAAATTCAACCATCCGACTCATGCTTGAGCGTCTGCGTGACACGCTACGACTGATGCCCTGGAAGTCCGGTGTCTGTGTCGATGCTTCGTGGAGACGATCGGTCGCGGAGAAGCAGGTAGAAAACCTGAGCTCCGTTCGCCTTTCCAAGACGATCTGTTCGCAGTTCAAGGTGAAGGTGACCCGTGCACACGAGCATTTTATGATGGCTTTGAACGAGCTGGAGTCGACTCACGCTGCACGGTTGCAAGAGACTGGAGAGGCTAGAGTCGAGGTAAACACCATGTCTGCATGATTGTATTCCCCATAAGCAATAGTGGTGGTTGAGGCAATAACTGTTAGGGTCCAGAGGGAGCGGTTTTGCACAGTGACTCATGCACGAACTACATGTACATAAAACACAAACAACATAATACTGGCTGATTACTGGGGACACTTACTTCTGCAGAGCCTGTCTTCTTTTGCTTATTTAGCAATACCAGTCGGAATTTGAACTCGGAATAGCAAACTCGGTTCAGGCCAATGGTCCTATTACGGAGTTCATGCCCGTGGAACGTTCACTCTATTTTCAAGTATTTTAGACGTTCCCGTCGTGTACTTCTTTCGGCAATAGACGTCGGGGCACCTCTTCAAAATGGATATCCAGTACGGGTGCATGCTACGTGGTGTGAACCCTTCCCATGAGTAAACTTGAGATGCACGGTCATAGGAGCAAGAAACATACTAGCAGCATCCTGCAGTGTTTTGTCATTGGCCTTTTTGTCATTATGTGCATCTGCGCCTGCTGCATTTGCTTGATGTCTGGTGTGCATTGCCGTGTGTTGCTTTGCAGCTGCGCAAGCAGTTTGCACCTCGCATTGCCCGCCTTGCACTTCACAGCACGGCGCTAGTGGATCGCATCAACCACGGCATGCCACAGATGACCCACGAGCTGGGACGCGGTCAGTACGGCGTGGTGTATGCCAGCGACACCTGGGCCAGTCACCAGCCTGTCTGCGTAAAGTCTGTAGTGCCACCGGATGAGAAACACTGGAATGATCTGGCCATGGAGTTCCACTACATGTGGTAAGCATGATACCAGTACATGCCCATGTACGTCTTGCCGTCAATGTTGTACTTGTATTGTTGAAAGAGCAAGGCTCAAGAAAAAACTACATTGGCGACGCTTACACTGAATGTAGCACCGAGATATCTCTTGGTAGGTGATAATCAGTTTGCTATCACCACTGTGACACTGCTGCACCAGGGTAGTGGCCAGGCATCCATACGCTTGGCACCCTTGGCACGCCATGCAATGTTCTGCAATGTTCTACCAAGGTAGAATCTTTATTACGCACTTAGGCTCATAGCCAACTGATGGCAGTCCAACCCAACCAGCCATTCACTGTATTGGTCGGATCAGTGCTAGATACTACCGTGTACTTCGAAGTACACGGTAGACTACCCAACTCACAGAACACAGTGACACCCACTCTGTAGTCTGTACACAATGGCGGACTATACAACACACAGTGCATATCAATCTCGACTTAGGTCTTCCACTATTTGAACTTTCTCTCAAACCAATGGCAGTTTGCGTCCTCTTTCTTTTCATTTTCTTGGAAAACACAACCCTTCAATGCCATCCTTTTCATGTGACCCACCGTTGTCTAGCAAATACTGTAAATACTGTACATTCAATGGAGTACATGTAATTGTGATGCATGATGACAATTTCCTTTGTGCCCAGGACTCTGCCGATTCACGACCGCATTGTCACTCTTCACGGCGTTACTATAGACTATACGTACGGCAGTGGTGCCACACCGGCCGTGTTGCTGATCATGGAGCGGATGAACCGGGACCTGCACTCTGGCATCAAGCACCACATGTCCTGGGTGGAGCGACTGCAGGTGGCCGGCGACGTCATTGAGGGTATTCGCTTCCTGCACGCGCGCGGCCTCATTCATCGTGATATCAAACTGAAAAATGTTTTGGTGAGTTACCATGACTGTAGTGTATGCAGGTGTGGCTTGAATCAAGATAACCAAATTTGCTCTGGATGGCAGTCGTGAGTCAGCAAGTGTCAAGTCAAGTCGGCGGAATAGTGCGAGCTCCAGTATGGGGAGCAAACCCTTTCACTAACCAAATTTATACAGAAATTATAGTGGTCCCATAGGATGGTGAAACTAACTCCTAACACCAGTGAGGCTCATGACAGTATGCATGTACTGTGGTGGGGTGTATGGCCGGCCAAGTGGGATTACAGTCCATTTCAAAACTATAGACGTGCAGTGTTTTTGAAATATTTCAAATTTGGCTGGAACTTTTTGAGAATAGTTTTCGGAATATTGTTCAGGTCCGCTCCACAATTACTCTTATAATTATAGTTTCTAAACGATTGGATAACAGACGCCCAATTTGGAAAAATTTATGCACAAAGTGATCACAGATTTTATGTGGTATAGATGCTGGCATAACGGTTTTTGCCTAGGTACGCGTCTATAGTTTTGAAATGGACTGTAGTGAGCTGCCTGACGATCTGAATTTGTGGGCTAAAGCCCCCTTCGTGCAAGTAGGTTTTCTCCGGCAGGCACTTGTGCTGAGCTCGGATAAGTACCTGGCATTTATATTAATTCTATATGCGAAGGTTTCTGTGAAAATACATTGCATTGCATGTGTCATGCCTGGCCCAAACTGGCAACATCCTAGCATGTTGCATTTTCCTCTTCTTGTTTGAGATGCATTCAGAGGGGGGGGGGGGGGGGGGGGGAGGGCACTTCCTGCAGTGGGGTACTAACGGCAGATCAGCGCTGGACTGAACGGGTATTTCAGCCTTTGACCATTGAAATATCGGCACTTTTGTATTATTTTTAAAACAGGGACTTCCGAAACTAACTTAGGAGCCCTAATTGAACGTGTACAGGCACTTGATTGTTAAAAAGCATTACTGAGGGCCACAGCTTGACTTACCAGTAACGAGTACTAACGACTTATTGTAATGATTGTGTACACTTCTGCCACAGCTGGATGCAAACAATCGTGGCAAGATCACCGATCTGGGTTTCTGCAAGCCCGAAGCTATGATGACAATGTCACTCGTGGGCACCCCGATTCACATGGCACCGGAGCTGTTCGATGGAGCCTACTCGTCGTCCATCGACGTCTATGCATTTGGCATTCTCTTCTGGTACATCTGCAGCAATCAGGTCAAACTGCCTGCAGTCTATGACCGCTGTCACAGTAAGGATCAGCTTTGGCATGAAGTACGTCGTGGACTGCGACCAGAGCGTCTCAAAGTATTTGAGGATGGCTGCTGGAGGCTAATGTGTGACTGCTGGAGCCGTGAGACGGAGCAGCGGCCCCTACCTGGCAGCGTCTCTGAGAGGATCAGCAGGATGATGGAAGCTGCTAAAGAGCAACAGCTGCAGCGAGGTCCTTCGCCAGTCGTCACGCCTCCACCGACCAAACCTGGGAGTAAACCTCGGCATAACCCATCCAAGAGGTGAACATCAAGGTTGCTCTCGGGGCAGTTTTGCACTGCTGCTCCAACACTAGCTCACGGCTTGAACGCGTACTACAAGACTGTCCAATGGTCTCCACAGAACACTCGGCAAAATTGACACTCCACTAGTCTACATTTTCAAACAAAGTTGGAATCTTTTTTTTTGTAAAGTAGTGATCAGTTCTGACAGTAGGCCACCCATTTTGCCCATTCCATTCTAGTTTATTTAGGATGGCCTAGCTAAGACACAGTTAATTTAGATGATGCGACGGTACTTCTCTGGTTTTGTGACCTATTAAAGAAAATCTCGACCTCGGTGTTCTGGAGGTCTTGTAGCTAGGGAAGAAATTATTTTCAACAATTCGGTTTGATTATGAGTCAGGGTGTCCACGAAAAAAAGGCATGACTTTGAGCACATACCTTTAATACATGCATGTCATCATAGCATATTTATCCATATGTGACCCTGTTAAAACTGGTATGTAACTTTCTAAACTTCTTCTTTTAAAAGCTGCACGATTTAAAAAGTTTCCCCTTGACGATGCAATTAGTTAATATTTGTTTGAATGCAGTGTGGTTTCCCGGTCCGCTTTGCCGCAGTACAGATTATTGTCATACATTTCAGAGTCATTTCCCCACAGAGAATTTGTTTCAAGTTCTTTGGTCAGATGATTAGAACTTTGTAACGCAATTTTATTGGATTTCCTATTTCAAACTAAGAAGTTAAGTAGGCCACTTGCCAACTCCTTATTTTCCATGTCCATTTTTGAATATATTTTGAATCATTTGAATTTTTATATTTTTTGTGACTTACATTATTCTCGACACTCAAATACGTCGCAAGTTATTACCGGTAATTCATTTTGGCACTAAAAGCTTCCTAGTGTCAGAATGGACAGGACTCAAGCAAGCCCCCCGCGCATCAAGATGAAAACCCATCAAGTGTTTGCAACAAACACGGTGACAGTGCAACTGAATGGAGATGTACTCCCAACGGCACTCGGAGCGAATGCTGTCAGGTCCTGACGCTGTGGGACAGATGAGTATGCATGAATGGAAAAATCCATATATCAGACCATTGTACATTTTGAAAATCAGAGGACACTAATAATGGCGGTACATGCATGTTTTATCTACAGTGCTGGCAACTGAAATCCGGCCCCCTGGGCGGCGCGGTGTGCCGCCCAGGGGGTCGGATTTCAGTTGCCAGCACTGTAGCAGTAAAAACTATTTTGAAGAATCCATAACACATCGGGTGCATGTAGCATGCTCAAAATTGGAACTCACTGTGATTTGTGCAGATAGTAAGAAATAAATTATCATGGTCATGCATCTGTACAGGAGTAAAGATGTCTCATGTGATACATGGCTCTGAGTTTGAAACCGTAATCTATGCGCGGTCAATCGTGAATATATCCAGTCAGGTGTCCGGCTTCATGACCCGGCACATGTCTTACTACATTGTACACGTAGCAATGTTCAGCACTTCGCCGTAAACTGGATTTCTGCATGTGCACTGCAGGATAGCTGTGACAATCAATGCAATACCTTCTTGCGGCAGGAGAACACTGCAAACGCAAAGACATAGTAGGTGAAAAGCAGTCCGATCAAAGCACCGAAGTTGATGCCCAGTGATAGCTGCCAGTTCCGTAGCGATGCGTTCAAAACTGCATCGCCATTCGGCCATTGGCATGCCGGCGCCGCGTCACTCTCATTGGTCAACGCCATACTGCTGCTAATCAGGGTGGCCATGGTGCTGGTGGTCTCGTTCAGCACATCGGCAGCTACAGCACTGCTACTGGCTGTAATGTTGCTTGCTGGAGCGTCGCAGGTCAGAACCAGGCCTTTCATCTCGTTCACTTGCATAATCGCACCGCTGTACTTGAACGGGATGATGTAGGACACGATCTCCAGCCACTGTGGAACGGATGATGAAACTCTGCACACGGGGAAACACCAATACCAGGCAGGACAAACTTGGCCACACGTATATTTACGAGTCCCTACCGAGTATAATATTATGCTATGCTCATACACTGTGACAGATACTTGAAGCACCTTGAAGCAGATGCCATGGAGTGTTACATTGTACTAGTGTATGCAGTGTATGCAGTGTATGCAGTGTATGAAGCTGCTACTGAGAGCATGGCTACAGGTAGTAGCTGCTATGTCATGGTAAGTTGCCCACGCGAGGCACACAGAAGATGCAAAATGGCCACTGCCCTTCTCTCCCCCACCCACCCGCCTCCCTTCACGCATACTATGAGCAATGTGATCATGCAACCACTCGCATCCCACCATCCCACCCTCCCACCATCCCACCATCCCACCACCCGACCTACCTGTAGACACCACCTCCCAGCGCTATGCCGACCATGATGAAGAATGTGGTGACCGAGTCGGCTACCGGTATACTGGAGACCATACCCAACATGAGCACCGCTATACACTCTCCCACCAAGTGTAAGAGAAACACAACCATCCAATAGATGAAGAATGGAGAGCCATCGGACAGTTGCAGGCCAGCTCCACTGTACACAAAACCCCAAGAAACAACACAGTAGAAATCTTGCACGGATATATTCTATGTATGCTGTATCTATTCAATGGCAATGATTGAATTAGTGATCCGAAGCAGCCTGTTCCTGGCTTTGCAGATAGCCAAAGCCAGCCTACATGTGTCCAATACAAGCCTTGATTCCTGGATCGCACATAATTGCACTTGTAGCAAAACACCAATGTCCACTCCTAAGACTAAAGTAAGAGATCATAGTGGTTACATGCCTCATGCATACAGCACAGTTAAACCATCCGCATACACATACATACACAGCACAGCACAGGTACCGAAAATACCACCAGTACACCAGCAGCCCGGCAGCCCGGAGCACCTACTTACAAGTACATGACAATGGTCCAGAGCAGGCTGCTGACCATGCTGAACGGTATGGAGTGCAGGAAATAGGACAGGAGAAACAGCCCTGCGCCGTACATTCCTTCGTATGTCTCACGATGATAGCGCTCCCTCAACGGAGGACCTACATGCAAAGAAAAATACAGAGGCATACACATGAACACAGTAAGTTCAGAATGTGCACAACAACAGTATCAACCAGGGAGTAGTAAAATACATGTATTTTACTACTCCCTGGTATCAACACAAGTGATGTGATATCCTCAGTACATCCATCTACCAATAAGAAATCATTGGTAAACGCGTCCATAGGACTCGGCACCTTCATTAGGTCCAACCCGCACTGGCCATTGTAAGCATACTAGTACTTGCTATACAGTCATGCACAATTTGTAGGTGATGGTCATGGTTCCTACAAGCATGCTAGCTACAACACTGCAATGCAGCGTGACCACTGTGACTGCTAGTACAGACAGGTGCGGCTCACTCCTCGTGCACTGTGCAGGTCCAGAACTCAGAATCACGCCGCGGCCTATTTGTGCTCACTTCCCATACGAGAGCAAATGAAAAGCTTAGATGCAAAACGTGACACACTAGTATCCGATTTTGGATGTGAAATTTTGCCTGAAGGTGTCTCTAGACCTATGGATTACAATGAGCTCAACATTTGAATTTCTCAAATTTGGCACTTGTCGCGTTTTTGCATCTGAACTCTTCAAATCCTGGTGTTGTTGCTTACACAGTGAAATAGCTGCAACAGCAGATGCCAGCGTGACCTCTACCAGTGTCTCCAGTATGAGCCCATTGCGATTCTGCACTGACTGCTGGTCGTTTCCGAGCCTTGTAAAGAAGAGCAGCAGATAGAGAGCCAGTAGTGGCAGCTGGAAGGTGCGTGTGAAGACGGCACTGCGGCTTCGGAGCGTGTTGGTTAGTGCTCGCCTGGATGGGGATAGAGACATTGAAAGTGGCTACATGTATGACCGGAAGGAATCCTGCAACACATGTACATGTACATGTACATGCTGACAAAAGCCCCCCCCCCCCCCCCCCGCCGCCGTGAGAGGCTTCCCCTAAGAATAATGGATGAATGGAGAGACAGGGACTTGCAATGACATGTTTGTGAAAGCGAACAGTGTAACTGTGTGGTACCCCCAGCCCTATATCATGTGTCAAAAGAAAGGTCTCATACTGGATTTGAATAGTGTCAGGGTGGGGAGAGGGACATCCAATATCTCCCCCGTGACTCCTTCAAAAAGCCAATGGTGTTCTATGGTGTTGGTAAACCTTTCAACTGGCATGTTTTCTTAGTCAATCATTGTTTTGAAAGCAGTTCCCATGTAACCGAGTCCTTACTCAGCCAGTGGTCTGAGTCTGCAAGCCTCAGTCCCGGTATCATCCTCTTCGAAAGACCCTGAAGGAGGGTTCTCAACCACTGATTTCTGGGAGTTTCCTTTCCGAACTGCACTCACCTTGTAAGCGTCAAAAGCTTTGAGCTGTTTGATGGCCTGTCAAAAGGGTCTTCCATATCCAGACGGCCTGAGATCTGTCGCTCACGGAGGCGCTTCAGAGGCGTGGCATCCCAGCCGATCTCCTCGCACACGTTCCGGTGGAATTGACTGGACGTGAACGCCGTCTTCAGTGTTACCACACGCTCCTCTGTTGCCTCCCGGTCGTCATCAGTCCTGTTACTGACGCTGCTGAGTGTAACTGAGACAATAGTAGTACAGCAAGAGCCGAAAATACAATAGGGGGTTAAACACAATGAGATAACTTGGCTACACTATAATTATGTTCACCGCGGATGACACTAGAAGAAGAAAGATGCTCTGATTCATTCTTCAAGTGCTGTGCCCCTGTGCTCATTTCAGTTTACATCTATTCAAATACGTGTAATTTTATGATGCTGTGATGCGGGCACATGATGTGTATATCATGCATCATTTCCGGACATTCTCACTGTCTAGTTATAACGTGCTCGTGTTCTCTGCTGTGGTGACAATATACTAACATAGTGTCGCATTGCCTGTGCTGCGGCATCCAACAACTACTTCACAATAGCCATGCAACGCAGAGTTGCTTACCAAAGTACTGCAGGGGGTTAGCGTCTGACGGGCAGGGGAAGCCGATCTGATCAAAATGCATCAGCATTGACTGTGATGGTCCTGCCCAGATGAGTTCACCAGAGTTCATGAGGATGACATCATTGAACATCTGTGAATTTCAGATATAACACATGCATACATCAAACTTTGGAAGGCTCCCTAATTCCCAGACTGATTATAGCCAATTGCTATGTCCGCTGGACCAGGGCGAATTAAAATGGCAGAATATGCATCACAACATGAATTGGGTAGAAAGGTTGCCAGGGCAACATGCAGATGGAAAAGAACCTTGCTCTATGTTCTTCTTCCACCACAACCCCTCAAGTTAGCGTTCAATGGCGTACACGGTCTTACGTTAGTGGTCATCTCTTACCCGGAAAAGGTCAGACTTTGGCTGATGTATAGTAACCATGATCAGATGCTGTTTGCGTGTTAGCTTAGTCAGCGTTCTCAGCAATTGGTTAGCATTGAAAGAATCCAGACCAGTTGTAGGCTCATCAAGTAAGATTATACCTATCACGCCAAGAGAGTAGAAAATGCAGAAACCGGTGGACACACCGATTGGTTGTGACGATGAATTACATGTAGGCGCCAAACAAGATAAACATTCAGTCTTGGCTTAAAATCCAGGATTGCCGGAAGCAGTTTTTGATTGGTCCGGTAGTATTGTGGCCTTTCATACAGTTTGTATATCGATATGGTGTTCATACAGTTTGTATATCGATAATGGTGTTCATACAGTTTGTATATCGATATGGTGTTCATACAGTTTGTATATCGATATGGTGTTCATACAGTTTGTATATCGATAATGGTGTTCATACAGTTTGTATATCGATATGGTGTTCATACAGTTTTGTATATCGATATGGTGTTCATACAGTTTGTATATCGATATGGTGTTCATACAGTTTTGTATATTGATATGGTGTTCATACAGTTTGTATATCGATATGGTGTTCATACAGTTTGTATATCGATATGGTGTTCATACAGTTTGTATATCGATATGGTGTTCATACAGTTTGTATATCGATATGGTGTTCATACAGTTTGTATATCGATATGGTGTTCATACAGTTTGTATATCGATATGGTGGATACACATGCCCTCCACAGTAGTAAACACGTGTTGATAGCCGAAACGTTGGTCCAGTGATAACCTGGCCAAGCGGACCGATTCCGTCGGGCCTGAAATCGGTAATAGACATTTTGACATTGTGAAAAAGGCTTGTGTCTTTGGAGTGTGCACTTGATAAGGATACATGTACTGTACATGTTAAACAAAACCGAATAGAGAGGGAGAGAGGGTACTGCCAGAAACCATCACTGGGTACACTGCAGTCAACATTAGCTTACCAGGAGCAACCAGGAGCTGTACACCAATGCTGACGCGCCGCCTCTCACCGCCCGACAGTCCTCGGATCGCCTCGCCGTCACCAACTTGTGAGTTGGCCACCTTGCTCAGACCAAGCTCCTTGATGATGTCACTTGCCTGCAGTGGGTATTCATAGTTCATGCAGTGCTTGTTGCCTGCTTATCTACATGTGCACAGCCAAGTTAGACCAGCATGCCCTTAGTGTGCACAGCCAAGTTGAACCAGCATGCCCAACACGACCCTGCACGTGTACTATTTCACAATAATGATTGGCTTCACCTTTGTCGATGCAAGACGACAAGGGCTCAGTGGCAAACATCTTTTGATGAACCAGCCGGTATCAAGTAATGCTGATAACAGGGACATGATCCTGCAGCACATGCACACCTTCCCCTACCTTCTTGCGTAGCTCGCTGTCAGCAATGGATGGTGGCAGGCTGAGCTTGCCCATGAACACTAGTGTCTCCATCACAGTCAGCGCCGGCAGCAAACTGTCATTTTGCAGCACATACCCGACCTGTGAAACAAAGTGCATGACAACATTAACGTGAATGATGCCTTGCCTTCCCCAGCCTGGGCATAGTATTCTGGTCTGTGTGGTTGATTGTCTGGTCCTATGCCACTCAGACAGAGCGCTAACCGCACATGCACATGTATACAATGTAGCGTTGACCACAAGAAGTTATCGATTTTCTAACGCAGGGTGTAAACACACATGCAGTTCCATGTGTGAAATGAAACAGTTAGTGGGAGACTGCAAAGTGTGACCTCTCACACTGTAGCATACAGTGTGTTTCACATGCAGTGCAAACAACAACAGCTATTGTAGAGTGCTTGTTTTCCCCATGCATGCATCACGTTGCAAATCTGTGTGTATGTGTGTGTGTGTGTGTGTGTGTGTGTGTGTGTGTGTGTGTGTGTGTGTGTGTGTGTGTGCGTGTGTGTGTGTGTGCATGTGCATGCATGTGTGTGTGTGTATGCATGCTTGTGTGTGTGCTTGTGTGTAGATGTATGTGTGTGTGTGTGTGTGTGTGTGTGTGTGTGTGTGTGTGTGTGTGTGTGTGTGTGTGTGTGTGTGTGTGTGTGTGTGTGTGTGTGTGTGTGTGTGTGTGTGTGTGTGTGTACTGTGTATGCATCATGCCATGTGTGCATGCAAGTGAGTGAATAGCAGCAACTCACATGCTCTTTCACGTCTTTCATTGTGCGCCGCGTCCCGTTGAAGAACACGGCACCCTCGACTTGCCCTGTGTAGCGCTTTGCAATCACATCCAACAGGGACGTCTTTCCACTGCCTACACAATCAGCATGCATGTAGTGCAAGCAAACATATCCAGCACCGAATGGCTACAAACTCTGGAAACCACGATCAGATTAGTAGTAGTTTTCAACTCTCTCAAAGTAATGAATAACTTATACTAACGGTCTCCTTTCTCACGACAACTGGTGCGGGGATACATGTAGAGCTAGTTTCGATATGGTATGCTCTAGTCAGTTGAACGAGCACTTTTAAACGTAAAACTACCTTCCCAACTTTAATAATTATGGTAAGGTTAAGTGACACGCAGGAGTACTTTTCCAAGTGCTGCGTGCTATACCGAAATCCCATCACCGGTGCTATCATTATATTATCACTATGCTTACCGGATGGGCCCATCACAGCCACCAGACTGCCTGGATTGATGCGGAAGGTCAGGTTCTTCAGGATGTACTGGCCATCTGATGAGCCTGTGGTAGGGGTACCTTCTTCAACACATGCCGAGGGTGTATGATCCGGCCCACCGTCCGTAGTGGCTCTGCATCTCAATCTGTGAAGTGCATCCGTCAGGCGTGATTTCACTGCTCTCTGCTCCGGCGAATAGTAGACACGCTTGAAGTCGATTGTCGTTGGTTGCATGACGAAGTCTTCCACCTGGTGAACAGCACACCACATGTAGCAACAGAATTTGATAGAGCACTAGTCTTGTACTGCATTGTACCACCCAAAGTAACATACCAACACCGCACATACCCACAAACCATCAACACCACATACTGGTACACCCGACCAGCATCAGTGTAGGTAATGCCGCCATCACTCACCATCAGTTCCACTGGTGAAAACCCTTCACTATACTCTAGTCCTTCTTACCTGCCACGTACTTCCGGCACCTTTCTGCTTGGTGGAGCCCGTAGCTCGACGACGCGTACCTCTCATTTGTTGTTGCAGCGTAGGTGCTGGTAACCGCCGGTCAATCGCAACAACCGGCAGTCGACTGAGCGGCTTCGGCGGCGGGCCGTATCGATCTTCGGCCGTGTTAGAACGCGAGTACGCTGGCCGTCCCTGTTCCTGCCATGCAGAGGTTTGTTCATGCTGTGATGGAGCGCCGCTGCTCGAGGAATTGCAATCTGCGCCATGCTGGGTAATGTGATGGCCGGTCTCAGCATCCGAATCCTCCTCACACAGGGCAGTCTGTATGACTTCGGGAATTGAAACATCGCTCGTCTTCAGAATGGACCTTGGTCTCTGCAAAGCACTGTCAACTGATAATCTCCGTCCCCGGCTACTGTCAACTGAGAGTGTTCGTGCCCTATTTGCAACTGAACTGGTTGATGTGTGCTCGTCTTTTGCCATTCCGGCAGTGTCCGCGAAAACACTGACTTGATCATCCATACCTCCAGCCAGTGCATTGCTGTCGAACGACACCCTACGACTGCGATTTGGACTGATAACATGTTCATCTGCTTCTCGACTGACAGTGCTATCAAACGATACTCGTCGACTGCTGTCGCTCGGTGGTCTAAGTTCTGTACCCCATTCAAAGGGATCCTCAGTGACACTATTGTCCCTGCTCTCCAACTGGTCATCTTCCTCGACCTGCGGGAAGGACACTCGTCTGCGGCGCTCGGCGCTCCTTACCCTGTCGATGTGGCTATCTGTCGTGTGCTTGGACAAGCGACTCTGTGTGGAAGAACTACTTGACGTGCCTTCTTGGCTATCGTGCTGCAGCTCAGCTCGTCCTGTGCCACGCGGACTGCGGCCACCGAGAGCAGATGCGCTTGCAGACACCAAACCGCCTCTGGCTTTTCTCGCGCGGGCCAGCTTGGCCATTTGAGCGACGTTCGAGGTGCCGCGAGTATCCGGTCCGCCCGTGCGAGGGCGATGACCTGGATAATCCATGACGACGACGATGGTGGTTCGTTCCGGATCAAACTGCAACACCTCTTCCTTGCCCACGTCTCCTTGATGGACTGGCAGCAGCGAAACCTACAAATTGTAATGTCGACTGAATCCACCAACGTGCAACAGCCTGCTATTTCACCAAATCCATGGTTGATTTCCTCGCGAGTAGCAAATAATTGGATGGTTGAAAGAGGGAAGCTGCTTAGAATGTAGAATGCCCGTGGTTCCCAGTGGGCCGACCATCGTTAGCCGTTCAGATACTCACACTAGCTTACTAGGAACAGGGTATTCTCATGGTCCATCGTCTGCCTGGATCGGATGGATTAGTGTTAGACTTGGCATGCCCCGTGACGGCGGGTAAATATAGCACAGACCGCTGCACAGCTCAGGTAGCCGCACCTGCCACAGAGCGTGAGGCTGATGCAGTGCGGTCTGGAAGACTGCCTTCTTTTTTGAAGCCAGGGAACTCCAACTACATGCATACGTAGTTGATCATGGATTCTGTGGAAATTTTTGAATGAACTAAAGAAGTCACTAAACGCTACGGGTATGTTGGAGTTGCTGTCGGGTGGTTTCTGTAGTAGGCTGAACCGGAGCTCAGAGAGGTTGCTATGTGTTATCTCAGCCTGGGAAGGTGCCTCGCATGTGAGCACTGAGCTAGCAGCGGCAATGACACTGACGATGTGACAACGCTGAGTGATTGAAACGGTGTGAGACGCGGCTTCCCTGGATTTCTCGGATTCCCCAGAATTGCTCACTAAATATACTTTAGCACTGATATCATGATGCGGGTGTCTGTCACCCATCATGGGCTATGCAGTCGGTATTGTCTGTCACCACTACCGTCACCACTACCGTCATCATGCCACGGTCGTTGTACAGTCACTAGCACTGTGACTGCACTGAACTGGAGAGATGGACACATGTCACACATTACAAGGTATAACGAAGCCATGACCATATTGGTGTAGATCTTGCCACCTTGGACCTAGACGGTAGACCTCGTGTGCCAGTGCAGTGGCATGCAGTGGGTGCCAGTGCACTGTGGTAGTCTCATCACAGCACAGCGGCGCCACGGTAGGTCATTCTGTCTACAGTCAGACTCCACTCTACACTAAGTAATGCACTAATGCCCGGTAATGGCTAGTAATGCAGTTACAAGTCGATGAAGGTCTGCGTCAAGTTCAACAGCCGTCAAGGAGCAGTAAAACTCTAGGTAAAAATGTTACTAAAAAGTAAAAGCACAACAGCGGCTTTTGACAAGCTTCTGTATTCAATCTTCCACTTTTTTTAGTCTTCTATTCATTGCCCAATTTGGGTTGTCTTTCGGCATTGGCGGATAATGCTCGAAAAGGTGGCAGATTCTGCTCGAAAAGCAGTGAAATTGGCAGAACCATACAAACCTTATGGCTGGCAATTCCTCGAATTCTGCTCCATTTCTTTATCCACACACCAAACATGCATGAAACTTACCAGAAAAAGTACCGAATTCTGCCAATTTTTCTGCCGGCATTATCCGCAAAGGCCTAGTTGTCTTTTAGTTCTTGCTTCATTGCTTCACACAATTCTTGGCGTTGGGAATAAACTGTTCCCAGTCCCAAGTACCGCTTTAGGCCTGAGCTGCATCTGCGCCTTGATCCTTGAAGGGTGGTGGCGTTCCTACGGATCCGGAAAACTCCGGCCTCTAGCCGAGTCTGACACGAACCGTGAAAATATCCCAAGTTCAACTCTAGGTCAACTAGTACTGGCCTAAACAATAGCCATGTTCAGTCCCATGCCATGGAGGTGAGAAGAACCAAGGGTACATATTAAACCATCTCGACTTGCTAGGACATTCCGGCATTGTACATGTATACCCAAGTATCACTGTCCCTGTTCATCGGGAGATCTACTGCAGTGCAGCACGCCATAGCCGAATGATCTTCTAGTATTTCTCTACTTTTCTTATATCCTCTTCCTGCCTTTGCTGGACAGAACGACCTCCTCTTTTTGCTCACCGGTCGTGTGCATGCTTCTGCATGACACTCGAATACAAAGAAAGTTTCAGTCATGGTTTTCTGCAGGGTGTAACTAACTTACTTCCACATGTGCAAATACAGTGATTGGAGTCCGGAAGACGGTGACTCTGACCTCTACTACGTCTAGTACTAGTACAAGTAATATCAAGAGTATTTTATAAGCTCCCAGTACAGAAGAGGTTGGTGCGACTTTGGCGATACTTGGGGAATTGTGTGTTGCTCCCTACATGGAAGCTCGCGGTTTTCCTGCCGACTGGAGTGGACGGTTCGATGGACTTCTCCTGTGCTCTGGATGGCAGTCGTAAGTCAGTCAAGTGAGAATTCAAGTCGGCAGGAAAACCGCGAGCTCCCATGTGGGGAGCAACACACAATTTCCCAGTACAGAGTTTATTTTAATACTCAAGTACTCTTGCTAGTTGTAAAACAGAGAGGTTCTAGGCTGTCCAAGAGAGTGCTGTTTTCTGATGATCGCTTAGTGCGTGAAACCTTTTTCACTTTTTCCGTCCTCTTATCGTTTGTTTTTACTCTTTAATATCTTGCTAGTTGTAGTAACCAGGCTCAAGCCCACACTGTCCCAGATACAGCCTACAGAGCTACATGTACATGTAGAGTGGAGTAAGCAGGAATGCTAAGTAGGCATATGCGGATAATGCCGGCAGAAAAATTGGCAGAATTCGGTACTTTTTCTGGTAAGTTTCATGCATGTTTGGTATGTGGATAAAGAAATGGAGCAGAATTCGAGGAATTGCCCGCCATAAAGTTTGTATGGTTCTGCCAATTTCACTGCTTTTCGAGCAGAATCTGCCACCTTTTCGAGCATTATCCGCACACCCCTAATGCTAAGCACTGGTGCTAGCGGTCACATACACAATCACCATATCACAAGTACACAAGCGCATACAATGCACGTGCACACACGCACACACACACACCGTGTATGTGTGAGCATGTGTGGCATACGCGCGTGCCCCCCACACAAAGACACACACACACGCACATATGTATGTGCATTTACCCGTATGTGATACATGTACATGTGCATACACATACCGGTAAAAGCACATGGACGAAGAGATGATAACGCACCGCGTTGAAGCCATGTTAGACATACATGTAGCCCTTGTACTGGGACTACAGGTCGTAAGCCCTTCAAACACGCAAGCGCGCGCAAACGCACACACACACACACACACACGCACACACGCACACAAATGTACAAACGCGCGCACACATCACAGCCTGCACTATCCCGCGAAGCATGACATTATGTCCTCTTCAACACATTGTGTTGAAGAGGAAGAGGACATAATGTCATGATAGGAAGTTAGGTAAATGACATACTATAGTAGTATACTAAGGACTTTTAAAATTAGGTAGGCTGGATCAAAGAGCGCTTCGTCAGAATTTTCAGGGCCACGCGGGTAGAACTGCAAACCACAGGTTCGCGGTGTGCAAGCGCGCTGTGTACCATGCATGTACGAGTACCATGTCCATGAGCACAGTGACCATGGTGACAGAGTGTCTTCTTCGCCGCCGTAGACCATGCATGGTAGACCTACGTCCACAAACACGATCTCATTTTCGCAGTTCGTAGATCTACCCATTGTACGCGTCGCTGCATATGGCATACGTAGACCATGGTAGACCCCAATGACCATGATGACTACCTATGTACAATTATTGTCATACAAAAGCCTGAAAAGTGAAAGGGCTCAACTACAAAAATCCTAACTTTTCGTTCGACCGGGAATTTCAAGTGACTGGATGTCGTCAGACTACAAAGTAGCTACCGCGGTACCGGTATCTATGATCGTGTCATAGCCGTCTGTCTTTCAAAACATTTTGACGACAAAGGCCACGCTCAGCACAGTGTTTCTTTTTCTTCTGTCTGGACTGCGTGAAGACCTCCAAAGGAAGCAGCGTGGATATCGTTTGGAGCAGCGGCTCACTGGAGCAAGGCAGCGCGTGGAGATCATGCACCACGAGCACAAGTAACATAGTTACTTTCTACCCGACCGCTAAGTACATTGTAGTTGTCAACACTGTTAGACCATTATATTCGCACATGCACCATATTCTACATAACTGTCTTCATTCACCACCTCCATTCCGTGGTGCATCGCGCTAGCTGCCTGGCTGCTTACAACAGTACTCAGTTGTAAGGGTTTGACCTGAGCTAGGGTCTAGTAGGGATTACCAAGCGTAGCATTGTAGTGCTAACCGCTAGTAACGGCATTCACTGCACTGGTGATCATGGATGACGATATAGTCGACCTGGATGAGATTGAGCGCACACTGCAAGAAGTGGAACAGGACCTGAAATGCAGAACGAACTCAGCGGCTGCCCGGCACACAGGCTGTGACGATGACCCATTCGCGTAAGTACAGAGGATTGCATGGGATCATTGAGGATTCAATGATGAATGAGTCCAGCATTAGCACATAGTCCTATAGTTACTGCCTATTCGATCAGCTGTGTGGACTTCAGTCTCTGGCTGTTGACCACACAGTGTGCACTTGTGTGTGTGTGTGTGTGTGTATGTGTGTGCGGGTGCGTACGTGCGTGCGTGTGTGTGGTGTACGTGTATGTGTACGTATGACCCCCCCCCCCCCACACACACACACCATGCACCATGTATACGCCCGTCGGAAGAGAAGCACGCGAATCCGCGAATGCACTGGATGTACACCCACATATTTTTCTCTTATAGCAATGATAGTGGACTGAAGTAGGTCGGATCGTCGGAAACCAAGGTCCCACTGTCCGTGTAAAGGACATCTGCACATGTTTTTAAATTCTGTTGATGCTTTCTCCATTCACCCTTGCCTGCAGTGCATTCAGGCCGGGCGCCTCAAAGAAACCTGCATCAGCTACAGTGAGTGCAGGCAAAGTTAAATCTACTGCTGCAGACGCACGGGTCAGTGCATCCACCGGCAAGCCGGGAAGCGACAGTAAGAAGTTCATGAGCAACGACGACCTCTCTTTCCTGGACGAAGTGGAGAAGGATTGTGAAGACCTGGATACTAGTGTGGTATGTGATGTTAATGATCATCCCTGGCAGTACAATCATATGCAGTCTGTGTGTCTAGGACAGAACCAAGGTACATTGTGTATGACATGTTGGAAAGGAATTGGTTAAAATTGTTTTTGTTTTTTTTAAACATTTTAGTACACCCTCTTGTCCCAGTACAGTCTGATGCACAGCGCCCTCTACAATCCCTTGCATTGAGAATGAAATCTTCACTGGGTTGAAGGTCTCACATGACTTCTCATCATTAGGCATACTAGTTAAAGTGTTCCAATTCTTAGAAACTTTCTGTCCTCTAATTTTGTTCTAATTCATTTACTTAGGCCCAGCGCCCTGCAACTCAGACTCAGTCGGGCAAAAAAGCTAACTCGGTAGCGAAACACCGTGATGGACAACGAGGGTGAGTGCATTGTACACTTTGTTCGGCCTTGTCACTTGCAGCCGCCCGTGCAGCACTGTGCATGCAGTCTGCCAATGCCAGTTCCTGCAACTGCGTTCAATCAACACCGCATCCAAGTTCACTGTGCTCTTGAAACCATTCAGGTCCTTCAAGTCTATGTAGGCGTATCTTCTGTGTCACAAGTTCAGCCCAATGAATTAGGACAAGATTAGAAGAGCCCCCCCCCCCACTTCCATGGAAAGAGCACTTCCGTGGAAAGAGAATGTGCCGCTTTACAGGACCTGAGCCATCCCTGATTTCCTCTGGTGTCTCAGTAGATATGATGGGTCATGAAGCATTTCCCCGCATTGTCCTCCCGCATCTTTAGGAGGGAGGGCCCTTCATCAATGAATATTGGCAGTGGATACAGGAATATTGGTCAAGGTTTGAGGTGACAAGTGTTCATTTACTTGTAGTTTGTGGATTGACCCCTGTTGAATTATCCATTTGCATGATTTCCATATTGGACACTGTGTGTGTGCCGGCGCGTGCGCGTGCGCGTGTGTGTGTGTGTATGTTTGTGCTTGCAGCTGCTTCCCTGTGTATGTTGGTGGTACCAGAAGTTCACTGGGATACGACCCTTCCACTCCTGGGTAAGACATTCATACAGCCACCTGTACCGATCTCTCCATAATGATACCAGTGAGCCGACGATATGCTACAGTGTTCCATAGACTCGTGTGTGTTGTATGCCGGTGAATCCCTCACCGCCCAGTCTGGTTTGCTGGTACATTGAAGTGACACGCGCCGTAGCCTCCCGCTGGGAAAGTTCATGATAGAATAATGCTCCAAAGGAACATTCAACAGGATCTCTACACCACCACTGCTCTTCACAAGGCTATAGATATGGCGGTGGAGTTTCAATGGCACACTTCAAGTTGTTGTATGTGGATAGAGTGTGATGCCCAGGCTGGAATGTATTGCACTACGGGAGGTATCAGCTTTGGACAGAAGCATTGCTATCATGTATCATTATTGAATCATGTTACCGCAGTCTTTCAGTATCTACACTGTACATGTAGAGGATGACACCCAACCGTACAACCCGCAACTTGCTGTTGGTATTTCACTTGCAGGCTATGCTGCAACAACTTGCTGTGTGTGGGCTGCGATTTCACTGTATTGTCGTTCGACGAGACCGCCTGGGCTAGCAGTGTGGACTACCTGTTCTTTCGTAACCAGATGCCGGTAGTTGCTGAGCTGAAGAAGAAGCTACAACGTCAGAAAGGTAGGCTTCCACCACAACAGGCAGGTGTTGCTGTAATAACTTCAGGGCACATATTGCGTAGCTTCAGTGGCGTGATATGGAATACCGTTGAGTGGTGCACCAAGACAGGCATTTTTCAGGATTCCATGCTGAGGAAAAGCTCATGCGAGCACCAAGTTTAGATGCCCCACAACCGCAAATAATTATTGGTTGATTTTGGGGAATTTTAACGATTGATTTTCGAGTAGTCGGCATATTCGTTTCAGCCCGGGTGATTATAATGGAGTTCAGCAGAGGAAATAGTCCATGCCTTCCCCTGATCAAAGTACACATGTCCTCTTCTCCATCTTGGTATGACTGTAGGAAGTCGAGCGTACTGCTGCCAATGTCGCTGGCTATCGGTCAAGGACTTGACAGATTTGCAAACTATGCGAGACTTCCACTCAAAGTGGGTATGTCGTAAACATTGACTCGGTACCGCACCATTGCTACAGGACTGGTGTTGCAACACTGTCTTTGATACAGACATGTAACTTGAACGGACCTGAGGCCTCCCAGCAATTGCTACATGGCTTACATGCATAGCAGGAGACGCCTCTACACCCTTGACTTTACCTCATACCCAGATTGTATCTAAGTTATTGCCAGCATTTTCACTCCACTCCGAGAACAGATAGTAGCTTTGCAGGTAACACTGTTCCTCAGACCAGTGTATTCTGCTGCAGTAGCTCTGCAATGCGCTTGCTTCTGGAAACCTGAGCTGCAGGTGTACACAGAAGTACAATTCATGTGTTACCTACATTGTATCAATTTGTGTGTGTGTCAGCAGCTGTTGCTTGGCTCTTAGCGGAGCATTTGGATGCAGAGTAGAAGTTGCCAAGTTGCTCTCTACTCCAACTTGTCACTTGATTTGAGAAGTTGTGCACACTGCACAGCCATACAATTGACCTCTATATTCTTACACATTGTAGCTATTGGCGCTCACCTGTGAAGATATGCATGGGATGATTCAGGTATACACCAGAGTGCAGTGAAGCCTAGGCAGGTCACCATGGTCACTGCTGTGCAAGCCGTTTTCACATGCATGCATGCTACACCAGGGAGTCGACAATAACCTGCCGTATAAAGTATAATTGCATTACGGTACATGTACAGTCAGACCTCGTTTATCCGGTCCTCGTTTATCCGGATCCCTCGCCATCCGGAAGAAAATCGATGGTTACCGATGTGCAGCATATGTTATGCATACAACATAACCGGACCTCGCGATCCGCATACCGGTGCATGATTTTGTATACGAGCTGGTTAAAATGTGTACAAAAAGCTTCGTCGTATCCGGTTGCATGTGGCTTGCAGAAACTAGAATCAGGGACTTGTACAGGCAAATGAGGTCCTTGACCTGCTGGGTGCATGTGGACAGCACTCAGTTGCATGCACTTGTCATTTTTCTCGCTTGTTTTACATGTTGTGCACGCTAGTTGTACATGTTGTGCACGCTAGTTGTACTGCATAGGACCCGTCTACATGTATGTACAATGTCACTGCTTTTGACATGCCACATGCAAATACAGTATGTGTGTTCAGTTATCCGGATATTTTGTGGAAAACAGATGTGTGCGGTTAAGCGAGGTCTGACTGTACTTCCTGCCCTACACTGCTGGCCGGGGTCGGTTTTCTAGGGGTTAGGTTGTTGAGAATGCCAGTGCCTGGACTAAACGATGCCCGGCCCTGCACATACCAACCCCATGAGCTGGTTGCAACTCAGGCGGAGCTGATGACGTTTGCATGCAGACTAAAACAATCAGAAGCACAGTGCACGGCCGGGAAGAATGATAACGGAATGATAATTACTTCAGTTCTCATCAAATAGTAACCCCCACTCCGTCTCAGGACGGAAGAAACAGGCAGCATTCACATCAACCATCACCGTTATGAGCCAATGTTGACATGCAGGTTTGGGGTACTGCACAGCAGAACAAACACACCAGTCACCAGGGTGTATGTGTGGTGACCTCATGATACTGGCCATGAAGGATAACATTTTTTTAACAAAAAGAACGAATGAAAGGAACACCACAGAAGGGAGAGGTACTCTACGGAGCACAATAAACCACTGTAGACTTGCAGACATAGAGGCTATAAAGGGAGATGGTAAAAAGCAGAAGGGCAGTCAGCGGGAAAACCCTATCTCTAGCTGATATATAACTGGGCGAGCAAGGTAAAAAAAAACACAGAGGGAAAGTGCAGGGAAAGAGAAACAGAGGTGAACGCTAGCATCAACACGGATAAAAATGAGGCACAAACAATAAAAAAAAAAGAGGCACAGCAGTAGAAAAGTGAGTGGAGTAAAAAGGGGGCGGGGGGACTAAAACGTTGATGAATCATTGATAAAAAAAAGAAACAAGACAATCCCATTGAAGCGTAAAATCCCGTGGTAGGTCAGATGAGAAGAATGCAACACAATGAGCCTGGTCGTAAAAGATTGTGTGCATGTGTGTGTGTGTGTGTGTGTTTCAGTTCCTGAACATTGATAGATAATGATAAGCCGCCTTCTACTGGAGCACGAGAGGCAGGTGAATATAAAACGGTCCGTTCTGAGGCTTCCGCTGTCCCCATTACATTATATACACGTAGCTGGGCGGAATAGTGCTGTTGCAGTGCCGGTGGTTGTCATGACTAAGTCCTAGTGATTCATCTATTTAAAAAAAGCTACTCTAGGATTCGTATATAAACATTGATCAAAACTCAGCCGCACGTCGATGGCGTTACTCGGACTCGGCTGCCTCTTCCGTGCAGATGGCATTGTAGCGCAGTTTGAGCTGATGGCTGAGCGCTGCTTCCGTCGGATGATCCACACACATTGAGTCCTGCAGATACACGGGTCAAGTACACGCAAACATGTACGTTGTGTGCAAGAACTAAGAACGATTTCCACGCCACACTGAAGACACAACAAACTAAGAACGATTTCCACGCCACACTGAAGACACAACGATCAAGCATAACCACTCGTACCGTAGGCTATGCAATGGAAAGGCTGACATTAAAATTGTCTCTGCCACCCCTGCTTTCCAGTAGTATAGCCACTCCTGCAGCTCAGTGCAAAGGTTGACAGAATTGTCTCAACCACCCCCTGCTTACCAGTAACAGAACAGTTCTTGCTCAACGCAAAAGTCGACATTAAAATTGTCTCCACCGCCCCCCTGCTTACCAGTAGCTTGTCCAGATGATCACTACTCTCACAGATAGTGAACGGATTTACATCCTTCTTCTTCTTGGTCTTGCGCGGTGACTGTTCGGGAGTTTCGTGTGTGAGATCTTCCTCTACAAGAATTCCAGTCACCGACTAAAAGCATAGAGGAGGGAAAGCAGAGAAATGGATCTCATTGTCTCCACCAGCAGACATAGAAGGCAGCATACTGGGAGATTTAACACTGCAGGAATACAGGGCTTTCAGGTAAAAATGAAACACCAAAATCTAGGCGCAATGAAACTTTTCCTATAGGTGTGAAATCCATTGAAAGGAGTCAGTCAACCTCATCAAGCTTGATCCAATCAACGAATAGTTTCGCAAAGCGAATAAACACATATAAAGTGGTGGCGAGTAGGTGGATAATGACAGGATATAAATTAATTTCATTCTCAGAAGAATCACTGATGCTGTGTGCATGCAGCAGTAATGGCAAGATCTACCCTACTCCCTAGACACTTCCTACAACAAGTACAGCACATGTACTGTGAGGTGCTGAAGAACTGGACGGGGTCAGCCTCCTAGCCTAGGCCGTTCTTATCTTCATGTACTACATACAGTCTATGCACAGTTGAGTCACTGCGTATACATTGGCATGCGGTGCCTGGTGAAATCCTAGCCTGTTCGTTCTTCGGCACACCCAACAGTACTGTAGGTCCTTAGACTGATTATGCAGTAGCATATCATGCATAAGTAGATAGTGTGATTATGCAGTAGCACATCATGCACAAGTAGATAGTGTGATTATGCAGTAGCATATCATGCACAAGTAGATAGTGTGCGTGTTCGTACCTGAAGATGCCAGTATGCCCGTCCCTGGCGATCCCGACCCAGCAGCTGACCGCGGACTGCAGCAGCATGTGCATCATGCTCACACTGTGCACGGACAAAACAAACACACGCACACACACATGTAGCTATTGGTGACTTGCAGTGCTGAAAAGGGAACTACAGACAAGTTGGTCACAGCCGGTAAGAGTTGCACATGCTTGTATTGTACAAGAGCAACAGATAGACTTGCTGGCCCTCATGTTCGTACAAGTCCAGGCATGTCACCATTCGTCTGGCTACAGTTGTCCCCAACATAGCCAGACAAAACCAATGCAAACAATATGGGCATCTCAGCTATTGGGAATCACCAAACAAACAAACAGGCTATCGGCAGACTTAGGTACTGTACGCGTTGGTCTACATGTACAAGCAGTTACCTACCTGTAACTTTGATCTGGCCTCACTGATCTGCTTGGAGAACCTCTCGCTGGCGGATGGCAGGGCTCTGCAACAGGATGTAACAGAAAAGTACAATGCAGTGTGTTCAATGGCTGCAGCACATGGCTACAACACACTACAGTACAGACAACTACTTCCTGACACAAGCAAAGCTCACCGGGGCAATTCTGCCAAGCATACGCATACTGCTAGTGTGAATCAAAACCAACCCAATGTACTGAAGTGCAGCAACATTGCGAGCCAAGACCAGGAAAAAAGCAACAGTGAAATCGGCAGCAGCAGCAGCTGGCAATCCTACAGTTGCCCTTTCTCACAAAGGCCAGAAAACGTCCCAAAAAGCATGGTATTATAATAGTCATCAGGGATGTGCACGAGTGTGGTAGAACAGCACAGGTGAAAGAAAGGAGCACTATACAGTTAGGGCACAACTGTAGTGAGTCTGGCAGGTCGTACTCACGTGACTTCGCCAACAGTCTTCAGGTCCTTGCGTGCCATGAGTTGTTCAGCCGTCCAAGCCTTCAACTCCTCACTGCAGCGCGCACAAACAGTTCACACAGATACAAATTTGATAAGCGAGAACCCAACCAGAGCTAGGCAAACGGCATCTGGACTGCACCATTATCAAGTAGTACCCAGCCGTGTTGGGCGGCAAGCATCTCCAAAGTACACCATCCTGGTTGCTTCATCTGCAGCACAACAACCACCACAAGCCCAATGCACACTGAATTGGTGTCTTTGACCGAGCACATGACTTACTTAATTTGCTTGCAAACTTCTCGCTCTGCAACACGGTGCTTTCGCTGGAGTTCAACAAGATCCTCCGATGTCTCGTTGATCAGCTCAGCAAAGTACGCCTGCAACCATGATCAGCAGCAAAGCCAGAAACACTCAGGTGGAAGTCAAGTTTGCTTCAAAGACCGCACAGCGAAGGGCAAATAAGGACTTACACTCAAACGTCTCTTCTCCGGACGCCTCAGATATGGGCACATCACTCTACCGGGCGCCTTCACCTTGAGTTCCGATGGTAAAAATGCTTGGAATTTGGGGGGGGGGGGGGGGGGGGGGGTTGAACTTTTTTTCGCATGCACAAGTGCTTATTTGTCACTGCCGACCTGTTTAATCCACACATTTTTATCAATGGATTCTTTTTGTAACCCCCCCTGAACATGCGTAATACGTGCCAAATAAATGTCTTCAAAAAATGATATGATAGATGAGTTTTTTGACTAGTTATCCTGATACGCGGGCAAATCTGAGATACGGGCAGTTTCCGGTCCCAAGGTGCCCGGATAAGAGAAGCTCGAGTGTATTCTCACGGGCAAACAGTGTTATGAAACAGGGGTACAGAACATGTGGTACAACCGAAGCAAGACGTTGGGTTTATTTAGCTTAAAAAAAGAAAGAAAGTACAATAGACTGATAGACTGGACAAATTCCATACCAGCAGAGCTTCAATGAAGCATAACAAATAGTTGGGATGCTTACCATGCTGTTTAGACGCTCGCAAAGGAATGCCAGGACAGAAAGCTTCTCACACTTGTCACTGACAACACGATCGTCAGCGCTCATCTTCCGCCGCCCTGCACCCTGCAATGGCACACAATATACATAAGGTATACATGTTCACATAGTATCAGAATGAATGTGCAGTGTCACAGATGGGTGGACATGTACACACACACACACACACACACACACACACACACACACACACACACACACACACACACACACACACACACACACACACACACACTACTACTACTACTACTACTACTACTACTACTACTACTACTACTACTACTACTATTGACAGCTGCCAGAAATGGCCACGCCGCTCCCCGAAGGGACGTACTGTCAGAGAGGTTAGGGAAGAGGTAGGCAGTGCTTCAAATGGCGGTCCAGGTCCTGTCGCCTCCGAAACTGGCGTTGATTACAGACTCGGCAACGATGTTCAAAGTGCTGGCGATCAGTCACTGTAGGGCGCTTCGGGCGGGGTCCACAGCGATGGCGCTTGAGGCCAGCAGTAGACTTGAAAGTACGCCGGCAAGCTGTACACACCGGGACCTCGGCAACAGGAGGAGCATCACTAGGCGGTCGGTCGGTCGTCACACACACACACACACCATTGGACGCCCATCATCGGACGCGATGATGCGATGCTACAGCAGAAGCCATAGCAGCTTGTGCTGGGATTGCACCATTCAACAGGTTGCAAGGCTGAAGAATTGACCGCCACTATTCAGCCTGGTCTACACCACACAGCTATGAAGTGGCTTTTTCTGGCCAGTGAATCCTTACTTTTTGGTCTTTTTCATTTTTTTCACACACACATCACACCACATACTCCGGCATGCACTGGCTGTTGGTAACCACCCAGGAGAATGAAAGAAAAGTCAGGAGGAGTCTGAGAAAGAGAAGAAAGACGTGTGTGACCATAATCGTAATCGACACACACACACACATCCACTGCCTACAAAACTAAAGAAAGCAGTGCCCATCCCCATAACTGCAGAGTCCGAAAAGACCTGGTATATCGGAATCCATGTTAGGGTTGGGGATAGACCATAGAACTAAGGGACCATCGCAAAAGTTCGCAGAAGCCCCCGAAACGAAGACCGTGAGTTTCGGGCCTGACCCCCCTCCCTCCCCCCTCAAACGAAACGACAGTCACAATATGGGCTTCATTTTTTCACTTGGATGCTCACACATAAATATATAAATAATTATTATAATACTACACAAGCATTGTTGTATCAGTGTGTAACAATGTACAGCACTTTATAAATGCAACGATGATATCACCTTGCAGTGGGTGATCTAAGAACGAGAACAGCTAGAGCTATGCAGTTGTATCCTTTGAGCATTACATGTACAATGAACGTTGATTGGAGTATATTGCTTTCACATTCCCCATACACGTCCTGACAAGCGATCTACGCCGGCTGTGATGGCATGCTAATCCTACAGCTCCTATAATTATGTCGTCAATACTTTTTTGAATTGAAGCCCGGTTTGCGATTTTCGCACCGACTCCCTCCCCCCCAAACGTATGCTCTTCGTTTCAGGGGCTTCTGCGAACTTTTGCGATGGTCCCTAAGGCATACCTATACACATGGCTCACCTTGATACCAGTGGAGTCCGGTGTGTATCCAACCATGGCCAAGTACAAATCAACCACCTGCTGACAGCTGCTCTGTGTAAGCTTCGGTAGCTGGTCGAGTTGCACGCGGCCATCCGCCTCTTCTTCGTCGTCCTCAAAGCCATCGTCGTTGTCTTCATCTTGCTCCTCCTTCTCGGCCTTCAGAAGCACTTTCATGAGCGCGAGCTGAATGGTGGGGATTGTGGTACGATTCAGAAGAGTTTGTGCGAGGCGTTCTGGTGGGAGAATATAGACGAGAGGCAGCCACACGACAAGGAGAGAGAATGTTAGAGAGCTAGCAAGAAACAAATACCGTATTTCCCCGTAAGTTAGTACGTACTAACTTTCGAACTTAGCAGCCACATGAGTACTAACTTTCGGGGGTGGTACTATCTTTCGGGGAGTACTTTTTTATCGGGGGTAAATGACACGCAGTGGGAAGCCTGCGCAACTCTAGTGTCCGTGCATATGATGTATGTACTGTACGGTGTCTGTACATGTAGGACGGGTAGGAACTTACTATCTTTCGGGGGGAACTGTCTTTCGGGGTGATAACCTCGGCAGTGGAAAGTGTATTTTTTATAGGGGGGCACTAAGTCATTGGGGAGAACTTACTTACGGGGAAATACGGTAATACAAGTATGCATGTCAACCAGTATGCTAGGCCATAGCAGGTCATTTATGCCATGCAGCGCGATTTCTCCGGGGACCAACTTCTGCAAGGATGTCTGTGACCAGGACATGGATCAATAAACCTACCACAGATGGGTGATGAATGTTTCAAATTTAGAATAAAATGGCACGTCTCATTGAAAGTTTGATGTTCACACACTTCTGCCGAGTGTCAGAAACAGTGAAGCAGTAGCTACATACCTGCAGAGTATATTTGGCTGAGACCGAGTGCGGACGCAAAGGATGTCAGGAACTCGGACACCATGAGCAGGTTGTGGTACTGAGAGACGGGAACAGGCACCTCCCAGGCAGGCAAACTTGGCAGGTCGATGTTGATACAGATATCCGGGACGGTCTCGTCGGGGACAATCGGTGGCACGAGGAATTCACAGTCGATTCCAGACTCTGAATCACTGGCCGACGCAGAAGACGCAGTGCTCGGGGTCCGCGAGAAGTTTGGTTTCGAGCCAGAGCTGCTGCTGGACGATCGAGTGTAGGCTGTGTTGACAGCAAGCAGGTCTTTCACCGCCTGCTTCTGCTGAGATACGTGTGCGCGCAGAGTTTCTAGCTGTTGTTTCTTTGCTTCACGCTCTTCATCTCTGGCACGCGCCTTCTCCTCCTGAAGAAGTACCCAGCACCAAAAGTACACACAGGGATCGGAACTGGATGCTAAGGATGGATGCTACCAAAAGAATAGTGCTGAAAAATTCAAACTAGGGACCTTGACCCCGCTCCAATACCCAACTAGATGTATGCACACATGACCCACACACATACACACGGGTATGCATGAGCAGCCATCCATGCTACTGGTAAGTCTATCTAATGTGTCAGGAATGAACAGCTGCAGGAATGGTAAAAACAGGTACAGCAAAGACTTCAAGCGGTACAAGCTCGTACAACAGATATACCCGGAGCGAGGCAAGTTCGTGCAACAGACATACCCCGAGTGAGGCAAGCTCGTGCAACAGACATACCCTGAGTGAGGCAAGCTCGTGCAACAGACATACCCTGAGTGAGGCAAGCTCGTGCAACAGATATACCCGGAGTGAGGCAAGCTCGTGCAACAGACATAACCCGAGTGAGGCAAGCTCGTACAACAGACATACCCTGAGTGAGGCACTCTATTTCACGCACTTACGGCTTTCTTCATTCAGCTCTATTTCACGCACTTATCTAGGGTACCCTGTAAAAAGACTCACAGTCTGTGGGGATTGCCCTAGTAAAATAATAAATACTACTACTACTACTAGGCAAGCTCGTGCAACAGACATACCCTGAGTGAGGCAAGCTCGTGCAACAGACATAACCCGAGTGAGGCAAGCTCGTGCAACAGACATACCCCGAGTGAGGCAAGCTCATACAACAGACATACCCTGAGTGAGGCAAGCTCTTTCTTCTTCTGCTCAGTTTCACGCTCACGTTCGTCTGCCTTCTGGCGGCGGATCTCTTCAAGATGCTGCTTGTGTTCCTCTTGCTTGCGCTGTTTCTCATCCATACGCTCCAGCCGCAATTTCTCCATCTCCAGACGTTTCTCTTCCTTTTTCTCTTCAATCTCTGCTGCCTTTGCCTTCCTCGCCTCTTCTACGGCTGCTTGCTTCAGTTCTTTGGATCTGCGTCTTTCCTTTTCTACTTCTGCTGCTTTGCGAACTCTCTCTTCCTCAAGTGCCTTTTTCTTCAGCTCTTTGGCTTTGGCAGCATCCTCAATCTTGGCGGCCTTCTTCCGCTCCTTTTCGGCCTCCTTCTCCTTTGCAGCCTCCTCTTCACGCTGTTTGAGACGGAGCCGGTACTCTTCGGCAGTTACTCGCTTCTCTTCCAGCGATGTGCGGCGGTGGACCGTCCTGACTGGTCCCTGATCAATTTCAAAGTCAGATCGACGCCGACTACGGCCCTCCGACTGGCCCTTAGCTCTCTTTGTACGCTTGGCGGCTGGAGAACTATCAGCATCTGCAGCGGCGGTGGGCTGTTGGCCTTCACTGGAAACTCTTTTCCTCTTGCCACCCTTTGCCGCTTTCTGAGGAGATTCTGGTGCACCACTGCAAGCACACATGGAAGAGAGGAAAAAAGGAGGACGTTATGTACCGCAAGAGACTACAGCATGCATTGGTCACATCGGTACTCCACAACACAAACAATCTATTCAATATGCTCAATCAAAATCATTCTAATCAAGTTTAGAAAAGCGCCAACCTAAGAAAACACAGAAGCTGTGGCTGTTAGACACACACCAGCTACTAAAGTCAGGGATGAATTTACTGTCATTTTTTTGCATAGCAGTTTTCGCGACGCAAACGCCAAAATGCGTAGCAGTCCTTGATTTTTGATTAGCACTTTTTCTTCCACGAAGACCGACTCAAATTTCTCAGTCCACGGAGGGAGGACTCGTGCTGTCTGCATAGCTGGCAGAAAATTAGCGTCACCGCTGCACCTGTAGCTTTCTCAGAACCAAGCCATTTCTTCTGGACATCGACCTCTGCCACCCACTTCTCAAAGGTACTCTGTCGTACAGACATGTTGGAGGCAGAACCAGACTAGACAAAAACTACAGCTTGGACAATTGTCAGAGAGAAGGACGAACGTGATACCAAAAGTTCCTCACGACCAGAAAGACCGACTGGCTACAAGCAGAAAGCTATAATGTCACGAAAAGATGTAAGTGAACCAGAAAGAAGAAAACAAACAACAAGACCTCCGCCGGGATCGTGGAGGAAAGATGATGCTTGTCAGTACGGAAAGTACATGAACTTACTGGACTTACTGAATGAAAGCCGCGCAAAGTGGTACGCGTAGTTCAAAAAGGACACCAGTACAGTCAGTATGTGCACGCGAAGCCAGCCAGAGTTCACAGGTACATGTACTAGAAATCACACCTTCTCGAGAAAAAAACGGGGTCCGTGCACTGTACAGGTGTCGTGAGTGTACGACATAGTCACAGCATCACTTTTACTGACTGCGCGAGCTAGTATGCAGTGCCGTTTATGCATCGCAGTTTCCTGCGAGTCGCTGTGATTTTTGAGTCGCACTCGATCGATTTTGAATCGCAAACTGCGATGCGATACCGGATAAATTCATCCCTGAAAGTACTAGAAAGCTAAACAGCAACTTCCTTTGCGGGAACAAACGGAGCCTATTAGAGACGAGGTACGAATGGAAAGCTCCCAGAAACGCTTGTGCTGACACGGAAGACAACGCAAAAACCTCTCATGGAGTTGGTTCTTTTTCCCGAATGGAGTGTAATCAGTAACATTACTTACGCCTTTTCTTCCTCCTTCCATTGCAAGCACTCTGCTATGGCTCCGGTTCCTTTCGACAAGAAGTCATTGACAGATGTGAAGCCAGCCTCCTTGGCAAGCGGTGTTAGAATTCCGGTGGCCAGCATACCCGCCTGAATGTCGCACGAGAAGAACACAGAATGATCCCTTATTTTTCCGTGACATCGGCATATTGCTACAATGGCATGCATCCTTCTTGGAAGTACTGTGCAGATGTTCCAGTACATATGCAGTATGCAATTGATCAAACAGACTGGAGTATAACTGACCATCACATATCAGGTGAGGGCATAACATAAGCTCGTACTACGATTGTGAATGCACTGAACATGGCACGCACCCAATGCAAGCCACGTGCAAATACAACGCCGTGCTGCACTGCTATGCACTTACACGCTTGCGGCATATCGAGCAGTTGCAGGTTTTCTGGCATTTTGGACAACTCCAATGCTTGCCGGAGATCTCCACAAAGGACAAGCCATAGCGATTCTCAAGGCAATTCTCACACCTTGTAGTCAAAGAGAGAGAGAGAGAGAGAGAGAAAGAGAGAGAGAGAGGGAGAGAGAGAGAGAGACAACAGAAGAAAACAAGATAGGTTACTCACTGCTGCAAAACATTGCTTCACTTCTAAACATCTGCCAATGTGATTCTAAACTGAAGTGTCAGTAAACCATTTATCGACCATCCACTCGGTGTACTTTAGTATTTTATAACGGAGGTACTGAGTTTGAGGCCCATGCTGCTAGCAGGGAGTGTGTACTGCTGCTAGCAGGGAGTGTGTACTGTGCTAACTAACGCGGTGATGCATGCGTGAACCACTTTTACATGCTTATAGTGCATGTCATGCTATACATATTATCAAGAGTAGATAAACAAGAGTGTGCAACTCCGGATCTCTTCTGCACAATCTGCAGATACCCCTGCCTGCGGGTTTTTTGTTGACGTCACCTTTTTTCAGAAAAACGCGCATTTTGCTGCAGAACAGTGTGAGAGCACGTGCTGGGCACCGACCTTGTAATGTAAAGCCCGGCCAAGTGCACGAGGCAAAACTTTCCAAAAGACTCGCAGTACGTGCGTTGTAGAAAAGATTACGTCAACAAAAAATTCCGCCGCGGGCCAACCCATCCCGGAGTTGCACACTCTTGTTTATCTACTGTAGAGGCAGAAAATTTCGTCGGTCAATAATTTCGTCCAACTCCAAAGAAAAGGAGTTCGTCCGGTTGAAAATTTCGTCCATGGATCATAAGAGTGTATAGAAAAGCTGGACAAATCCATATTCGTCCTACATTTAATTTAGTCCAACAGCTCCTTGGACGAAAAAGACGAAATTAAATTCCAGACGAATATTTCTGCTTATACAGTACTCTTGGTAATATGTACCGGTACATGGATATTGGTTGTTGGTGAGAACAGAAAAACCTCTCCAGTGAGTGTGAGCGTCATGAGCTGATTCTTAGCATGGTCTCACACAACATGCTGCATACACAAGTGAATTACACGATTGAAGTACAGACTACCAATGGGACTACAGTACTGTTGAGCGCCGAAGAACGACCAGGCTAGAATTTCACCAAGCACAGCAAACCAATGTATATACGGTGACTCAACTGGGCATAGACTGCTATACAGCCAGACCTCGCTTATCCGGTCCTCTTTTATCCGGATCCCTCGCCATCCGGAAGAAAATAGCTGGTTACAAATCTACAGCATCCATGGTGCATCCAACATAACCAGCGTTCGGTTATCCGGTTCCTTCGCCCATCCGGATATTTTGTGGAAAACGGATGTGTGCAGTTAAACGAGGTCCGACTGTACATGAAAATAGGAAGGGCCCAGGCTAGGAGGCTGACCCCCCCCCCCCCCCCCCCCACCACCAGTTCTTCGGCGACGGACACTACTGTACATGTACCTGCACATGCACCATGCCGCTGCCGCGCACACTGGGAAGTCATACTCAGCGGCTGACGGCCGACATGTCAGATACTAGCTGCGCAGTGCCGCCGACAGTCTGCACCACAAGCTACGGCAAACAGCCAAGCAACTACATGTACTGTACTAATACAACAACCAGCTATGGCGGCATACGCCCCATTCGGCAGCCCACAGTCCACTGATATTCTTGTCCGAGAGAGCATGCGGTCAAAGTTTCGTTTATTTGAAAATACACGGGCGATACATTGTGTAGCGGCAAAGCTGTGTTGCGTGTCGCTTGCAAAAACACATCTGTACTTCTCCAGATTAATTGGTTGCTGCAGTATGTACAAGAGTGCTAGAGTGTTTCAAGGCACTCTACGCTCTACATTTGCCGGTGTGCGTTCACACACTAAATTCTCCTCAGGTGTCCTAGCCCAAGGAATTCACTTGGCCCCTCACTCTACATAAAATACTATCGTCCCACACCCAATACACTGCATGGTTGTAGTACTATTCTCGGAATCTTACCAGTACGTTGTGCATGTGTCGCACTGCCGCCTGGCTTTGCCCGCCTTCAGCTCGGATATGCCTTTGTTGCTCAGGATTGATTGACGACATTGATGGCACGATTGTGTGGAGCCAGTGGACAATTTCCGGCGCTTTTTCGGACTTTCATCAGAACTGTCTGTAGCAGGTACAGACGTTTTCTTGCTCTTTTTAGATGCAGCCGGAGACGACGTGCTCTTTCGCTCAGCTTTAGAACTCATTATGACAAAGATTCCTCAGTCTATCCAAGAACAATTTTGAACATGTTTCACGAGGTACCATGTACCAGCGGATACACCCTTGATTCCGATTCTGAACCAGATCTCCTGCCTGGCCTGTGCAAGTGCTACACCACACGCGTGATCCCATGTTCGCGCCAAATCTACTCACGAACACTGCACGTGGCATTGTGACGTCATTACAAAGCGGGCGCACCCGCCGCCGCTATGTGCCCTTTTCTTCAACACTACAACAGCCGCTATCGCTGACCGCGCCGGGTGACGTTCACAGAAAAACAGTTCCTTTGCAATTATTTTTTCTTTGCCGTTCGGAGAGAGAAGAAGGAAGAAGACTAGGTTGGGAGCCGTTTCCAGGTTTCCCTCCAACGACAGAAAGTGGAAAACTCGAGTAGATCTTAGCAGAATGGCGGCCGAGGAGAAAAAGCGTTTCACCGACAAGAAGGACTATGCGCAATTTCCAGAGCGATGGGCGGACAAGAACAAGTTCAAGGACATGCCAGCAGGCTGGAACCCTCCGCACGGCGAAGAGCTAGAGAAATTCAGAAAGAAGAGAAAGGGCCAGATGGCGGATATCTCGTGGGATATGCTGGAATACGAAGAGCTTCCCGTGTCATCGGCACCACTGATGTCCGCTGCGCAATTCATTGGCGTTGAGTGCCGCTCACAGAGTCAGGACTTTCTCATCTGCAAACGAGACAAGCAGGACCCACGCATGTGCCTGAACGAGGGCAAGGCGGTGTCGGACTGTGCCCGTGCGTTTCTGCTAAAGGTGCGCGATCACTGTCGCAAGGAGTTCCGCCAGCACTGGTCTTGCTTGGACAATAGAAATCTGGATCACGAGCATTGCCTAAAACACCAGCCTGCACTGGACAAGTGCATTCTGGAGCATACAGGGTTGGAACGACCCACCCCACCGCCTCGTGGCATGGTCATGAGGAATTTCTAGCACGGAGTTTCTCTCCGTATTGATTGCCCTATATATCTGAGACAGTGCATACCGTCGGCTGATGTTCAGTCTGACGCCTTGCACATAGAATGTTTTTGTATTCGCAACTTTCCATTGGACATGTGGAATACGAGCAGCTCGTCTAACTAAGATGGAGCTATGCTTGCACTCTAAGACACCACACCCTGATTACCACCTTGCAGCGGGTACACTACAAATCTGGCAAGAGCAGACGGAGATTTGCTTGAAGCTTTCCGGTCGGTCCAGGCGCCGGCTGGATCATGGAGCCGTTGACACATGAAGCATTCCTCTCAGCTATCCACTATTTCATAGCCAATCCGTTTGCTCCTCGTTTGCAACGTCCGGTACAGGGTTGCTATGCTCGGTGGTCCCTATTTTGTAGTTTGTTGAAATTTATGACGCTGTACATACTGCTCTAAATGTTAAATGCCTTGGCATAAGCTATTTGCTGGCTTTGCTGTTCTCATTTCCCGTAGGCTTTACTATTCTCAATGGATGTTTGGGTATAGCTTTCTTGCTACATGTATAATTTATTTCTGACATGTTTGCAGCGTGTCAGTAGGCTCGTGTACATTGCTATTGCCAGTCAATGATTGGTGAAGTATACCATGTATACTGTTGAGTGTTCGTGAAGCAAAATGGATCATCAGGCAGATCCTAAGCCGCGGAGTACCAACACTACTTGAAGTATGCTTTCCACGTGTTTGGCCTGGCATCAGTATGGATGAAATATGCAGTATGGACTGTGTACATCGACTCGAGCCAAGCTGAGCAGTTTGAACAGACTCGCCGCATGCTACTTGTATTTTAGAGTACGATGTGGAGTGAGTCCACCAAGTCTTTGGCATTGATTTGCCGTCTTTTGAAACCTGGCCTAGACCGTGTCGGATTTGGTTTTGATCGTTCACGGTTTGCCTTTTAGAGTTCTGCGATTATCACCGCCGCAAGTGTTGGACAAAAGTTCATGACCATATCCATGGTATCAGTGTATGTGTTGTCATTTGGCTGATGAAATACATGGGCAATTGCCCTTGTGTGGATACAGACCCGATGCACAGCCTAGCACCGGTATGTGTGTGTGCCGCATTAAGCTGCTGGAACACAGATTCACAAGAATGATTAGCGGCACATAATTTCATTTGCCACCAGGCTGTATTTCGTAAAGTTCACATGTCCATGGTGTGCTGGGGAGCCTTGGTCGTTTTGTGGAACGAACAGTCGTCGACTTGTATGTATGTGTGGGGGTGGGAAGGAATCATGTATGATGTAACTGTTTAGTGTCAGAGTTCTGTCACAGGCTACCCATCTAATCCGCCTGCCTGAGGAAACAACAGCACACAATGCAGCTACTTCAAGTAGTATGCAGCTACAATCGTAGTAACTTGCATGCACCATGTCAGACCAGTGAAACGGTGGAAACCGGCAACAATCCAACCGCTACTGCAATGTAAGATGTATGAGCAACGTCATTCACCTTTTTTTGTACTTCGCGTACACCACTGAGTTGTACTCCGTTCCACGAAAGAAGACAGCGAGAATAATGGCAAATGAAATCCACATACAACTTTTTAAGAACAATTGCTAGACAAGCCAAATGTAGTGAAACCTTGCCCACCAGCTGGAGCAGTGCGGTCTACTAAAATCAAATCAATTTTAGCCCGGAGCCTCCAAGTCAGTTGCGGAGGTGAGTATATAAATATCAATTAGAACTATCTGTATAACTGACTACAGTACAAGATACACAAAGCACAACTGTGACCAATACACCGTGAAAGCAAAACGTAGATGCAAGAAAACCGTCAGCACCTGTATGTACAGCGTAAGGAGAGGAATAGAAATAGAACCATGCATGGCAAAACGGTCAACGTTGCATTGCAACTCTACGGGAATTCAGCAATATCGACCAACATCCAAGTTCTCCCAATAATCCACTCCCAGTCGTCTTCACCGAGGTAACCAAAGATAAAGGCGACTGGGTCACAAGCAACCATAAGCAGCGATATTGTCTATAAATCAGATTGCAGTCCAAAGCCCGGCCCAGTCGGTGGTTCCGTCAGCGTTGTCATGCCCTTCAGTGGCTCGGCAGCAAAGCGTCCGCTGCGGGGACCAGTCTTTGGCTTGCCACCTTTGGTTAGCGTGTCCAAAATCTCTTCCATGTCGTCCACGGTCAGATCTTCGTAATAGTTATCATTGATCTGGACCATGGGCGCGTTCACACACGCACCCAAGCACTCAACCTCGGATAGGGTGAACAGGCCATCCTGGGTCGTCTCGCCGACCTTTATGCCCAGCTTAGACCTGATCGTGTCCAGTATAGCAGTAGAGTCACGCAGCATGCACGGCGTTGTTGTGCAGATCTGGATGTGAAACTTCCCCATTGGCTCACGGTTGAACATCGTGTAGAACGTTGCTACCTCGTAAATCCGCATGGGTGCCACCTCCAGAACCTCGGCTACCTTGTTCATGGCAGAGATGGGCAGCCACCCGTGCTGCCTCTGCGCTAGATCCAGCACTGGAAGGATCGACGCGGCATTCTCGTGCCCTTTCGGGTAGTTCGCTTTGATCGTCTCGATGCGCTTCAAATTCCCGGCTGTAAACTCGAACGGAGTGTTAGGATTGTTCTCTGGAGCATCCCTGTGAACGAACAGCGTATCAGAGCATTGCACGCGAGCACAGTGGTAACCTCTGATGCCAGCGCAAAGCGGCTGGCGCAGAAATCGTCTTGCCAGGGATGCCATTTCTTCTTCCCTTCGCCTCCTCGCCAAGGAAACAGCGGCTAGTTTTTTGGACAGCACGAAAAAAGAGGTTTGAAAAAATGTTTTTTGTGGCATTGAAAAAATCGCGGGGAAGGTGTAAAAGTTTGAAAATGCAACACGTGTGCACGTCCGACCGTGACAAAGGTTGTTGTCCAGACTGCGAAACTGGCAAGAAGATGGTGGCGAATCACACGTTTGCTTCACCGTTTCTTTGTTTACTCGCAGGGCTTCTTCTCACGTAGTGAGCGCCAAAATGCTAACCAGATGGGATAATTTAGTGGCTGGAGTTGTAATTCTTTACGTAGTTGCCTGTCCGTTCACCAAGGTCGAGGAGAGCTTCAATGTTCAAGCATTGCACGACATTATTTTCCATCGCTTTGACATTGCTAAGGTAAGGAGTGCTTCTCAACGGCGAACTCTTGGGAACGCTGTGCTTTATTTCATGATGGTGCCGGTGTTCTGTGTTGTTGTTGTTGTTGTTGTTTTGTGCTCAGTATGACCACGTGGAGTTCCCAGGCGTTGTTCCCAGAACATTTCTTGGTCCAGTCTTTCTGTCTTTGTTGAGTGCTCCGTTTGTGGCTCTATCTCGACTACTAGCACTACCCAAAATATCTCTTTTGTACATTGGTAAGTCTATCGTTGCAATTGTGCGCAGGCAGCCTTTGTTGAATGTCATGTTGTCAGTCTTCCGGAGAGAAAATATCTCCAGCACGAATTTTCGTGAATTTCAGTATAATTTTTGTGCTCGTATGGGTCTGTGCTGGCATGGCCATGGCGTTCAATAATGATTATGTACGAAGCAGCTACTGTACACGTCGCACCATGGACTGTTATGCCATGTTGCTTCCAAATGAGCATACTGGACTGCCAATGTTGCACATAACATGTATGAACTTCGAAGTAGCCTTATGTGGCAGTGCATTTTATGTGGCACTACTGTTTGTCATACCTAATAGTAATGACAATATCCATCAAATGACTGAGAGGAGGGCATGTGATGTCTGTGTTGCCAAAAGAATATTCGTACGTTCGTTCGTTAAAGGGGAAGTTAAGGCAAAAATTAAAATTTCCCCAGTTGTAGTCTTCGGGGTGCTGAGTCGAATGGTCTTGGTCCGAGAAAGCTGAGACGCTCCCTTCCTACTTGAATCCCAATCGAACTCGCGCACTTCCACCGAAACTGGGTGACTGCGCCCTACTAGATGGGGATTTGTATGCAAAATGTCACTAAAAGCGCCATTTCGTTCTTATAAAAGCACGGATGACCGCGATTGGCCCATATGTTGTAGTCTTTTGGACGCTGAGTCGACTGGTTTTGGTCCGAAAAGGCTGCGATGCAGCGTTCCTCCTTTATTCCCAATCGAACATGGTTGAACAAGCGGTCACGTGCTCCTGCGTACACCAGTCAGCTGGTCACCGTGCCTGCAGGGTACAACTTACTAGCCTGTTTGACCTTTTTTGGGTGCAGTCCTGTCACTGGAGTTGAACTCGAGTTGAACCTTGGTGTGAAAGTTGTCGCCTGCTGGCGTGGTGACCAGGTGATTTGGGCACCCAGGAGCATGTGACCACTTGTTCAACCATGTTCGATTGGGAATAAAGGAGGAACGCTGCATCGCAGCCTTTTCGGACCAAAACCAGTCGACTCAGCGTCCAAAAGACTACAACATATGGGCCAATCGCGGTCATCCGTGCTGTTATAAGAACGAAATGGCGCTTTTAGTGACATTTTGCATACAAATCCCCATCTAGTAGGGCGCAGTCACCCAGTTTCGGTGGAAGTGCGCGAGTTCGATTGGGATTCAAGTAGGAAGGGAGCGTCTCAGCTTTCTCGGACCAAGACCATTCGACTCAGCACCCCAAAGACTACAACTGGTGAAATTTTGATTTTTGCCCTTTAAGCCAAAGAATATTCGGCTACTCGGTTTTCACATTCGTTTCACCCCTAATGCAAAGTGTATCGGGGGATGCATGCAGGGCGAGAGTGCGGGTTCGAAACCCGAGTTATGTCTTGAAAAAAAAATAGGAGAAATGAAAAATTTACTATGCTTTTTTTGCCTAGGTCATCAAGGCAAAAGCATAGCGTAGGGCCCTGAGCTTCCAAGCTCTCTCGTTACTAAAGTTCTGTCAGGCGCCGAAGAACGGAGCGCCGAGGAACGAACAGGCTAGGATTTCACCAAGCACAGTATACCGATATATACGCGGTGACTCAACTGTGTATGGAGTACATGAAAGTTAAATGGCCTAGGTTACTAGGCTGCCGACAGCACAGTATGTTTAGTATGTTATGGTATGGTTCGGCGCCTTCAAGGCTACATGGATTAAACGCAAAACTGGTGAAATTCACTCAGACGGAGTCTAATTTGACTTTTTGAGGTGACAGGGTGTTGTACCAAAAGTACTGAATATTGTGTAACCAATCCTGCTTGTGTGCAATGTGTGTGTTGATGCCTATGGTTGTGTTACACCAGTTCGTATTGTGCTGGGTCTGCTGGTGGTAGTCTCACTTGCCACATTTCGTCGTGCCGCTGAGCGCTACTTCAACACACGGCTATGTGTCTACTATGTGTTGATAACCATCAGCCAGTTCCACTTTCTGTTCTATGCCAGTCGACCATTGCCCAACACATTCGCTCTTGTTGTTGGTAAGGCCAAATTCCATACAAACTTATTTCCTTTTGATGCATTTCAGGAAAAACGCGAGTGACTTTCTCGTTTCTTCAGCGTCGGGAATATTTTCTGATGATCTGAAGTGGGTATTAAATTTGGGTCCAATGCCTGGCTTAAGTCAGGAGACAGTCGGTACACAGTTATATATATTGTAATTTGTAAATGCTTCTTCACCCTCTCTTCGTAAGAAAGCTGTGTATGTTCCTTGTTTGTTGCAGTGGGCCAAGGCATGTTTTCTGTACCATTTCAACGATTTTGTATTCTCTTACTTTCTCATGTATGTGCATGTTTTGTGCTCTCTTGCTTTCTCATGTACGTACTGTATGTACATATGCTGGATTCTCTACCTCACTCAGTGCTGAACTGCTTGGCCAGTTGGCTAGATGGACGGCGTAGGAAGTTCATCTTGCTGAGTGCCTTGGCTGGCCTGGTGTTCCGCTCCGAGCTCATCCTGCTGTTAGCGCCAGTTGCCGTTGTCGACCTGGCCGTGCAGCGGCATGGCTTCCAGCGGCGTCTCATCACCTATGTGAAGTATGCGTTGATTGCAGTTCCGCTGTGGATTGGTGAGTGCACCCGGCATACCGGCACATGTACTTACTGTCTAGCCATTGTGGTGTTGGTGTCATGTGCAGCTGCCAAGGTTGGCCACTTTAGATAAAGTCTTTGTTTGTGTTAAGAGTTCTTTGAAGCATGTACAATGAAATCTATTTTAGTGCGTTGAACTGTTCATACATGTGCAGTGTATATCGTATTCCGTTGTGTTGTACTGTACACAAGGTAATGTAGAATGCACTTTCTGGTGTTTGTTCTGTACAGGCCTGTCCGTCCTTATTGATTCATTCTTGTGGCAACGTTGGCTGTGGGCTGAAGGAGAGGTGCTGTATTACAACACCGTCCTGAACAAGAGCAAGAACTGGGGTGTATCCAACCCCCGTACGCTGGCTTGTGTAGATTGCTCTTGGGACCGTTACCAGTTGTTGTATTTCGGCTGTACATGTATTTGATGGTTCTTGTATTACATGTACTGTAAAAGCAGAAATTTTCGGTGGTGTTTTATTTTCGGTAACTTCGGTGCCGAAATTTTTACCGAAAATAAAACGCACCGAAAATGTCGGTGTAGTACTAGTACACTTACCTGGAACGCGGGTTTACCGAAAATTTCCCTCCGACGAACCGCCGATTTTGGAGAATACCGAAAATATTACACCACCTAAAATTTCTGCTTTTACAGTAGCTGGGGAAGGGAAACTTCAAAGTTTTCCTTTCTCAGTTTCCTAGAATTATGATGGGTTCCGACCACCGGCGCATTTTTTTGCCTCACCCCGAGTCGAGCGGTGGCACTTGATGCCCTGCAGCTGTGAAACGCATTTTACTCCAGTATTGTCGTACTGGTGCTGTGGTAGTGTCAAACAACTTAAAATTGCATGTGCAAAGCTGAGGTCACAGTGAGGTGGCTTTGCTATGCCACTGACATTGCTATCGCTGTCACAGTTTCACTGTTAAACTGTTGATTAGGCCTCTTGTGTTTGGGCATTGTCACTATGCAATATCTGCATGCATATCTTACAGTATAACGTCAGCAATGCTGTGTGCATACAACTCTTGCTGTTACCGTTGAGTGGAACGTCCACTGCTGTTGCAGCAGTGCCACGTCAGCTGTATGTTGTTGTTAGAACCACCCATGGGACCAGCACACACACACAATGTAAATGGACAATGTGTATGAAGTGCGGGTGAATTTTTTACTGTTATCTCCTTGACAATGAGTTTGCAGGTGATGCCGTTCATGTGGTACTTCTACTCTGCATTGCCCCGTAGCCTGTCAATTGCGATCCCATTGATGGCTGTTGGAACCTGGGCTGGTGGCTATCGCATGCTAGGTGTTATTGCTCCGGCATTCATCTTTGTCTGCCTCTACTCTTTCCTGCCGCACAAAGAGTTGCGTTTCATCATATATGCTCTGCCCGTCTTCAACGTGGCGGCCGCACTCGGACTGAAGCATTTGTAAGTCCTGTACTTCGGGTTCATTTATGAGACGCAGTCGGACCAGTTCTTCTGTGCTTGTTCCCTTCCCTCTCCGTTCTGTCTTGCAAGGGTGCTTGTATTTAGTGGAGATTGTGTACCGCTTCATGTTCTCTTCGGTGTTTGTCAACCACAGGTGGAATCTCCAATCATTTCGTCTACTGTCGCGCTTGGCATGCATTGCGTGCATCACAGCTGGCATGACGGCTTCAGCAGGGTTTCTCTACGTCTCGCACCACAACTATCCAGGAGGGGTAGCCCTGCAGAGGCTTCACTCTCTGAATCCAGAAGGTACAATGATGTTGAACTCTAGGTACCTCAACTCGAACTTTCCAAATACAGTCTCTTCGCTGCACACAATAAATAATTGAATTCACCAAATTTGTGGGCATGGCCCATCCTCAGGGTGAAAACATATAACTAATGCCAACAAAAACTGAAACGAGTAGATATGCTGTGTGGTGCTATAGGAAGGTGATGAGAAGGGCTGGGGAAAAAAGGGAGCTAAAAAATGTGTGTATGTGTGAAGAGTAGCAGTAATGGTGAAAGGTATCGGGAGAAAGGAAGGGGAAAAAATTAAATTGTGCCAAAAGTGTGTGTATGTGTGGAGAATAGCAGCAATGGTGAAAGGTGTTGGGAGAAAGGGAGGGAGGAAAGGAGAGAAGAGTTGAGCTGTATCTGTATGTCAGAATGTGTGTTAGTGCGACATGGAGAAAAGAATGCAAAAGTATGCGGTGTAGCTGGATCCAGGGGTGCGAGGACAAAGATGAAGACAAATATTTACTACTTACTACTTACTACCATGCAACCGGGTAGCACACAAAAACACCAAAGATTATTGTGCCATGTATGTGCAACATGATAGTCTATCTCAACACCAACATAATAACACATCAATTTCACACTGTGTCCAGCAGTCTCCAGCCACAGTCCCTGTTCACACTTGGATGTCTATCACGAATAAACATTGCTTCACGTATACGACGATTTACAAGGGACAACTGCGTGACGAGAATGGATGCGTTGGTGATGGGTGTAGACGTGATTACTTGTTGTGTTCGGTGTTCTGCATAATGTTCTCCCCATGGTGTCTCTGGCGCTTGCGCTTTGACCTTTCTGCAGTGCTCCTCTAATCTCTTCCTGGCAGTTCTCTCGGTCTCGCCAACGTACTCCTCAGCGCAAAGTGTACATAACATTGAGTTGACCACTCTCCATACCAGCATCATATGCACGGCATTCAGTATGTTGCCCTCTTCCTCTCCTCTTCTTATATACTTCCTTCTTCGGGCATTCAGGACGGGACAATCATGACGATACCAACATGCCCCTTAGCGACCGGCCGGACTGGAACACCACACGCACATCCTTACTGAAAGACCTCACCGTACGACGAACATCATGTGCCAAATGATCATTGACAAAGGGCAGTTTGATGGATGTGTACGATTGTTGTCGCTGTCTGGTGGTTGATGGTCTTGGTGTGCCTGCTTGTTGTTTGGCTGCTTGAATAGCGTGTTCTGGATAGTCGTTGTCTCTCAGCAATGTCTCGATTTTCCTCTCTCCCCTCCTCCTATGTCGGTTGATGCGTTGCTGTTTGCGCGCCAACTGTTCCAGGGCAACCGACCGCTTCACCCCAAATGGCAATGAAGACTCGTACGACAGATGGACACCACTATGACTGGGCTTGCGAATAACTCCCACTGCACAACACCGCTCACAACAGAGATAGACGAGTCTAGGTAGCTGACTGGGCTTGCGAGTCGTTCTGCTGGGTGTGTTCCACTGTGAAGCGTATGTCGGGGTGTCTGCTGCTCAAGTACTGCACGAACTCCATCAACTTGACAAGACCATGACACCATACCACCAGACAATCAATGATGTAGCGACGATACAAGCGAGGCTTCCACAGAAACATAGCCATCGCCTCGGACTCTAGCTTTGATTGAAGATGGTTGCCATTGGGGGTTGACAAGACCATGACACCATACCACCAGACAATCAATGATGTAGCGACGATACAAGCGAGGCTTCCACAGAAACATAGCTATCGCCTCGGACTCTAGCTTTGATTGAAGATGGTTGCCATTGGGGGTTGAGATGGTTGCCCATTGCCAGACCTTTCCTCTGCCTGTACTGGATACCGTCAAATTGGAAGTAGTTGGACACTAACACGACTGACAGGAGCTCCCGAACATCCAACAGTGACAGGTGAAACATATCCACTTCCTTCCGATGCTACTCCAAAACTCCGCCACCGCATCAATGCTCTCTTCAACTGGTATGTTCGAATACAACGAGACATCCAGTGAGGCAAGAGTACAATCATCGGGAAGAACAACATCGCTCAACATGTCGATACACTCCTTTGTACTGGCCAAATGTGCTGGAACGAACTTCAACAACTGATTCAGGATACGTTTCAGTAACAAGGAGACATTATCCATTGACGAACCACATGTAGACACAGCAGGGTGCAGCGGAGGGCCTGGCTTTTGACCTTTAGGTAGACCATAGAATCGGCTGTGCCGTGAATTGTGCGGGAGTATGGATTTGGCGAGTGATAGGCCATTCCCTGATTCTTATGAGTGATTACTGAGAACAGGTTTCACTCAGTCAACACCTCCGCTTTTTTCTACCAGAATCTTGCTATTACCAGTATTGCCAGTATGTGGATGAGTGCTGGTCGCATCTACAACATTAATGATCATGCCATGTTAGCTGAATTAGTTTGAGATTGTCCCCACCAACCCAAATTTGAGGTTTTATCGTTGCAAATGTGGATTCCCCATATTGGCATGTGTGCGCATCCAGTAATCGAACCCTGCATTTGACCAGACACGATCCTCTCATGGGGCAGTTATAATATGAGCCGTCAAATGAGAAAACAGACCTTATCGCAAAAACTGTACAGTGCAGAAAAGTGCACTTGAAAGTTGGCGAGTTTACCCACTGGTGCGTCTGGACAACCAAACTACAAACCGTCGTATTTCAGTCAAATATCGGTCTTTGGGGACAATCCAAGTATGTAAATCGAAGAGAAAACTCCAAGGATTCCAATGCAGCAAGCGCGATCGCGGCACGATGCTGCGTTCCCGAGATGCGAAGCCTGCAAGATACGTCACCGCACTTTGCATTTCTACACGCGAGTCAAACGCTCCATCCAGACCTGGGGTTTCCCCCTTTTCAAGCGATCTACGATCTCGGCAACAAGCTCAGACGTCTTGGAAGCTCTCACTGCATCTTCACGAAAAAAAGTGGGCGTCCTGGGATAATAGAGATTGAAATGGCGAGCGATTTTCGTGTGACGGCGCAAGTCTAGCGCTGAAGCGATGTCTGCAGCTTGTTGCGCTGGAGCTGTGCTTCATTTGCTATCGGATTTGGGCCCAACGGGTTGCTTGTCACCAGAGCTTTCCAGAAAGCCCAAGTTTGTGGATATCGGTCAAAGGAAACAGAAAATATTATCCAAAGTAGGTGAAACAATTGTTGGTATTGCACCCAAAATTGAGGTGCAATTTGTAATGGTCTCCTACTGTCGAGGCTATAACTTCACTTCCCCTGGTCCAAATCAACTCTAGTTTTCTGCATGCGATTCCTGGTGCTCCTGGCAATCAGATAGTACCACAAACAAAAATATGACTTTTTGTGATATTAAAGGTCTGTTTTCTCATCTGACGGCTCATATTGTACCTTCAATGAATTTACCTGGTCTTGTGTTCATGTTTTCGTTTCTGAATGTTCCATGTGCAGGCCATGTCTACCTTCACATCTGCAATGCTGCTGCTCAGACCGGTGTTTCTCGCTTTGGCCAAGACAACTCAACATGGAGGCAAGCATACTGGCATACAATGTACACGTACAGTTGTGGCCAAAGAAATCCGACCCACGAGTCCAAAGCAGCGCCAAGGCTCATGCGGCCCTTGAATGGGTTTTTGGACCGTGCGTGCCGTACTTGAATTGGAAATGCGGCGCTACTTTTGACTCGCCGGTCGCATTTCTTTGGCCACAACTGTGCTTCAAGTGAGCCAGTGGATTCTGTTGTAGGTTTCAGACTGCTTGCCTACAAAACAAGCGAACATTTCTGGTCCACGTTCTCTGGACAGTTTCGTTTGTGAAGTTCATGCCCGAAATCTGTAGTGTGAAAAGCACGTTCTTGAAGCTTCCATGCTTCTACCCACTGTTTGTCAGTGAAGCAGTAATTACGCACTGGATCCGAATCTCTTGTGATGAAGGCAGCATTTGTCCTGAAAAGCTGACCTTGTATCTCATGCTTCTCGGATTGTCAAGCAGCCTGGCATTAGTGTACGTCAAGTATGTCAAGTACATAAAATGTACATTAGAACTTCTCTTATCCAAGTGCAAGTATGATTTTTGATGACTTGTCCATAGCTGGGAAATCCACTGCATGTGCAACCACAATGTACACCATCATCCTCTTCAGTTGGGCTCATTGAACCTAGGTCGATACCATCCACCCGCATGCACGATAGGATCGGAGGGTGAGACCGTATAGGCTGTGGATGAGGGTGATGGTTGTAAAGCGTCTCCTGGTATTTAGAGGCATGTTGGTGTTGTAAAGTGCATTCAGGGTATTTTACATATCCTTGCACATCCTACATGCCTCATTCATTACCAACACCATGTTATAACCAGGATGCATGCATATGTTTTTCTCTGCAGATACTCGAAGAAAGAAAAACTGCCACCTGGTGAAGCCCTGCTGCAATTCACACACATCATAGTCGAAGCTCGAGATGCTGGTGTCTACGCAACTACACACACTCGGCTAGCTTCAGTCAGTGGGTTCAGTACGATGGCGTGGAGGACGGCTCCACGTGGCGTGAAATTAGAGGACAAGCTTCTAATCTTACAACGAAACACACCGATTCTAGACAAACGGAAAATCTGAATCCAGTGCTTGACACATTGAATAACCAACCCAAAATAACACAGAACTCTAATTTGTTCTCGCTTTGATCTATTCCACAACATGTTACTTCAAGAGACTATATAAACCTACTTAAAGGGGAAGTATACCCTAAAATCAAATTTTCACCAGTTGTAGTCTTCGGGGTGCTGAGTCGAATGGTCTTGGTCCGAGGAAGCTGAGACGCTCCCTTCCTCCTTTATTCCCAATCGAACTCGCGCACTTCCACCGAAACTGGGTGACTGCGCCCTACTAGATGGGGATTTGTATGCAAAATGTCACTAAAAGCGCCATTTCGTTCTTATAAAAGCACGGATGACCGCGATTGGCCCATATGTTGTAGTCTTTTGGACGCTGAGTCGACTGGTTTTGGTCCGAAAAGGCTGCGATGTAGCGTTCTTCCTTTATTCCCAATCGAACATGGTTGAACAAGCGGTCACGTGCTCCTGCGTACACCAGTCACCTGGTCACCGTGCCTGCAGGGTACAACTTACTAGCCTGTTTGACCTTTTTTGGGTGCAGTCCTGTCACTCGAGTTGAACCTTGGTGTGAAAGTTGTCGCCTGCTGGCGCGGTGACCAGGTGATTTGGGCACCCAGGAGCACGTGACCGCTTGTTCAACCATGTTCGATTGGGAATAAAGGAGGAACGCTGCATCGTAGCCTTTTCGGACCAAAACCAGTCGACTCAGCGTCCAAAAGACTACAACATATGGGCCAATCGCGGTCATCTGTGCTTTTATAAGAACGAAATGGCGCTTTTAGTGACATTTTGCATACAAATCCCCATCTAGTAGGGCGCAGTCACCCAGTTTCGGTGGAAGTGCGCGAGTTCGATTGGGATTCAAGTAGGAAGAGAGCGTCTCAGCTTCCTCGGACCAAGACCATTCGACTCAGCACCCAGAAGACTACAACTGGTGAAAATTTGATTTTAGGGTATACTTCCCCTTTAACGTGTATGAATTTCACAACTGACATCTGCTGTATTTGTCGCTATGCTGCTCTTGCTTTCCCTATATAGTAGATTGCTACGCCTCTTACTGCATGTCTTCCTGGTTATTAGGGATAGTTCCCATGTAACGGAAACGCGTACGTGGGTGATACACGTAAAGTAGATGAAGGGCACCCACGTTGCAATGTTGTGTTTAGTCACACGAAACAAACGAAAGCATGAAGCGAAAGGCCCCAAACCTGGTCAAAGACGAAGCTACCTAAGAAGCTCATCGAATATTTTGATTTCGTGCATCGGAAACTTCTTCAGCTGAGCACCCTCACAGCTCGCACAATGCGCTCCATTCTGATTTTCACCTTTTTTCACCCACGTTCTGGCGGAACGTGGGTGAGCCTCCATACACAGTATGTTGTGAATCAGAAAACGTCTGTACTGTACCGAGTATCACGTGGTACACACACGTAAAGTACCCATGTGGGACTCAGGGTGCGTTTGGTTGGTACGATCTAGAACAGGATCGAACAGCTGGTGCACATGGAGCAGCCTCATGCCAACCAAACGCTACTCCAGAAACAGAGCTACTTTTTTGTGGAAAAATGTGCCAAACTTGGTGCATTCTTCAAAATGTGTATGGATCACCATGGTCACTTTGTACGGTACGACGAGTCCAACCCAAAAGCGTATGCACGTGATCATTTGGGAACAAAATCGATGTTCCCGCCAGGTTTCACTGTGAAAAAGTGAAACTGCTCGGTCTGCTCCGGCCTCGAGGCCGGAGCAAGCAGAACATGTTCTGGCCGACCCAGAACAGGTGCAGTCCCAACCAAACGCGCTGTTCTGGTGAATCCTGTTCTAGTTCATACCAACCAAACGCGCCCTAAGCCTCCCTAATATGAGACATGACATGTGAGAATGTTAGTAAAAAAAGAATAAATAGTTTCTGGTGAGCAGCTGGGTTGAGAATATCAGCGGATACGGCGGGAAAGTAACATGCAAAACTGTCAGTGAAAATATGTACAGGAAGACAAGACATGAATGCAGCGTAGTAGTATCAGCATTGGCCGTTTTTTAGCGGCTAAATTACTGTAGAGAGGGTGCGATACTTTGGTGGCGACTGTACAAAACAAAATTAATATTGGATAGAGGGTGCGGTGCTTTTGGTGGCGACTATACAGAACTTGAAATCCACATTGTACAGAGGGTGAGATGTTTCTTCATTGAACAACTTGTCTACATGTGCGATGGAACGGTCTCTAACGCATCTTCGACAGATCTCTCCACGTCCACAACCTGCAGTTTGGCACGTTGAATCACACAAGCAGAGCAGCAGCAGCAGTAGCAGTAGGGGTAGTCAGCGTAACCAATACACCTCCTACTTCAAAGTACACACCATCAGAATGTAATCAATTCCGTGCAGCTGTGTGCAGACAGAATATACCAACAAAATAGCCATTGCAACATCACACAGTCCAAGCAAGCAGCAGCAATTGCAAGAATTTGCACTGGTACTCATAATTCCACGACTTGCTAACACCCTAACCCCTTGACATCCTTGATATCTAACTGTTACAGCAAGCCTACATAGTTTCCGTCCATGCGCATTGTCATCCAACACGTTGAGACACAAAGACACAAGAATGTTGCTTACAGGAGGTTTGCTGCGGTGTGTGTTGACCACTGGCATGTCTGGACAGAGCGGAATCTCTTCCATCAAACAACCTGACAAGTACACAACCAAATTCCACAGAAAACAAATAAGCCATTGCAAAACACATACACCATGGTAATACCCATCAAGAAACGGCAAGGATTAAATCACTTCCAAGACTCATAAGACACACTAAGATCAGCATACATGTAAATGCTTGGTGCATAACGTCATAATCACCTTCTTGACAAAAAGCGTAGCAACAATAAGTGAAATGTTGAACACCCACCCAACCACAGACAGACATACCACAGAATGATGGCAAACTCACCATATGCCAGCGGAGTTAGCTTGATAACTGTATGAAGAGGAACCTTCAAGTAAGGCAGTTCATCATAACTCTTGTCAAGAAAGTACGCTAGCAAACAACGCGATACTGCCTGTAGTAACAATGGATTGCAGCAACAACATGTTAGAATTAATTCTACTGTCCCCCGTGAATTCTGCGGCAGAATATCAGAAACTCCGTGCAGAATTCTGCAAGGAAAAGGAGTATAAAAACAGATCGAAAACCCCACCAAAGTTTGTTGTCCCAAAAAATTCTGAACCAAAATTATGCGAAATCCTGGTTCAAAAATTGAAAGCTTCAAAATATACTGCAAGTTGACTTTGAAAGTCACAAGCAGGTAACGTTTTGGTTGGTTTGGCTGTGATTAATATTATCAAAAGTCCCTCTAGAAAAGCAGTTTTTCTCTCTTTTCTGCAATATTCCGCGGGATTTTCTGAATTCTGCGGAAATTCTGCAATCCGCGGGATTGCGGAATTCACGGGGGACAAACAACAAACATAAGTTACTGTAAAAGCCATATTTATAACGAAGTGCTAACTCTAACGAGTTAACGAGGAGAAATCTGTCGTTAAAATAGAAATCGTTATGCAGAAATCGATACATATACTGTTCTATTGAGCGTTAAAAATGCGTGAGAATCGTTACCTTTGGTACACGTAAACCAGTCAATTTGGGGAAATCGTTATAATTATATGCGCCTCGTTAGAATAATGGCTTTTACAGTACGTAACAATAATGTTGATAAACACTATGGATGCATTTTCTATGACGAAAAGAGTAGGTCCATGCAGCCCAACAGCAGCATAGCCATCACAAGAAGCCCTGAGCCAGTCACCACTTGCAAGTGGTGACTGGCTACTGTGCACTTCATCTTCACATGCTAGGTAAAAGAAGGAAATCCAGGCATCGGTTGCGGCATACGCTCATTGCGGGTAGGGTTGCCTGTACTAGAGTACTGCTCAATGAAATCCAGTCGCGTCACTCAAGTTTGCGCCTTGCACCATTTCGCAGCCCAGTGTTCGCAGGTCTAGGGCTGCGCAACGCCCGGCGCGTCCTTGAGCGACGCGACTGGATTTCATTGAGCAACATTGTAGTATCAGCCATCAGCTAAGAGAAGCGCGCTCACCTGATGACACACAACAAGAACATCTCCCTGGCGTTCCAACTCCTGAACACATACGCACAGACAAAAGACACAAGAGACCCACACCAAGTTAGCAACGTTTCCTCAAGTAGCACACACATGTACATGAACACACTACAGTAGTCGCGAATCAGCCAGAGTAGAATGCAGAACCCCAATATTCCTCACTCACCATAATAACAGGCTCAAGACGGGCGACAAGGTCTTCATACGACTGCACAACAAGTAGCACAAGTGACAAGAAAGCACGTGAGAAACATGATGGCAAAGGAACAATACATGACAGAATCGCGTTGCATTATCGGCCATGTCACCGACAGCCATTTTTTTAAGATGAGAAAATTCAACTCACCACACAGCAGCATTATATATAAACTTATAAGACTGACACGAGTACAGCACCGTTCTGTGTAAAAGCCTGTCTCGCAGACAGTACAGTATGTGGCACACATACACTGTACACACAAGCGCAAGCAAGCACACCCAGACTAGCCTTACCTCTCCCCGTGGGTATCTGTAATGAAACTTGTCCTGGTCACGCAGTGCAAACTGTGACGGGAATGTCTCCTGGATCTGCTCATATGTCAAACCATCACAGTCTCCCTAGAGCATGACAAGCAGGAAGCACCGATATGCCACAACACACAAGGTTCTGAAGACATAGCACTAGATGAGGAAGTCAAAAGTACAAATCCCATAGATAAGACACAACGCTGGCCTGTCAATTTCAACCCGATGCACTTCTGCATGTTGAGCTGCTGCCTGCAGAGTTTGGTTTAGTGCACATGTTGGAGGACCTAATTAAAAAGCAACTTGCAGCATACTTCTCGAGCTAAATTTCCCCTGGGCAGCAGCGCTGTACTTCAACATCATCATAAGTTATTATTCCTAATAATAATACACGATCTAGGCAGAAGTAGCAAACACACAGAGGGTGGTAATAGCTCCAGGACAGGAACATGGCACGGGAGTATCTAAGCCACCAGTCCAGTTATCAGTCTCAATTCCTGGATACGCCTATGCTGATGGTGACATATCGCACATGACACTGATGACAAGCATGGTCTGACGTACAACTAGTGTCTGCACACGGATACCAAGCCGAGTAAGAGAAGGGAACGTACTGCATCAAGCTCATTCAGGGCTGTCCAGGGCTCTCTCGGTGCGTCGATTTTTTCAGCTGTCTGAATGGTGCGCCGCAGTTGACTGGTCCATACCTGGAGAGAGAAACACACACACACACACACACACACACACACACACACACACACACACACACACACACACACAAGAAAAAGGAAACAATGTCATCAGAAACGTACTGCATGAAACAAAATCGTAAAGCAGGTTGAACGCTCTGATGCTAAACACTGGGACAATGCCCCGGACAATGCAAGGTGAAGCATCTGTGCATCAGATGGCTTCTTGGTCACATACATCTCCAACAAGCACCGGTGGTTCACAGCAACGCACAGCATTCATAGCAGGCAGACATTAATAACTGGCCAACAGACACTAGCAGTTGACTTGTAGCACAGCACTAGCACTTCAACATGCACATGCATACACTGTGTGGCCGGTATGTCATATCGCTGTGGATGTATGATGGTATACACGTACACAAGAAGCGATGAGCACAGCGCAGAGCACTGATCCAACTACATGACATTGTACTTGTACTACTGAACACTCACCCGAAGGTTCGGCATGACATCCTTCTGCCGGTCAATGAAGCTGGCCAGCTCTATACCATACTGGATGCCGTTCTCCGTAAGCACACCATCGCCACCTATACGGCCACACTTATTCATGTCAGACTCGCCATGCTGTAGCCACAAGAATACACAACATACCACAGCAGGGATGACCTAGTCAACCATACATGTAACAGCGGTGTACAACAAACGGCATCTTGGACTCCTAACACGGCCTGACAAAAGCAACAAAAATGGTCAATAGTAATACTTTAAAAAAAGCAAAAGTCAACGACACAGTCAACAACATAGCTAGTTTGAACAGAGAAAAAGGCAAAGAATATATTTGTGTACCACAAACAGTGATGCAAGAGTCAGGAAAGGAAGCAGGACAGAAGTCGCGTACCCGTGTCAAGAAGATATTACGCGGCTTGATGTGAACGTTCATCAGAAAGTAAATAATTCGACTTTGTAGATGACCTGAAAATACACACAGACAATCAAAAACTATTTCCAAATTCCACCCTCTACTTTTCAATGCCAAGGTGAAGAGTTTTTACATTTAATAGTTAAAACTACTGACAACTCATCAGGCTTGTAGGCAGGATTTTCACCCAACAGGTACCTAATCAGCCCTGTAATGTGCTGCTCTGCACGGCTAGCATCTTCATAAGACGTCTTGGCAGTCCAGACTAACTGACAGGTGATGTGCAAGCACTGGCTACTTCCCTGCTCACGTTGTGACACCCACCCACCCACGCCCAGACCCACTCACTCAAGCAGTACAAACTCCACTCGCAAACGCAGGCAATGCAGATGAAATTCAGGTCCAGTCCAGTGCAAGCTTACCACGGATCTTGTTGGCCATGAGTTTTGAACCCACATCATACAGGGTAACAAAGCTGAGATCAGTGTCATCGTCAAAGTCCAGCGGTTCATAGACTTTCTCGTAGAGCTCCAGGCGTGTCTTGAACTCTGCCAGTGCCTTGTCCATGTCTTGATCAATGAAGTCGGGGTTTTTCAGTTTTACTGCCTGCATGCACAGCGGCAGACACACAACACAACAACAACAATCAGATGAGATTGGAGATGACCGACAAGAATGGATGGATAGGCGGCGCGGAGACAATAACTTTATGATAGCAATCAGCGAAGCGGACATTGGACGTAGTAATCAACAAGAATAAAATATGGGTAATAAAATTTCCTAACCAGTTTTCGAGAGGCATTCATCAGGGAAACTTCAAATACGTCTCAATAACAAAATCTAGCAATAAACAACAATATTTTATTATTCATTCACTGTTGTTGCTCTTAGTGTTATTTCTCCAACTTAGATTTTCTATAATAGTTCAATTTTTGTTTCAGTGTCCTTTAGTACAACGACGATTCCTGATGAGTGTTGTACGAAAACTTGTTTGAATCCATATTTTTTCCCTACACCATTTCTTCATATACCGTAATGTCGCGTGCATAAGCCGGATTTGTGCATAAGCCTGTCTCGTGTAGAAGCATGAAATCTGCAACAGCTTTTCGCGTACAAGCCTGTCGCATGCATAAGCCGGGCCAGTACACGAGACGCGCCACGTGTCGCGTGCGTAAGCCGGGCTACTACGCAAGACTGGTGAGCGCGCCTTTTACATGTTCATGTTTGCATGGTACCGTACACTTGCACACGCGGAAAACGTGGGAAGATGCGGAAATCAACACCAGCTGCGCTCGACGGCCATGCAGCACTCTTCAAGCTTCAAACTTACCTTTCCCATGGCATTTTCCGTCTTGTCCCTTGGCAAGTTGCTTGTTTGAAGTTGTTTCGGCGCTTGGTTTTGACGTCCAAAAGTCAGCAGTTTGCGCATACAAGCCTGGTCATTGAGTGGTGCTTGTCATATAAGCCTGTCTCGTGTATAAGCCTGTCTTGTGTACAAGCCTGACTCCATCACCGGCTTATAGGCATATAAGCCCCGGCTAATGCACGCGACATTACGGTATGTATTATTATTATTATTATTATTATAATTATTGTCTCTAGAAAACTGGTTAGGACATTTTATTATCCATAATTTATTCTTGTTGATTACTACGTCCAATGTCCGCTTCGCTGATTCTGCTGACTGCTATAATAAAGAATAGATGGCCACATAAGTGTCTCGTCACTATTGAAATACAATGCAGTGTGCCACCCACGGGAATGAGCTACCATGAGGTAACAACACCACGCACTAAGTTTTCAGAAGATACCTACAACTCAACATGAAGCAGCCAAAGCACAGCACCACTCCTCACACTGATCAGCAATTCAGATCGAAGCAGTGTGAGTAAAAACTTTGAACACTGCAATATGTAAATAATCGACGCGGAGACAACAATTTTATAATAGCTATAAAGAGAACAAATTCTGCTGTCATCGCCACACTACAACAAAGTCATGAAGGTTTACCAAAATCGATTTTCTTGTCACAATCATCAGTGGAAAGCCGTGACTGAAGAATAACCATGCCAAATTAATAATTTATATACATTCAATAATGTGTTACGAGAACAAAACAAAGTGCTAAAAATAGAATGAGGGAAGGTGAGACAATAGAAGTAAAGCGAGAGCTAAGTGCAACAGGGGTGAGGAACTAATTGCAACGCTAGAACTATGTAGTGAGACAAACAATCATGCTGTGCACCTACGAAAACAATCTTAACGCAACTACATGTTAGCTCTTAGCTCTCGCTTTACTTCTATTGTCTCACCTTCCCTCATTCTATTTTTAGCACTTTGTTTTGTTCTCGTAACACATTATTGAATGTATATAAATTATTAATTTGGCATGGTTATTCTTCAGTCACGGCTTTCCACTGATGATTGTGACAAGAAAATCGATTTTGGTAAACCTTCATGACTTTGTTGTAGTGTGGCGATGACAGCAGAATTTGTTCTCTTTATAGCTATTATAACACTGCAATAGCTAAAGCATTTCAAATACGTCTCTTACCCTGACATTGCGCTCCACAAGCTGCGAATCATTACACACTGATTCCACAAAGAACACCTAGCAAGAGGAGACACATACGCAGGCACAAGCATACATTTATAAGCAACATGAACCAGCAATGTCAGTCACAACAAGCTACTATACCGTATCATGAAACACAGGGAAGTGTAACACAAGTAGTTGCACAATGCACATACTGTAGGTGCCATACAGGCAACCAAAACGAAGCGTCACACTTACTCGAATGCCCTTCGCACCGAGGCAGTCCACTATCATTTTCCTCCGCTCCCGGGTTGTGTTGGTAGCATCTAACACCTGAAGTTGACATGAAGAGTCAAAATAACCAATGAGAACACGGAAAGAGCAACATGAGAATTGCTGATAGTACAGCAGTGCAGTTGCGTTAGATAAAATCGGACCCAGAGTGCAAAAGCTTGTGCCCTAGGACCAGATCCCAAAAGGCATGTGTATGCGCTCACTTGCATGCACCTTGTGCACATATTCTGAACACAGAGCAGCACACTGCAGACTGGAAGAGTTTGCAAGAACCCAGCAGCACTTCTAAACAACTTCAAGGGCCTGGTGCCAAAGATGCCATTCAGGTTGGATGTCACCTAGCATGACAGTACCAACATGTTTGTAGTAGGTCCTAGTACAGTCATCGTCAATAGGCATCTCTGTCTGTCTGTCTCTTTGCCATAGGAACATGTAAGATGCCCTTGTTCATGCACGGGTTGTCCCGTGTGCACAGCACTAGCAATGGTGTCTGCTGCGAATCCCTACAATGCACACACGTACGTCACGTTCCACAAAGTGTGAAACTTACTGCAGCTTGACCATCATCCTCCATGAGCCATGTACCGACATCCTGCAGTGCATCAATACAGCATTGCCTGCAAATACCGAAAACAAAGACGCAAGTACACAGCCAGGACAGGATCATATGAGCCACAGGGGAATACAGTCTTCAGGAATTGTCACCGGGCACGCTACGGCAATAGTTTCGAAATATACATACTCGTATCGTGCACTGTATCTATGTGTCATGATTGAGTGATTCGGAAGTTCATTTCAGATATCAAAAATTAAAAAACAATCAAACACACAGGAGTAATAGAAAAACATGTCCTTCACGAACGACATCAGACCATTGGACAACACGATAGGGATGCCGCTAACCTGCGTATGCGTACAGCATCCTCGTTGGATGGGTCAAAGAACTCCACCGGGGCACTGCCAACAACACGTCGCCGATATTCTCCAACATTGAACACTTGAGCGACAAACGAGTAAGAAAGAAAAATGCATGCATGCATGGTCAGAGAGTACGACACGCCTGGCTAAATATTTAGGACATTTACTGAAGCATCAACAAAGTGCCGCTCAATAGTGGGCACCCTCTGCACAGCAAACAACAGAGATCAATGTGCAGGCACGCTCGAAGGTGGCACGGGACATGCAGCGCTATCTTATTACAAGCAGGCACTGTCTACCACCGTGGGTCATAGCCAAGGAGACAAAGTTATCCCCGATGTATCACACAGTCACAGGTTGGATAGAATTGAGCAGCATGCAGCAGGGCTTGCTTACCTTTAGTTGAGACGCCAATCCAGTTGAGATATCGAGCTAGCTTTTTAGCAATGTAGGTCTTGCCTCTCGCTGGTAATCCTACCATTACAATGCATGTTGGTACATTCACCAGTGGAGGCTGACTGGCTGCATGGACACAGCAAAAATAGAAAGATGAAAGAAATTTGACAAGAGCAGATTCTGACCTCATAGCATGTACAGTGCTGGCCGGTGAACACTGCGCCGCCGGGCGAGGAGCGGCTTGGCATTGCAAACATACCCCTGTAGGTATGGTATTTTCTGGAATTGGAGCCGGTCCTTTATGACCGCCTGTCGAAAATAAGCGCCACATCATTTCAGGGCTTTTGCATGAATATATTTCAATTGGGGTGAAATGTTGTGGCTCGCACACTACTAAGCGCCTCGGCCAGTATTGCCGAAAGCACGGTATACACACTCGAATGCGGCACTGCATGGTGGCAATTTTCACTTGCTAGCACAGCAAATGCCTGTATGATAAGAAGTTTTGTCACATAAATTTAGTCATTTCGTCCAGACACCCAACATTGCAGTTAGCAGTTTTGCCTGTTTACAGTAGAAAAAGAAAGTAGTGCCAAGATGCACACTTGGGACTGGCGTCCATTGCAAGCAACACATCATTACCTAAAACAGAGCCTTTATAAAGGCCTGGTCTGGATGGTCTAACCCACTTTGCCATACTAGTACTAGTAGTTGCTCTTACGTAATAATTACACACACCACATGCAAGCCAAGACAGGAAAACCGGAGCATTTCATCGTCCATAGGCACTAATGTAGTGTGAGTCGAATCCTGTAGCGTTAGTTTTCCTGCTGCGCAAGCACATCCCCAGCAGCAGCTCACAGATAGCAGTGTTTAGAGCTCTCTGCTCGATTCTCCATCGCTGATAACCTCCGATAAACAGCTGCCGCCAGTGTGGAACATCGCTGCAAGCAGTATGTTACACAGTTGGGAGTATTTGAAAATTCAAACCTTCATTGTTCCACTGTGATTCCCAAAAAGATCTCTGTGAACTTGTTTGGCTTCGGATGTTCACGATTGAATAAGTAAGAACAACGCTTTGATCCCCACCGAAAACTAGCACTGTGACCAAGTCCCAAATGCCAAAAATTATCCCTTCATGCAGAACGCGAGCCAAGCTACTGCAACCACCATGCAGTGGAAGGATCACAAAGAAAGTTTTCGCACTTCACCCTGCCTCAGAAATAAAGCCGAATGCACTATTGCGTAGATTGGGAGAGAGAGAGATAAACTCGCCTGGAGTAACAGGTCGGCTTCTGTCCATGCTGCTGGAGCGACTGGAAGAGAATCTGCCTCGTCTATCCGCTGGAATGGTACTGAGCATATCCATGTTTTCGTGAACTGGAACACCACGCAGCCGGGGTGTGATACGCGGCGAACTAATGCACTCGTGACAGTGTCAAAATCTTTTTCCGAGCAACAATGAAAGCCTTCCTCTCGACTCTAGCTCTGTTCTCGAACTGGCCACAACTTGACGTGAAGAAAATCGGTCGTAAAGTTTTGCCATGGCCCATACATGTATGTGGCCCCTCATAAGCAAAAACGCAGCCTCGCCCAGTCGCGCGGGCCCAACGATTACACAATTTACAGTACAGTAGCAGCAACAAGCACTTGAATCTTGATGATACTTACGCAACAAAAACAAATCGAGGATAAGACCAAGATATCACTGAGCACTTACCATTGAAAAACGCGTTCCTTCTGAAACAGCCACTCATTGTCGATGGCGAACGGACAATACCGTTTGGCTTGCTCTCAACCTCCGTATCCATTCTGATTATGAGACATCTAGACGGTGCATGCAGGTAATGTAAAGCTAAAGGCCCTCAGACAGCCGTTTGACAGAAATAAATGTTCGAAGCACCTTGACAATGTGATGAACAATGAACACGAACACAGATACATGTACTGAGCTACATGCACATAGCCTGGCTGCTCTCGCGCTCCGGAGCTTTTTTACTTTTTGTAGCCTACAAAATGATTATCATGATTTATGTATGGGATATGGGTCAAACTCAAAGTCTCTCAACTACACGTGCATGACGTGGCTCGATGAGCTCATGAGGGTGATCATGGTGATGTGACCAAGAATGGACTCTTGATGTGACTGATGTCACCCCACTCCCCAGCATCGAGGTACCATGCAGCGCAGGGTGCAGACTCTACGTAGACCTGGTACATGGTGCATAGTAGACCTGTACTCAATCTGCGGACGTCATGTCAGCGACCTGTATGTAGTTTTTATTTGTACGCAGTTTGTACGACGCTTTTTGTTGTAGATCTACCGCGCGGCCGAACAAACAGATTTCACGCTTGGCATGGTGCGTGCGTGGTAGACTCTACAGACTACGATGTTCATGCGTGCATGCTTGTTGTGGAATGCTTTGTTTCATAAAAATCGGGCCTTGTGATGACAAGTGTCGGCAGCCTAGGCGCCTATGTCTCTACGCAAGAAAGCGGCAGGCAGAACTATAGCCATGATAGCTGTAGCTGCAGAAGTGAATGGTGACATTTATGCAACCAGCTGTTCGACAAAGGTCAGGAAAGCGGCAGGCAAGCCCATGCGGTTTGCTCATTTTGCTGACAGGGACCTGGGATCATGACATCTACGTACATCTCCATGATCATGATGCCGCCTAGCGCCTGAGCGCTTGATAATTAATAGCTATCATCACCAGGGGTAATACTAATAACTAACTCTGCAGGTCACCCGGGAGCCACCGGGAGTAGCCTGGAAGTCAGACAGGGTACCACTCGGCGGCGGGGGGGGGGGGGGTCGGCTTGCATTGACCCCCACGGCCCAGGGCGACATTTCCCTGGGACTTCATCGTCCGCCTGCTGACGGTCTTCAAGTAAAGTTAGTTGGCCCATCATGACATGAGCCAGATACTTGGACTGAGCTTCAAAGTTCAAGTGTCCCAGTCCGGCAAGCTCAGAGTACACATGACTCACTGAGGTCACGTGACTGTCTCGTAAGGCCAAGGACAGTAAAGGTAGCCCATATTCGATCATCATGCTTAACCATAAGGCATAAGGGCAAGAGGTCACAGTTAGAGACCTCTGGCCATGAGCCCCAACATAGTGAGGGCAGTGCTCATCTCCTCTCCCTCCTCGCCTTTGCCTCCCCGGGCCGACCGAAGTCAGGTACTGTACCCGGTAATCCCAGATGGGTCTCCATCCAGGGGGTGGAAATAGTATTCACTCACGTTGGGAATCGATCCCACAACCTCAGGTTTGGAAGGGCAATGCTCTAACCACTTCGCCGACCACGCACCCCGCGTGACTCCATAACCACCGGCAAAATACACCAGATGATCATGACTAGTGGCTAGGGTCCGGCGGATTCTGCCGGCAGAATAATTGGCAGAATTCGGTACTTTTTCTGGTAAGTTTCATGCATGTTTGGTATGTGGATAAAAAATGGAGCAGAATTCGAGGAATTGCCCGCCATAAGGCTTGTATGGTTCTGCCAATTTCACTGCTTTTCGAGCAGAATCTGCCACCTTTTCGAGCAGAATCCGCCGGTCCCTACTACTGGCTACCTCTGGTCACAGTGATGGTAGGGCCCTTGACCTCTTGCTCAGGCATCATGGTAGAATCTGGCATGTAAATATTGAGAAAAAAAAAGCAGAATGCATGATACTGCTACATGTACCCCAAAACTCAACAGAACATTTTAAAATAAATATTGGTTAGCTAACGTTACAATCATGCGGCTAGCAGGCACCACAAGTAATGAGGTCACAGTAGTAGGACTGACTTCTTGGCCGTCTGGCCGGCCATGCACACTACTGTATGCCATGCTGATTGAAGCGCCGCGGGGTCGTGATGCTGCTGAGCATTGCACAAATGATGACCACCAATTTGAATTTAATCCAGGCTGGGTCTGTTAAAAATAGCCCCAGTCTGGAGTTGAAACTTTAGGCTTCGGCCTGTCTCAACTCCAGGGGTTTTCATTGTGATCATAGGGTGATTCTTTTTTTCCGGTGTGGCACAACTTGAATTTCGAGAAATACATTCCTTACTCCTGGCTACTACCCGCTGTCTGCGTATCACTGCGAGAAAGCTGCTCGCATGCGAACTTGAAACCCTGCGGTAGATAATTCACGGTCGCTTTCACTACAGGACGGCTTGATTGTGCTGCAAACCCGTTTTCCCGTTTTGCATACTGACCAGGGCCCATGCAGGTGTCATCCCTGGTCTCTGCCTCTCACACCCAGTGGGACTGTGGAGTCATTCTACTACTTCATTACTTCAAGTCACAACCTTCCAAAGCCTCAGTACTGAATGACAATGTGGTCACATGCAGTCGGAAAAGGCAGCATAGTAGCACCCACAGCACCAATGCATGGCCCAGTGTTAGTAGCGGCTTAAATAACCGTGCCGCTAGGCACCTGGAATTAGGCCATGAGATTGGACTCCATTGAGTACTAAGTTAAAATATAGTAGAGCGCATGATTTGAGATTGCAGTATTTTCAATCTGATTTTTAATACTAAGTCTTGTAGTCGATAAGTACGAGTCGTTCTGCTTTCCATGGCCGCACTCACAATGTAACAGGTTTACTTGAACCCAGCAGGTCACTGTGGAATTATTAAAGGTATACTGTTGTGGCTAATGATAGAACAGTGATCACCTGTGCAGGAATATAACGTCTTCAGCATCCAGCCATTGACCCCCCCCCCCCCCCCCGTCCCGGATCCTCACGTACTTCTCCCTACCTAGCAAGGGTATAAAATTAGTCACATGTACAGTGGTCTGTGGCGTCCTCATCATTGCCATGCCAGCTCAATCTCAGCCTCTCAGGCAAAGTGAGCCACACTAACCTAATCTTGCAGAGCAGTAGACACAGGTGACTCACCAGGGTCAAGTGCCTGCCTCGTGACAATCCTAGTAGCTTCTGTTACACTGGCTATCCCGGTGGCCTACAAAATTGTGCATGATCCATGACCGGCATTGGGCATTGGGCTCAACTGCAGCCCTCAGATGATGACAAACCGTGACCTCAGCACGAGATGACCTGCCATCAACAGCCAAAGAAGGCCCAGTACACGTCTGCTAACGGTGGCACATGGCAAAATACCTTATCTGTCGAATACCTTCAGTGACTACTACTACAGCATAGCTACTTCAAAGTACAAAACAGTCAGCTGCACTACACGCTCAGTATAATTATGTATCCCAAGAGTACGGGCATTAAATAAAGTACTTAATAAGTTAATAGTCTTTGACCAATATGATTATACACCCTATAAGGCTATAGGCCTAACTCCAAGTCCAATCATGTTCATGTCACACCATGTTTTTTTGTAGTCTACACCATGTGACCATGTCCAGCCTCCAGCCAGGGCTTTGTTGGCTTTGACACTGATACTGATAGACTCGACAGGCATCAATCAGGCTGAATCAGTGATGTAAAAGTCACGGATCACATAATTGTTAGGTGGACCCAAAGACTTTCTCTCATGCTCATACAGTCAGAAGCAAAGAAATTGAAAAGTGTTCTTACCCACTAGTATCGGAGGCGAGAAAACGCCACGGTCGTCGGAGAGCAGTTACCACAAAACTAGTTCTTGTGGTCAGCTAAGGCGAAGTAGGAGCTGTATGAGTCAGTGGGTGGGAGTTTTTCGAAGTGGACTTTTACCAACGGCAAAGACCTGATCGAAGATAGACTGGACTATTTCCGAGTCCCTCTCCCTGGACAGTAGACTGTGCCATTTACCGAAGCCGGCGAAGGACATCCGAATAGAGGTGCAAGCGGTACCGGTACTTCGAGAGCATCAAGCTGCAGCGATGGGTGGTGTGGTCCTGCCAACAGTAGCATTGCTCGCCAGCGCATTGACGCTAGTACAAATACAGGCAGCTGTGGCGGTGGCTACTTCCGTCGCTAGCTTGAATCCTGGACCGCCGGGCCCTGTTGCGCCCACGTACAATTTGTCACTGGACGATGCACCTGAGCAACGCTGGACCCACATTCTGAAACATTTCACCGGAGCAAAGCAAGCCATCATTGATTATTTTGCACAACAGGTACAGCTCTAGTATTAGTAGTACTGTAGCACGGACTGAGTCTGTACTGCACTGGCTACTGAGCAGAAAAATTGATAGAAATAATTATCTCAGTGTCTTGTCCATGGATTTTCTGGTCCAGCTTAGCGGTTACCGCCGGTTAGACTGGAACTGCAGTGTAGGCAAATCAGGCACATGCCAAGCAGCCAAACCCGCAGAACAGAAGGGGGGGGGGGCATGGGGAGTCCAGGGTACAGGTTTGAGAAAGCTTCAACCCAGTGACGGCGAAAATACCAGACAAACCACCAGCTCAGAGGTATTTCAGCCTGTCTCAAGTGTGCCAAAAACAGACCACAACACACTGCCCTAAGCTAAGGAAGAAGCTCGAAAAACTCCAATGCATGCCTGGTTGAATCTTTGAAAGTTGCTTTGATATGACATCTCTGCGAATACAATCAGTCATGTAGTACCAGTGTGAAAGTGAGTAGTTCAGCCACATTAGTTCGGTGCGCACGCCGGGAGGCCACAATTTTCTACCGCCGACGGTCCCTTGTGAACCTCATTGCGTGCACACTTACTGGCTATTAAATGTACAACAATGTCTGTAGACACCGGTGCTAAGAGCCACAGTATGAATTGTGAGTATAGTGCACACCTTAGACTCAACAAGTTCCAGAGATCCATGCACCCTGATAATTTTATGACATGCAATGACTATGTCCTCAGCTTGGTGTAAACTGGAGACGGTGAGTTTTTTTCTCAACATCAGTGGCACTTGAAGAATTATGACCGTGGAAAGCTGCGGCATGAAAGTAGAGTTTGCTAAAGTTGCTGCCATCTGCAAGAGGTGCAGGCATCAACATCACCGCGATTGGCACTGACTGGTTCTGTACTCTGTGTGTGCAGGTGCACAGCAAGGAAGAGCAAGCCGTGCTCAACGACATCGGTGCAAATCTGGACAAGTACCTTGGTGATCTTGGCCGGGAAATGAAGGGAGTGGCGCAAGTGATGGATGTTGATGTTGGCACGATCGTCATGCTCAACTTTGGTTATGAGCTCAGACACGTAAGCCACAAGCATACCGTATTTTCCAGATTATAAGCCGCATCCCCCGCCCCCCCCCCCCCCCACCTTGAAGTTTTGTCGCGAAATACAGACATCTATCCTATTTATCACCGTTAATTTGATCATCAGAGTATAAGCCGCACCCCATTTTTGGATGAATTTTGAGTATTTAGAGTGCGGCTTAGCGCTTATACTTGGGAAAATACGGTAGCTGCTAAACAGCCAGGCCCCGTCACGCTGCTACACAACCTGCTGCTACACACATATACAAGTACAACTGTTTTGATCCTGGCACGATGCATAGAACTGATAGTCGAACCATAGTGACTGTCAGAGCTCAGTGTACATTGAGCAAAATACCAAACTGTTAGGTAGATCATGTGCTGCTATGAACCACAAAGTTTTTTTCCCCATTACAATGTCTATGTGAGAGTTGGACATGCTATGCCCAGTACAACTGAAGCAAGTGGAAACCGACCGTATTATACCATCCAGGAACACAGAGGTACACAGAGATCGCAGTCTTCTCTATGTCAAATTTTCACTTCCTGTAACTTGAGTGATAGAAGCCTCTCGTGCCCTCAGACTACAGGGCAAGTCAGCTCTCCCATACCCGCAGCCAACGGGGGTTTCATTCTTCTCTCTGCTGCCTGTGCTCCCTCTGCAGTTAGGACCAGGTCGACCCAACACAACTGGGAATGCGACGATGAACAGAGAGACCTTCCACCCAGCAGGAGCTTGCACTTCTATTGTTGTCCAATCGCAGGACTATTCAATCATACACGGTCGAAACCTGGACTGGAACCTGCCAGATGAGCTGCGGCATTTGATCATCCAGGTACTTAGACTCCCCCCATTTGCTGAGACATCCCCGGCTCCAGTCCAAGAACAGCCGGTTCATAAGCCGGACCGATATTTTCAGTTTTCACTTGGCTTGTAGTGCACAGGAATACACCGGCATAGGGCTTTGTGCAGTCTAACTAAGTTACTGGCAATTCTGTTTGGTCAATACCTTCGGCGCGGGGAGTGGTGAGTCCAAGGTACTCAAAAAGAGATTTGTTCACAGTCACAGCATAACTTATCTGACCACTTCGGGAACATGGGCCTTGTTGGATAGCTGACACCAGACCGAAGCATCATATACATGTATGTACAAGTATGGTTAACGCTATCATACTCCCGCCGCTTGGCTTTGCCTGTTTCCCTCATAGTGGGCAGCAGATAATACCTGTGTGTTAACTGTGTTTGCACTTTCCGCATGTGATCACCGTGTGCAGATAAACGTCCTGCGCGGTGGAGACTTGCTCTTCACGGGAACAGGAGTAGCTGGTTTTGTCGTAAGTCTCTGTTGCCACGGAAGCGAGATACGTCATGTACACACTGCCTGTACTGCATAGCATCTTCATAGTCAGGGATACACATAGTCAGGGATACACATAGTCATGGATACACATAGTCAGGGCCGGATACAACGTTCAATAGCAACATGGCATACATTATATAGATACTGCTACACGTCTTCTTGTTTGCAAGACCATCAACATCCCGCCCCAAGGCTCGTTGATAGTCAGAAATCACAGCCTCGTTGCTATAAACTTAACGTTGTAAGGAATCCGGATAGCCTCCATGTACTTGCCATCATGGTAAAGTTATCTGCTTTGAAAGTCAACAGTGGATCCTGATATGTCTTTTGCAGCAGTTGTGCCCTGTAGAGATGCGGCTAGTATGGAAACTTGCATGTGTGCCTTTGAACCGTAGCATAAGCATGTGCAGACCCACCAGCCTGCTAGTGTACTTGTGGGTGAGTGTTGGCAAGATCGCATACTGTAGTGTTGCGTATAGAAGCATGACCTGTATAGAAGCATGACTCGAATAGAAGCCGATTTTTGAAGCGTGTCGTGACACAGAAGCATGGTTCGAATAGAAGCCGCTCCCTGCAAAGTACATTGTGTACATACATGTGTGGCGGTATGCACTGCACAGTGCAGACTGATGATGTTGACGTAGAAGCATGTTTTGAATAGAAGCATAACTTGAATAGAAGCATAACTTGAATAGAAGCATGATTTGAATTTTGAACCCCGGCTTATACGGCCGAAAGCACCTGCTTTTATTATGCGACATTACGGTACTGGACAAAGACATGTTCACCACACGTCTGCATTTCCTTTTGTTATCTTAGGGATTTCTGAACATTTCCTTTTGTTATCTTAGGGATTTCTGAATATTTCCTTTTGTTATCTTAGGGATTTCTGAATGGTGTCACCTACAATGGATTTTCAGGATCCATAAATGAAAGACTGCTGGGCGGCTCGATTGTTCTGGACGCCCTGCAAGCGATAAAAGCAGGATCCAATAGCCCTACACATCTGCTCAGAAAGGTATGTTACTTGTGCAGTGTGCACCACATCCATTCCCTGCGCATGATGTATTCAGCTGGTGTGTGTCGGAGCTAGCTAATACTGCAATATACATATTCTACTACTTCCTGGTCAGGGCCATGCAGTGATGAGCAGTAGCTGTGACTATGTGAGGCATGACAACCGTCGAAACTAACACGGCAAATAAGCCAGGCTTGAATGCCGGAAAGGAGTACACTTAAATGCACTGTTCTATTGGAAACAACATTCACAATCCGTGCTGGCTACACTGCATTGTACCATGTACAGTTGTGTGTTTCAAGACATCAATCCTGGTTTCGCTTGCCACGCCTGTAGCTGAACTACGTGTACATGTATACCTTGAAGGGGTGGGTGATGGGGTGGCCATGTCAGTTGTGCAGACTCATAGTTACCAGCCAGTGAAAAGACAACTCCACTACCTCTGGCATGCTCTGCTAGGTTATTTCCTTGAAGGACAGCACTCAATCTATCCAGTCATGTAATTGTCTTGCACACACCAGTACCTGCATCAATCCCAGGTGTGCACTGGGTAACACCAGCAAATAGCACACTTCTGCTTTTTCTGCTGTTCCTACAGCTACTGATGGAACAGCTCAGCTATCCGGAAGCAGTCACCCAGCTCATGGATCAACCACTCACAGCACCTGTGTACTATATCGTGGCTGGAGTGGCCAGGGATGAGGGTGCCGTCATCACACGAGATCGCGTCAAAGTGGACGATGTCTGGCAGCTGCAGTCCCACAGCAGTGCCTCCTATTCTTGGTATCTTCTGGAAACAAACTATGTGAGTGGCTAACAGCCTGCATAAAGCAATCTTTGCGTGCCTCAGTTATGTCCTGTAGTGGGTTAGTCATACATGCCGTCTTGCTGACCTTTGAACGAACAGACAGGGACTATCGCTGCAAATGAGAACTAGTACTTGTATCTTACTGTGATGCTGTAGCCTTAGATTCTTGTCGAGACCTTCATCAGTTGGTGTTTCGTTTTCACTGCAGGATCATTGGAGAGAGCCAGTGGCGTATGACAATCGTCGCAAGTACGGTAACGAGTATATGACTCAGCTGGGCCGCCAGTCTGCATCTACATACGACGGCCTGGTATCGGTGCTCAACACCTGGCCAGTACGCAACAACGAGACGACCTGGACTAGCCTGATGTCGGCCAAGACTGGACACATCACCACATATGTTGTATATCTTTGAGAAGATTCGGTCTAGAGCAAACATACAATCCACCACAGTGACTCTTTATACCGGTAGCTGGGATGAACATACACAATACACTCTCATACACCGGGCATATTTCCAATACCTTACCTTATTTCTTTAGTGGCAGCGGTGTTATTATTGTACAACGTCTGAAGGATTATGCCATGCTGTTTCTTGGCAGCTGCCACTAGTAATTGACAACAAAAAACGCACGGTCCGCGTGAGAGTCAGTTAGGCTGAGTTTTCCGCACCCGCATGACTGCCACCACCATCTAGGTTACACAGATGCCATCATGAGATGCCCGTCTTCGCCTCAAGGTAGACAAGAAGATATGAGCTTGATGACGGAGACCATGCAGAATAACTGGCATCCGGTGCAATGGGACCGAGAAGCAAGGCACAAGCACAGCGCCAGTGTTTCTCCGTGCTGTGTGTAGTACACAAGCAGCAGAACTAACCACCACAAGCAGAACTAACCACCACAACCAGTGGATGGTCATGAAACGTGCACAGCAAACACTCCACAACGGCATGAGCGTGTGAAACCTAACAGTTCGAGAGAAAACCGCTTTCACAGCCATTGTACTACTTCAAAGTATTACAAAGTTGACATGCATACACATCTACAGGCAGCTATAGCATCAGCGAATGTAGCAAAACTATTGTCCCAGCTAGAGGGGCCTAGGTAAAATCCCCCAGTCAACAGGGAGTGCACTAAAAATTCATTGTCGGGCCTGGTTCACTTAAAATCTGGTTATACTGCACGAACAATAAAAAACAGAGTAAACCGTATCGAAAGCCTGTGTGAAATCGGTGTAGAGCAAGGTCATTCATCTTCTCGCAATGACCGCATGGCCACAGGCAGCACACTGTCGTATGATGGAAGGCGTCGTATTGTAGAATGAAAAGGTCAGCCTGGCACAGGCAGCAGTGAATTGACTCACATCTGCTACTGGAAAGGATGAGAAACTAGAGAATGGGTGCACCTAAGAGCACACACACGCACACATCAACTGTGCTTCAGCTTGCCCTTAGCTTTAGCAGCCGCGGAACGTTCATCCGTGTCTTCGGGCTCTAAAACAGCACCATCCGCGACAACACCGCTACCGTCTTCATCCTCGTCCTCCTCGTGTATACGGCCACTGCTCTCATCGTTGTAGAAGCCACCGGGTGTCTCTCGTCGCAGCTGATCCCGCTCTATCTGGGCAGAGGCCAGCGCATTGGCTTTCTCCGGGTCCGGCGAGAGCAGCACCATGGCACAGAAGGCAAGCGAGGCGAACATGACAATTCCGGACATAATGACCACCCAGGGTGACGTCTCATACACATCCTGGAAACATGCCAAACACAAAAGAGAACAATAAAATAGTTCAATTCGCGGCCTTGAATAAATCACTACGCAGGAGGACCAACGTAAGAACTTGGAGAGAGTAGGAGTGAATAGGAAAGAGAGAGAGAGAGAGAGAGAGAGAGAGAGAGAGAGAGATGGGGAGAGAGTAACGTTGCTACAGTAATTACCAGTACAGTCAGACCTCGCTTATCCAATCCTCTTTCATCCGGATCCCTCGCCATCCGGAAGAAAATCGTTGGTCACAGATTGCCATGCATACATACAGTATGTGACTGTGTGTTCGATTATCCGGTTCCTTCGCCTATCCGGATATTTTTTTTGTGGAAAACTGATGTGTGCGGTTAAGCGATGTCTGACTGTATCGGGGTTATGAGCTTTGGGAGGTCAAGTCTTAAAAGGAGATACATGTGCATTATATGTACAACAAGAGTGAAACTGGTGCCATGGTGTGAGCCTCGCAGGCACCTTGCCAACTTATCAAATCACGCAAAGAAAACTCACCATAACCATCTCCACCATCAGCCACAGCATCTACAAGTGCACACGGAAAAACAAAAAAATCACACTGACATAAGGTAGTGTAGAGAACAAACCCCTGTGGTTGACAAGCGAATAGGAGTAAACACAGTGAAACCTGGCCTAACCGGACACCCTTGATGCAGCGCAAACTGTCCTGATATGCCAGGATTGCGCTTGACCCAGGGATACATGTTCGATCCACGGCACATTGGTGCATGAAAGTGTGTTCAGTCAATACAGGAGTCCGCTTGGTACAGGGTCCAGCAAACACAGAGTTTACTGCAGAAGGGAAGCATTGTTATCAACTGCACACGGTTACGTGCGTACGCGGCAGGAAATTGCAGTGCAGTGATTGTGGCTGTGTACAGTGCTGCACATTCCACATTTCAACGGTGAATGTTGTGCACTGCAGCATTGCAGAAGGCAATGCACTGCATATCGGGAGCAATGTAACAATTATGTTGCAACGTTGTGCATTGCTTGGGTGTGCCAAGAGAATAGAAGCGAGTTGGGAGGGGCCGGAAGAACTCTAGTTTTAGCACTGCCAGTCCATCAACAACACTCCACTGAACTGCTCTCTGTACTGCATTGGAAAACGTTGTGTTTTTGTCTCTTTCCCCTCTCTTCCGATTGCCAGTTAGGTGTAGAACGTCAGTACCGTTGGTCAGTGTCGTACAATGTTATCGCATGAGCTGATTGTAAAGTAACTGGTGGTGTTACTGGATATTATAACGTAACTTGTAGCTCTTTGGTCCTCTTTCTTCTTATAGTTTTTTTTTTCAGTCTCGGACTTTTTCCGAATGAATTGGCCACACATTGATAAGATAGCAGTGCTCTTCACAAGCACACCATTTCCTTGCTACATGTACTAGTACAGTCGTCCCTCTCTAATCCAGCACTTTATAAACCAGCACCCTCGATAAACCAGCACAATTTTCAGTAGCCAAAATGTCCTCCTCATGCACATTCCAGCAGTAAATCCGATTTGTCAATCCAGCAGATTTTCCGTGGCACAAATGGTGCCGGATTATAGAGGGACCACTGTACTGTCATTCTTACCCGATAGAAACGGCGCGTGAAATATTCCCCACCGGACGCCTGCAACCAAGCACACAAGCACGTTGAAAACAGCATGACCAGATTCGTCAGCGCAGCAGTATAGTAGGAAAGCACACAAGATGGTAATGAAGACCGGTGCCAGTCACAGGGACGGCTAAAATCTGAATCACTGCATTGATGTTTCATTAGGCCTGCGAGGTAGTTAGGACAGCAATGGCAAGCTAGTACTGTTCTTTGGGTGGAACGCATGCCGCCAATACAAGGAGGAGCTACATACTGTACTAACACACTGAAAGTCACATCAAAATTAGCTCCTGAAAAGTGCACAGTGCTACATGGCCGCAGTGCACAGACTTCTACTCATCCATGCACTCCGAGAGAGAGAGGCTCGTCACAAACACAGTCCAAGCCCATAATAGACTTACAGGAATTTCTCCACTCTTGATCGCCCCAAGGAAGTTTTCCACGTCCTCCTGCGTAACGTCATCAAAGGATTCCTTGTCCTGGAGCATACGTACAAACATTGCAGAGCAAAACATGAAGTAGAGCCGATGGCAATCTCAAGAACAGCCCCATATTACCATGATGCAGAAATGAGCACAGCAATTGAGTGGATACTGCAGCAGCAAAAATGCACATGCACACCCACACGGCTTCTGGTGAACAATCCCATGGCATTATTGTCACACACACACACACACACACACACACACACACACACACACACACACACACACACACACACACACACACACACACACACACACCAAGAGCAACAACACTTCCCCCGTCACAGCCACGACAACACGACAACAACACAAATCACCAACCGTCTTAAAGATCCAGTACGTTCTTGTCTCAAAGTCCCAAGCGACAATGGCAGGCTTGGAAATATATCTGTTGAAAAGAGCAAAACGCACCGACACATGTCATACCCTATACAATACACTGATTGTATATGAGTTCACAGTCACGGTCATCGATACTGCACAAACCAGCATAAGAAGTCCGGAAAACGTGCGTCTGCTTTTAGATGTCCACGTTCAGAATAGTCCACCCAACATGTAACACGTGCTGTTTTTAGTACACACGCTTGGAAGGGAAAAGAAAGCTGAGAGCGATGTGTTCATGTACAGTTTGGGGTTACATTTTCGGATTGTTTCTAGCGGTTTCCTCCAGTTGACCGATCGTGACTTGAAAGGAGTTTCATGACTGCACCACTGCTCATAGTTTAATATATACGGGGGGGGGGGGGGGGGGGGGGGGGGGTGGACTTGCTAATGATTCCAGCACACAAACCAGACTCGTAAGTTGCAACAATGAACATACAAGATGGCCTGATGAGATTGCACAGCGGGTATCACCAGGATAATGCAGACAAGCATCGGAACACTACAATCAGTGACAAAAGTCATGCATGCCAATGACCCAGATGAAGCCTCTAACTTACTCTAGTAGCATTCTCCGCAGCAGTGTTACTTCATCTGTTGTAGCAAAATAGAAGTCACTGCAGTAGACAGAAAAAGAAAAATTAATAAGATCATCTCACAGCAGAAAAGGTACCCAGAAAAGTGCCACACAATTATTACAAGTACACAACACGCAAACTGGTGAAGACACTGTGAGCCACAATACTAAAATAATATAGCAGTATAAAAAAATTAAAAAAATGAAGTGGAAAACAGAACAATTTCTCTGTCACTACTCAGAGAACTAACTCCGTTTGTCACTGGATCTTTGTGACCAGCAGTCAAAGTTGTTCTGCTTTTTTCAAAGCACATGAAAAGTTGTAATCCTGTGTCCACGTCATGCCTTTGGCTCAGTACAATGTTCATGGCCATAACCAATCTGAATCAAGCTGCATAAGAACGCTTCTCCTTACCCGTAGAATTTCAAGCCGTAAGCAATGAAACGAACGTAGTCTGCAAGCCTGGAAATGGAAATCAAACACACAACAACAAGAAAGCAATCTTAGTCAGGGTATCTGAGCACGAAGTACAACACATCCGCACACGGGGGGAGATACAAAGTTAGAATCCAATGAGAACACGTATGTGCACTACGTTGTAATACAGTAGCCAAGTCGCGAGTACCAGCACCAGTCATAACGAAAGACAAATCGGCTGAGTCAGGGGCGTCAGGTCTTGCAATAGGCAAACAAAACTAACACGGTCTGTTTCTGAGTGCCCAAACACAAGCATACTACTTGGTCCGGCTCATCGCAATTGTCGCTTATCTCCCACGCACTTTTTGACAGGTAAAACCCAGTCCAATCACGATATCTAACTTACTTTTGCCTGGGAGGTTGTGATGGCAAGATCAAATGAGGCACCAAAGAAAAATGATCGCGACTAGCGCTTCGAATCGCGATGTTTTCAACTTTTTGGGAAGTGGGAATCTGGCCATTCACTGTCTGTGTTGCCGAAATATCTGCCAAACGCCAAGCGCAGCGACCCGAAGACCAGAACTGTAGCAGGGGCAGCTGACATCCTGGAGAGCGTGACAGGCACGCGTGCACGGCAGAGGAGTATGAGCGTCATGCTGCAGAAGAAAGGTGTTTTCGATCCGGCGTGCATGCGAGGGACGTTTTGGTTGTTCCTTCGTGGACCTGGCGGCAGCATTACAAGAGTCATGGTCAGAGTATCCAGCGGAGCGTATGACAGCTGTCTGAAGAGGCCTGTATGCCTCATTCGAAGGCTTTGTTGAAACACACTGTGGTGACACACAGGTCACACTGCCCATGGTTCCATGGTTCCTTCAAGCACCGAAGTGACAGCCACAACTTTTCCTTTCCCATTGCCGCCATTCGACAAGCTGGGAAAGCAAGAGATACTCTACCAGTCTACGCCAGCAGCTAGACACCAGCAATTTAATGGCAGCTCATGTAACGGCGGCAGGTCGAGTGATGGAGAGTTGAATGAACTCTGGACCTGTAAGAGTGTGAGTGCAAGAACGCGCTCCTTCGCTGATTTATTTTGTGCATTTTGCTTACCTTGCTTCCCTTCTATGACTCGCTTCACCTGATTCTATTGCTGAAATGTTTTCTTGTGGCGGAGAGTATTCATGTATCATGCTTCCTCACTATGCCTATTGGAAATTTCACAGAGCGGTAGCAAAACTCCTATTCTTAGTGGCGATAGATAAGCGACAATTGCGATGAGCCGGACCAAGTAGTAAGTCTCACAAGGTGCTTGCAGTATCAGATAGAAACAGAGAAGGTGGCTGAGCCACCAGTGCAGCAGCAGTGCAACTTACTTCTGCTCTTTGCTGGTCCTGATCTTGCCAATTAGTGTCACAACCACTGGTCGTTCTGTTAGAAAGCACACACACACACACACACACACACACACACACACACACACACACACACACACACACACACCGTACACAATAGAAAAGAAGTTCTATTCTTCAAGCTCTAACGGACAGTTAGAGTTCATTTAGAGTACATGCATATGCCACTGTCAGACAAGAATGTTTGAAGTATGAGCACTGTCACTAGGGCTCAATCAATGCACCCAAAGAAAGCAGTCTATTGGTACAGAATGTAGTTAAAATACCTCATTTCTATTGAAAGTATTCGGAAAAGAAAGATATGAACGCTCTTGTACACTTACTGGTGTGGATATAGTCATAGATACCAAACTGGTCCAGGTGAGGACACAGAGGGTATCTAATGGAATACACAACATGCACAGACACCACACACACACACACATGTACGCATACATGCACACACACACACACACACACACACACACACACACACACACACACACACACGGATTATATAGACTGCTCACACACTTCACAGTACATACGCAGTGAAAACCTGTCAAGGCAACCACTCCGACAAGGTGAGCACCTGTTTCAGGGGACCACTGCAACTACATGTAGAACCACGGTGTGCTATTTCCAGTCAAATGACACTGGATAAAGAGACCGCCTATACACCTCAACCATATTGTCAATTATTTTGAAGGTCCATGGAGCGGGCAACCTATAATTGTAGACAGGTTTCACAGAACATACTACTTTTTTTTTTGTAGTACTTGATTCAGTGAAAGCCATACATGCTTGGGTGCGTGAGTAATATTGATACAGAGTACAGTACGGATCGGCTATAGCGTTGGTGTTTGATTTTCGTGAAAATATCACTATAGGCGATATGCATACTTAGGTATGCCTGACACATGCGTGTATGGTGTCATTCGAATCAGTGCAGCGTGCAGAACTAGAAGCGTGCTGTGCATGTGACTGTGCAGTACGCGCAGTGCAGAGCTACTTCCTGCAGAAACAAAAACTTCGTGACTTTTTGACATGAGTTTTCAAGGAGTTGCTGTGCTCAACAAATGTGTTCTTTTGGAAGAGAAACACTTCAACACATTCAATCGACATATCAACAATATCTACAGGATCGATTAGTGGGAGTGGAGTCTCAGTCTGGGTCGCCATCGCTCGACTCATCACCGCTGAAACTGTTCCAAGTGGTAGGTCGATCGACGCGTGATGTCGTATGTCACGGAGAAGCTTCTCCGCGTCCCTGATCGTCTTCGCTGTTACCTGAATGCCTTCTCCAACATCTCGGCGGAGACCACGGTAGCGCTTCAGCGCTGGTACATGTACTCATTACTGCCTCAGCTCTCGCTCGAGGATGCCCCGGAACAACAAGCACAGCCAACGCCAAACATTTCGAATTTCCTCCGAGGGATATCATAGTCGTACCAGCGCTTCCTGACTGCCGCGATCAGATCTCGCCATGTACGATGTATAATTTTTTATGATCATCACTATAGCCGATGAAAAATGTATGCAATAAAATCATTTTGACAAAGAAATCGTATCATTATAGCCGATATATTACTATAGCCGACCCGATATGTACATGAAGGGGTGGTTTACGAAAATGAATTTGAGAATACGATCACTATAAGAGGTGTATTACTATAGCCGATCCGCACTGTACTTGGATCAAACACACAAGCCCCCCTCCCAACACACACACTTGCTCATGACCCTACTAGTACATGACATGCAAGATATAGGAGACTGAGTACTGCTGTACCTTTCAGCCTGGACCCACTCTTCGATGGCCTCTTGAGTGAGATTCTTGTTGTCATAGACTACAGACCTGCCATCTCTGTACACTGCCAGGCTGGGAGTTGCCTTCAAGTCCAGTTTCTAACAATAAAAATCAGAAGAGAGAAAATAATAGTATCATACGTGAACACTAAAAATGCTGTAGCATGTAGGAAGACGACACGAGACCATAGCGCCGAAAGCGATGCATGCTTTGACCCTGGAGTCGGAAGTTGTGCGTAATTTGCGATCTATGCAACACAAGGTCGTGATCTGCTGACGCCAAATGCGGTCCAAGCCAGGAATATTAAACGTGAGCATGCATAAATCAGCCCTGCTAAAAAAATTCACGGTTCGCGTGAGACTCGGCTAGAGACCGAGTTTTCCGCATCCGTAGGAACACCACCACCCTCAAGGATCAAGGCTAAAGAGCATACATACGTCAGCCCTGCCAAAGGGCTACAGGAATGGGCAACCCAGGAGCAAGACCAGTATTGCTTAGAGCTCCAGACACGCGTGTTATCTCTCTACATGCCATGACTCCCTGATGAACACATTACGGTTGATCCAGAGTGACTGGGGTATGTTGTGCATGTTATGCCCTGAAATGTATGGGTCAAAGATGAAAATCGGTCATCGTCCAAGTACATAGAAGAATGCCGGCAACAGTATTCGGCAGAAGGCAGGAGGATTTGCGAATACGCAACGAGCAGTGTGTGTGTGTGTGTGTGTGTGTGTGTGTGTGTGTGTGTGTGTGTGTGTGTGTGTGTGTGTGTGTGTGTGTGAGCTGTAATACACTGGAAATGTGCTGTGTTAAGATGTAGACAGTAGCCACATGAGAGTGTAGCGCATGCATTACAATTGGCAGCATAGCCATGTGCAGCAAACAACAGATCATATGGGAAGCAGATTTGCCATCAAGCTAATGCACCCATACCTCGTGTACATCCTTCGAGGATGTCTCAAAAAAGTTTGCTTGCATACGCATGTTGCTGGCCACCTTCTGGTATCGCGTCTGAGACGAGATGGGAAAAGAACAAGGAACAGAAGCCAGAGTGTCAATCAGCATACCATCTGCCATATTCTGGTAACTGGAAGGGGGATAGAGAAAGAGAAAGGGAGAGAGAGACGGAGACAGCCAGAAAGAGAGAGAGAGAGAGAGAGAGAGAGAGAGAGAGAGAGAGAGAGAGAGAGAGAGAGAGAGAGAGAGAGACAGAGAGAGACAGAGACGGAGACGGAGAGACACAGAGAAGAGAGAGGGAGAGAGACAGAAAGAGAGACAAGAGACCACCAAAATCGTGGGAGCCACAATCATAATTTGATGTGACCTTACCCTGAGTTGGGAGCTCCTGCCAGCACTGAAGGACAATATGAAGAACACTTCCTGCGACTTCTCCACAGATTTCAATGATGGTAGGTTAGCCACACTACCGACAGGAGGACTAACGTGAACCAAAAGATCAAACACACGACACATACCAGACGTAAGATATTTCTCCATACAGCTTATCTAAGATAATGGCAATGATTATTCGGTACTGTCCTATCCCGGCCCGGGTATCCGAACACATCCGGACAGGATGTTTTGAAGGTGTGTTCCAGCAATCCACACATAATCTAAATCAGTCTTATATTCAGAGGGTGATACCCAGATATTGTCTCTAGTTCAATGTGTACCCTTATTCCTAGCAATTAGAGCAGGTGTGGTAGTACCTACAGCCAAACCTCTTCAAAAGGAACACCAAAGGGCCGATGGTACTTGTTTTCAACAACAGGAGTGCTTCTAATCCATACAATATTATATCCCCAGTGAATACACAGTGATTCATCCAATAGAACCCGAAAACCCACAACTTGCGGGCACAAGACTACCTGCAGGACTGCCTGCCAAGGCAAAATTGTACAGTGTGATGTACAAAATGTACCGGCAGGCTTTGCATTGGATACTCAAGGTACATGTACGAGTATTCGGATAGTCGGGGTAGGGCTGTAATCAGTGAATAACTGGAAGAAGTCAGCCAGAACCGTCAGAGATATTCCAGAGGAGAAAGGGAGGATTGGAGTAGAATGTGAGATGCACCTCTCCTTGTATCAATAACAAGACACCTGGCAGCAAGACTCACTTCATGACACGCCGGACAAACTCCAGAATGGACTCAGAATCTCTCTTTCCATCGTAGTCAAACACTTCACCATCGTGGAACCTAGCAAGACAGAAAGCAAAATCAGGGCAGCGACGACTGGTGAGTGGCCCAACAAGGTAGCACGCCATAGACGCTCAGTACTGAACTAAACAGGAGTGAAGAACTGCCTAGTACTGCTAGTTGTGCAGCACTAGGTTGTATTCCACACTGGCACATGCGCTACTAGTAAGCTATCATGACATCAGTGCTGCTGTGCTTTTGCTTGCCAACCGCATCGGCTCTGTATGAGGATCTGCTCAACTGCATCAATGAGAACAGACTCGATCTGCGGACAGAAGTGATTCTTGCTTTATGGACTCGTAAGCGCAACACAGAGAAAATGAGGCCGAACCTGAGAGCAATGAAAAATAAATGATCCAAAGCCAGATTTAAACCAGGCCCAATGAGAACAGAGATGCACAGAATCAGTACTAATACTAATAGAGTATAACTGTGACCATGGTGTGAGAGTGTCGCAATGGTGGCGTGACAAGTTAAATGTGAGAGTGTCGCAATGGTGTGTTTATTTTGCCCGTAAAAGAGGCTGTCCTGTCACACTGGTGGTGTTACAAGTGTCAGCATGGTATAAAGTGCAGTTCTAGTGCTGAACATCAACCCCCGAACTCACATCTTTATAGTTGGCATACCTTCCACTTTGTGATGTTCACCCACAGCTGTGATGAAAGCACAAACCAACAACAATAGGCGTTCAAGGGCAGGTAACACGTAACAGTCGTGGGAACACACTGCATGATTGTTGAGACTGTGGGAACACACTGCATGGTTGTTGAGACTGTTGGAACACACTGCATGATTGTTGAGACTGTGGAAAAATGGGATAACGGGTGTGTTGGAGTTTTAACTTTTCACCATGATGCACACTTGGGCATAAACATTATCGTGCGGATGGAATTTTCCATGCAAAACTATGTCCATCACTGGATGCTGGGGATATTTGGAATTGTCAAGGTGATCCAAAGCAGCAGGTGATGAAAACCAGCCAAGTTCCTATACCAGTGCATCTTAGTTCAAAAATAGTCCACAACACACTGCAATTATGAAACAAGAACATTGGCTAGCATCAGGGAGTAGTAAAATACCAGTATTTTTACTACTCCCTGGTTTGCATCACTGTCTAGTTCTAAGCATAGCATAGCATACAGGGGTACTTGGTCAGGTCCACTCTCGCCACGTGGACAGGTGTAGGAGCTAGGTGCTTTGCCGTCGCTTCCCATGCCGGCTTCATCTTCTCACAGTATGCACACCACGGCGCGTAGAACTGCAAGCAGCAGAAAACAAACAAGAATACAGACGCCAGCAGCAGGGTGGGTGATCTAAAAGTACAACCACAGCTAACAAGACAGCAGCCATATCAGTTCAAAACGTCTAACACGATAGCCCCGTAGCACTACTGCCGCTGCCACGTGTTCACATTCACAAGACAGGATCAAATAAATGTGTAAACTGTATGCTAGGGAGTGCCCTACATATACGCAAGAGTACCAGTATGTGACGTGAACAACTCACAACCCCAACACTGGTGTGCAGCGCAAAAAAATTCAAAAATCACAGAAAACGTAGGGGGGGGGGGGGGGGGGTAAATAGCCAAAATTCACGGAAAAATGCGGCCGCGGAATCGGGATTTAACCGATGTGTGGTCCGCAGTGATATGTGGGTGGGAGCATTTACATACTCGTGGGATTTGTTATGGTGGCTGGTGCAGACTTAGCATTATCATGTGGATACTGGCTGCGTGTGCAAGACACTACTGACACTACCGACTAGAACTCTCTGCAGGACACACTGGCACTTCAACTCTCCACATGACACACTGGCACTTCAACTCTCCACATGACACACTGGCACTTCAACTCTCCACATGACACGTCAACACTAGAACTCTGACAGAACAGGTGATCATTCGGCAAGGTAGATATTCGTAATTTAAATTTACAATACTTCGGAGGACTATTAACTACCTACCATGACAATCCATGAGCAGGTGATCATTCAGCAAAGTAGCCATTCGCAATTTTAATTTACAATACTTCGGAGGACTACTAAGTATTAACTACCTACCATGACAATCCATGAGCCTCCATGCTTATAGACCTTTTCATCATTTAATCTACACACAATAGAAACAGAAAATGCACATAATCATTTGGACTCTCCAAATGGACTGTGTTCAAGCAAGTAATGTGTGTGTGTGTGTATGTGTGTGTGTCAACCCGAACAGCAGCCCGCATGCGGTTGATGGTGATGTGTCTGGGAGCATCTCGGTTGAGAATGGTTTGCGGCAAGGGTGCGTTATGGCCCCACTGTTGTTTAACCTGTACTTTGGTCTTGTGTTGGAAACATGGCGTTCAGCTATAGCAGCAGCTGGTGTTAACGGTGTGTCCCTGATATCTTCAATCCATGGAAGTGGCAATCTATTTCCCAAGCGAACCCGTCAAACTGGCACGACATCGGTCAACGACCTGGAGTTTGCGGATGATGCAGCACTACTTGCACCATCCCGTGAGTCAGCTCAATTGGCTTTGGAGCTGTTCAGCAACGTTGCTTCTTCCTTCGGCTTGACTCTGAATACAGCGAAGACCAAGTTCATGGCCGTTGGTGCAAATTTATCATGTGCTGACCGCCTTCCGCTCTTTGTTGGTCCGGAGGAGATCGAAAGTGTCAATTCCTTCGTGTATCTTGGCTCTGTGATAACTGCTGACACCCGCTCATCTGCAGATGTGGCCAGAAGACTCGGTAAGGCAGTGGCAGCTTTCGACCTTATGCGCCGTGTCTTTCTTGACCGAAACCTTTCCATCGCCACCAAGCGCCATCTTTACGATGTTAGCGTTCTGTCCACATTGCTCTATGCCTGTGAGTGCTGGACTTCGCTGAAGAGAGACATGGTTGCCATCAACAACTTCCACCCGGCTCAATCAACAGCTGCAGCATGTCAACAACCAGGAGGTGCGAAGACGCTGGGGTGATATGGCACTGCCATCTGATACCGTCAGACACCGCCGTCTGCAGTGGCTTGGGCATGTCGCCAGAATGCCAGACAACCGGCTTCCGAAGCTGATACTGTTTAGCTTCTTCTCAGATCCACGCCCAGCCTGTGGGCCACGACTGCGATGGAAAGACCTCGTCGCACGTGATCTTCGTTTCGGTGGCATAGCAGACTGGCTCACTTTGGCCCAGGATCACCCAGCATGGCGCGAGGCAATTGCCAAGACTCCGGATGATCTCGTGGAGTGCAATAACAACAAAGTCACCTGCAAGGTTTGCAACCGATCATTCACTGCTCGTGGGATTCACCGTCACAAGTGCTCAGCTGTACGGTCCTTACCTGTTGCCCAGCAGCCTGGGGCCTGTCACTGTGGAGTTTGTGACCGCAGGTTTCAAAGTGCTGGCGGTTTTGCAGTTCATCGTTGTGTGGAGCGTCAGACATCTGACGAAATACCAGCTGTTCCAACGAGATGCAGCCTGAATTCGGACTGCTGCCAGCACCATTGCTCGACCTGTGATCGCTGCATGAAGAGTCAGGCTCGTTTTAACCGCCATAATTGTACTCGAGGCAAACGACTGCAAAAGGGCCAGAGGACTAATCTGCCCATTCAATGCAGCCTATGTAGCGAACGATTCTCCCGCCCGCAGGACCTCACCCGCCACCGAAGACAGAAACACTGTGTGTAGAACGGTCCCCTTTCACCTCAATAAATGACAATTACTCTCCTTGTTTCTGTTCCTTTCTCGCTGTTGTCTCCGGCTTCTGGGAGCGACGTGGCCATTTTGTGGCAGTTGTACATAGTAGTGTGTGTGTGTGTGTGTGTGTGTGTGTGTGTGCGTGTGGTGTGTGTGTGTGCGTGTGTGTGTACGTGTGTGTGTGTGGTGTGTGTGCGTGTGTGCGTGTGTGTGTGTGGTGTGTGTGTGCGTGCGTGTGTGTGTGTGTGTGTGTGTGTGTGTGTGTGTGTGTGTGTGTGTGTGTGTGTGTGTGTATTGAAGATGCTGATGCTTCTAGTCGAGAAGGAATGCACTCTTTGTTTAGATAGCATACAAACAAAGAAAGGTAATCTTCACCTGTTCCAAAAACCATTCGAGAAGCCAACATCAAAATGTTCAACAAATTACCTTTCGTCCAAGTCGATGACTTTTCCGGATGCGACACAAACCACTACAGAAAAAGAGAGAAAAACAATATGATCTAGACCCAACCCCATACCCGGCTACCACCTCATCCTAAGATGGAAGTTGAGGTAGTAGTCACAAAACAATTCGAACACAAATACCCTAGTCTTCGGATTTGCTTACACAAACTTAGGAGAACGAAACGATTATCCATTTTCACAGACTGCTCGAAAACTAACACACTTCGCTACCAACGAATCCTTTACTGCCTTCTCTCTCTATAATGACAAAGAAACGACGAGCTACATGCAGAAAACCATTCTTGCTGATATGATCAAGACGTGAAAAGTCCAAACACGAAACACTCATTGAGAATCTCTGCCCAACTTCAAGTCAAGAGTCACATCCGGCGAACGAGCCACTCAAACCAAAAAACCAAACAAATCTCATCAAATGAATGACATCATGTACAGCAGAGGCACATGCTTGGTGGTTCTCCATTCTGCAGCACATGGGAGCATTTTCCGCATGCTCATTTCTCCAGAAACGCGTTTTTGAGAGCGATTACTTTTGAACCCGCTCGGACAAGGGCCCTCGCGCATGCGTCCTGAAGTACGACGGCCATCTTCCCGATCGATCTCTTTCTCAGCGTCCCTTCTGCAGGTGGACGAGGTGAGTTTGTTTTGGCGAGAAATCTTTTTGGAGGACGAACTGTAGCTTTCTGCAGCTGTTAGTTCATAGCTTGGATGTATTGGAGGTGGTTCCTGTGGATTTGAAGGTAACTTGGGTTTGGTTTGGTGCGATATCTTCAATATCTTTGTTCAGCAGCAATAAACCGGCAAGATGGTGAATAATATCATCCCAAATGCCCATTTCCATAAGGATTGGGACAAGCGGGTTAAATGCTGGTTTGACCAACCCGGCCGTAAGAGCCGTAGACGCCAGGCTCGTGAGAAGAAGGCACTGAGGGTTGCCCCAAGGCCTGTTGCTGGATCTCTGCGCCCTGTCGTACGTTGCCAGACTTTCAAGTACAACACGAAAGTCAGAGCTGGCCGTGGCTTCACTTTGGAGGAGCTGAAGGTGTGTTTCATGTGTGCTATGCTTTGGTCATAGTCGACGTAGTGAGCTGCTGAAAATCACAAGCTGGCTGTGGACATCATTTGAAAATACCAGTTACCAAACGTTGTCGATGAGAAACCCACAAAATATTTATTTTGTGAACAAAACATTTTGACACATTTCAACAACAGGACATGGCACATGAGTGAATAGTGAAAATGTAGCGTTACACGTGCCCTGCAAGATAATCGTGGTACGCAATCATTAATTAAGTGGACCAGGCCAACCCTCCACTGTTGTTGCTGTGCGGTGAGCAGTGTAGACATCGTGCGTCGCAGCGTTATCATGCACGAAGCTTCTGTAGTTGAGCTGTTGCTGGCAGTAAGCTTCATGCACTCATTACCAGTAGGATAGATAGATTGCAAACATTGTATGTTTTGGAATATCAATATCGAACAATTCCTAGGCTTATTCGCTGTAGTCTTAGTGTTTGCCGGCTTGTACTTCTAGCCAAATGTACGTGTTGGTTTACGTTGAACATCAAAGTCACGGTATGATATGCCTTTTGGCGTGCTTTGCTCTCTGTGTTGTGTGCATTGTTTGTATTCAGGCTGCTGGCATCTCCCGCAAGGTTGCTCCCACCATTGGCATCACTGTTGACCACAGACGCCGCAACCGATCCTCAGAGTCTCTCCAGGCCAATGTACAGCGCCTTAAGGAGTACAGATCCAAGTTGATCGTCTTCCCACGCAAGTTGAGCAAGCCTAAGCGTGGTGACAGCGATGTAAGTTTGAATTATTGTTTTGGTGCTCACTGTGGATATGACATCGATGCTGTTCTTTGGATATATTCCTTTGTTGTATTCTAGCAGTGTATCGTTGAACTGTTGTGTGCATTTTAAACTCTTTTTCTTCTGTAGTGCTGCCTTTATTACTTTGTTGCATATCTGGGACATGTGCAATTTTTATCACTTCCATCGGTTGCTAAAAAGACAGCGGCTGAAAGTCGTGCTTGTACATTTGTACTCTCCTGACAAAGAGCTTATCCTTGCTAACAGCTATGCTGTTTTGTCTGTTTCACTTACTGCACTGTGTGTGTCATCTAAATTGTAATTTCACTTGTTTTCTATCTATTTGCTCTCTCAGGCTGCTGAGCTGAAGGTTGCTTCCCAGTTGGCTGGACCCATCCTGCCCATCCGACAGGTGCACCCAACCATCAAGGCCCGTGCCATCACTGACGAGGAGAAGACCACCTCCGTCTTCCGCTCCATGCGTATTGCTCGTGCCAATGCTCGTCTTGTCGGTGTCCGTGAGAAGCGTGCCCGTGAGGCTGCAGAGGCTGATGTGCTGAAGAAGAAGTAAACCTGGATAACCTTTACCATCTACACTCTCGTCCGAATAAACAATTGAAAAGGACTTTCTTGGTAGCTGCGTGTGATGGCAGACTGCACTCTTGTTGATTCAGGGTGCACAGTGCATATCGGATAGAAGTAATGAGACCTGTAGACAGTGTAGTGCATGTGGAGAAGGCCCAGGGATGCAACCCAGCAGGCTCAATCTAATCATTGTATGGGCCCGTCAAAGCTTGGGAGCCTGATCATGAGGTGCTTTGTAGGAGTGAGTGTGCAGACTGCAGAGTCTAGGGAGCATAATTATGTGGATTCTACATAACATGCAAATTTTGGGAAATAAAATTGTGGTGCTGACTGCAGCCTCCTTGATCTAATATCATTCCTAACATGTCTTGAACTGCCCCAAACTTTCGCCAAGTACCTTCCGTAGTATTTTCCCGTTCAGTTCAGAGTTACATACGGCACTGGTAATAGTCCTTATGCACATTGTACAGATGTACGAAGTTCTGTACTATGGCCGTAGGTGTGTACATACCCGGTTGGGTGTTCATTGTTTGCTATACATGCGCGTTTGACCCATTTAGCCTCACAATTCATGGCAAACGATCACTTTTCAAGCCTTCTTCACTTTGGGATTGAACTAACGACTAGCTAGATCTCTGCCGGAAAAAGATTTCGTATGAAATGCCTTCATGGCCCATTTCATAGTGGAAATAGCAGTAAACACAATAGGGTCCTGCACATTCAACACCCAACCGGGTCTACGGGATTCTACGGGATTTCGTGCATCTGTACAATGTGCATAAGGCCTATTTGGCACCTTTGTTTTTTTTTTCAGTGAGGAGAACCGTCATTGATGTGGAAAGGCCTGCTAGCATGCTGTAGAATTGCACCCAACAGAATTTATAGAGCTCCAGATCAGAATGTACTGTAAAAGCAGAAATTTTCGGCGGTGTAATATTTTCGGTATTCCAAAATCCAAAATCGGCGGTTCGGTAGAGGGAAATTTTCGGTAAAACCCGTTTTCCAGGCAAGTGTACTAGTACTAAATGTATACAGTACCGGTAGTACTGAAATTGTCGGCACCGAAGTTACCGAAAATTTCTGCTTTTACAGTACACAAGAGAAGCACACAAATCAGCAAATGCACTGGATGTGCACCCACAGATTTTCTCTTTATAGCAACGATAGCGGATCTGATTCTGATTGAAACAGATCAAGACAAGCGCCAGATAACTGTCTAATCCACACAACTGGCGAAGCCATGTGAATCGACCCCCTCCCCCCCCCCCCCCCCCCCCCAGAATGTACATACGGCACTGGTAATTTGGCACCTTTGTTTTTTTCAGTGAGGAGAACCGCCATTGATATGGAATGGCCTGCTAGCATGCTGTAGAATTGCACCCAACAGAATTTATAGGAGCTCCAGATCAGAATGTACAGTCACGTGCACACAAGGGAGTTTGGTAAGCTGACTCCCTGGACACCATGAGAACACAAACAGATGCTGGAAATTAAAAAGCCTTCCGGCCCCCATGGAAATGCTGGTCTTGGCCTTGGGTGTGTAACTCGAACAGAAGCCCGTTACCTGGTCATCTGGACACATACTTGTAATCATTCACAAGTACTGTACTTTACCCAAAGAGTCATGGGACTCTTTGTACAGGAGCACACTCGAACATGTCGTAAGATATGTACATGATTGTATGACTCTTCGAACCAAGAAATTTCAAGATAAAATTGGATGCCTAAGGATTCTACCCATGTTGAGCGAACACGGACGCAGCTATACCTAAGGAAACATGATATCAAATTATAGAAGTTTTACTTTTCGCCTAGAGGGAGGGACATGCTTGAAAATTTGTTGAATCTAGAGTGAAGTTCCCAGCAAAGAGACCATGTGCGAGTGTCAGAATAGTCCGATCACTTCTTCAGTTTCCACGTTTAGATCGATATCGTAGAAGCACGGACGGGTTGGCAGTCCTGGCATAGTTGTCATCTAGAACAACAACGACAAATCGTGAGAAATAAGAATAAAGATTTGAAACAACAACATAATCAGCAGCAGCAGCATGTGCAATTGGTGAGATTTAGTTCAGTTGGTGGCTGGCATCACCAGATGACAATAACCATGCTATAGGCTTCTCCACAACACACTCAATAGTTGATGTGAATAGTGCACAACTGAACAGCCTACATGCAAATCTACAGATTAAAAGCTGTACCGAGGGCACATGAATAACCAGAGCATGCAACTCCACCGGAGTGAGATGCAGCAAAGGTGAGTCATTGTGACCTACATAAACTAAACCAAACTTTGCTGGGCTCACCGACTCTCCCAGAGCCTGCACAACCTACAGTTGTGGTCAAAGGCCCAAAGAAAGCAGACCCGTGAGCCAAAAGTAACGCTGCATTTCCATTTCAATGATATCAAGCACGGTCCAAAAATCCATCCCAGAGCCGCAGGGGTCGCATGAGCTTTGGCGCTGCTTTTGGCTCACGGGTCGGATTTCTTTGGCCACGACTGTAGTTGATGTACTCTTGGCTGTATAACACGTTTATGCTGATAGTTGGCTGTTCAGTGCAAAGACTACACGGTTATGCTGATAGTTGGCTGTTCAGTGCAAAGACTAAGTGCATGTCTGGATCGAGTGGAGCGTATCACTTACAGTTCCAACAAGAGGGAACAGGAATCCAGCACCAACACTGGCACGGACATCTCTGATCGGCAGCGTGAATCCGGTCGGCGCGCCCTTACGCTCTGGCTGATGGGACAGCGAGAGATGGGTCTTTGCCATGCAGATTGGCAGGTTGGCGAAGCCCTGGGCAGAAATACAAAGGGAACAACAGGACAGTGCTGTATTTTAGAACTGAACTGGGACGCTACATAATCGAGTGTTCTGTGCGTGGGGTGGGGGGGAGGAGGATTGCGCCAGACCATGGCTTGATAATCAGCCCACAGAGAGTGTGCTGACGAAGAGGGTCACTGGTTGGAGTTAAACATCTGGAATTGCTTCCAGGATGGGTGGTGAATAGTTTGTATCTCAACTCATCGCTTCCATCAGCTTTGAATGTCTTGTACAGCTCGCAAGCAAACTCGTCGCACAGCATCACCAGGTCTTCAGGCATGTCAGAGAAGCAACCTAATCGCTGCATGGTAATGCAGGGTGCTACTTTGAAGTATTTGTTAGTGGAATGCGAAGCAGTTTTCGACTGAGGTTTCGCACGATGATCTGCTGGATTACAGGCTTTACGGCGCTGTGCCTTTTTTTGCGGATCTGGAGACTCATATTACACACAACGTGCGTAGCCATTCATCAGTTCGAACACTCAACCTGGGTACACTCAACCTAAACAAATTCTACCTACGAGGATATTGTTAAGAACGAAAAAGACTATCTGTGATTTCTTAATGCTGCATGGATGAGTGCACAAAGAACAAAACACTGTTGCCTGAAGATTGCCATCACACGAGTAAATCTGACACTGTGCACACAGCACAGATAACTAACCTGCTTTGTGTAGAGCTCCACTTTACGCGCGGCCTCCTCTTCCAGGGAGATGCCATCGGCACCGTAGATCTCACGAGCAATTATTTCGATCTTCTCCGCAATAGGCAACTACACAATGCACAGGTACAACAGTGAACAGAACAAGAGAGCAATCGAGGCTTATGCTTCCGTTCAGAGACATCATAGCTAAAGCACCTGTGGACTACTTCCGAGAACAATCAAACTTCTAGTATCCGGACCCACTGATCCGGGTTGTTCCACTAGCCAGATGGGCTCTGCATGATACGGTATGCTACATTGAGCTGTAACGGTCTCTGGGGTGACCAAGTGTGCGTGTATGTGATATTGTGAATATGAGTGCAAAGTTACAGTTCCTAGTTACGGATGAGATGCAGTCCCATGTACGCCGAGTAAGGAAACTTTTAGTGCACAAACGTAACACATCAATTGGAACCACAACGAGAAAGAGAAAGAAAGAGAGAGAGAGAGAGAGAGAGAGAGAGAGAGAGAGACACA